AAAGTCGATCTGTTAAACACGTGCTTAACACGATTGATTTGAGCTAAACTTAGAAAGCAGAAAGAAACTGTTTTAACGATATGCACGTGAAAAGTAAGGCGCGAGTCAAAAGTCACGCCTAGGTCTTTAACGACGTGCGCCGGTATTACTTCTTTTCCTAAAAGAGAGAGATACCTGGGAGACTTCCATAAACAATTATCAATGCCGACTTCCATAAACAATAAGCTTAGTTTTATCAGGATTCCGGAGGAGACGACTTTCGAAGCACCAGTCTCGAATATGTAGGAGGTCAACATTCAAATCACCAACAGCGCTAGCCCAGTGGGCTAGAAAGGAAATGTAAAGCTTAGTGTCATCAACAAAACTTCTTTCAGGACCAGAGGGCATGTGTTAAATCGTTTACATAAATACTAAATAAAATGGGTCCATGAATGCTTTCTTGTGGCACTCCTAATGGGTGAAGGATCAGACAACTAGGAATTTATGCGCACGACTTGTCGTCTGTTGGATAGATAGCTGGTGAACCAAGTAACTCTTGAAGGCGATATCCAGTGGTTTATTGAGCAAAATGCCATGATTTATTGTATCCAAAGCTTAACTATGTCAAGTACAACAACACCGCTAATTTTCATTTCATCAATCGCGTTTGTTGTTCGTATCAAGGAGGTTACTGTAGAATGCAATTCCCTATTATCACTTTCTCGTGTAGATAACCTTCCATTTGACATCTAGGTGCCGCAGTTAAGGCATAACTTGATCAAGCGCAACCCTTTCGCATTCTTTCGAGAGAAGGGGCAGGAGAGAGATAGGCCTATTGTTGGTAGTTTCTTCGTGATTAACATCTTTAAGAATAGGCGACACCTACCTCAGCTAATTTCCAAGAGCGAGGAAAAATTCCTCGAGTGCAAGACGCGTTAATTAAAGCTGTGATCATCGGGAGGGTAGCAGGAAGGCTATCTTTGATTGTACGCACCGGAATTTTCTCAATCCCGGGAGACTTATTCGCTGGCATTGACCTGACAATCTTTAAGCAACTTCGTCACAATTCACGAGCTTAAAATTGAATTGATCAGTCACAGGAAATTTGCACCACCAAGCCTGGTTGTTCTTTTTAGTTTAACTCTACTGCCTTGGGGATTCGTTCATGCAAAACTTCACAATTCTGCAATGTGAATTCGAGGAATTTGCTCGTTTGACGGAAACATGCATAGGGGTCATTGGAAACCCATCGATGCGAAAAAAAATGGTTATTACGTAAGCGTTTGAACGGCCGCCCGTACAAACTCTCGGGGAGAGATAGGGAAGATTCTGCAAGGGAGTCCAAAACATGCAACTTACTTGCGTTTGTCTTGGCGAAAAGTTACCAAATAGCCAGTTTAGAAGCATCAAATGGAGTTGCCCCATTAAAAATCTCGAGTTTTCTCTTGTAGTTTGACTTATGACAAAATTATTGAAACACAAGTTTTTAGCGGAAATCTCGCTCGCGAGGCGCGCACAGCGGAGCACCATAGGTAAGAAAATGAAGTAATCTACCCATCCGAGAAAATTTGGTAACCACGTGACCATACGCCCGCCCGCCCGACCATCCGTCCGCGCCACAGGCATACCAATGTAAAATAACTCAGTCAACAGTATCGCAACCCAAATGCAACTCGAGGTTATATTCGCGGGAAATCACATAGCTACTGGCGTCTTGTAAAGTCAATAAAGACGAAAACGGAAGGTGGAAATTGTTTCTGTATCCCTGTTGTCTAAAGTATTAAGCCTAGGTTAATTGTCACGTCCACAAATTTGGAATATAGAGCAAGAAAACGACAGATAAAAAGAGGAAGTAGGCGGAAGGACAGCGAAGCTCAACGAGAAAAAGGGCGACAAAGATTTAGAGCGAGAGATAAAAAAAAAACAAAGGAGACTTTTTTTTGTTGGAAATACAACATGAAAATTTTGTAGCGGCGGTGACAAAATGAGAAATGCTAGCGGCCACCAATGCAAGGTGAAAATGAGCGACCGTGAAAAAAAAAATTAACTAGAACACGCACGACATTTTCTCAAAACTTGAACGTGTAACTAAGATGTTTCTGAAGTTTCACGTTGTAGTCTGAAAAGCAACGGCAAAGAAATGTGAAAAATAAGTGTGCTGCATGTGCAAAGTTGCAATTTTGCTTATTATACCAATTGTTGTTTTTCACCGTTCTCCGGCGTTGCCTTCGCGGGCTTAGCTTTATATGATTTCAACCATAATTATTATCGAGAGCTTCGCTTTTAGCCCTGGCTAAATCTATATATTATTATTATCATTATTATTTTCATTATTATTATTATTAACGTGTTTACTAGCCTTGCTTTGGAAGAGGAAACTTTATCTTGAAGAATTTCTCATAATTTGAGAGAGTCTTTGCAGCAATGTCCAACGCGTAAGCACCCTGTGAGATCTGCGACGGAGGAGCCCACAAACGTACCTAAGAAAATAAGAAGCAAATAAAAATTACGCAATTGTCGTTCATTTTCCCCCTTGTGAAACCAAATAACACGGTAAGAACAATTTTAAATGGTAAAACAAAAGGCCATGTCTGTCAGGGGATAGTTAAAAATCGGGTGATAGAAAGAAAAACATGTTGCATGCGCATGGCAGAATGGCAAAGAAATTCTCATCCTTCCACGTTAGCGGTAAACGTTGATCTCGATAGGTATTTTGACATAAAAGATGAAGAATCCAAACTCTAGCATGTGATATCAGGAGAGGATTAGACTGCATTTCTTTCCACCAGATTAAGGAAAGTCTCGGCCAATATCAACTATATATTCAATAAATAGTCCGCCCGGTCAGCTCAGCTGGGAGAGAGCCGGTCTGCTAAGCGGGAGGTCGTAGGTTCAAACCCCGGCCGGAACAACACTCAGGGTCTTCGGATAACTAAGGAGAAAGTGCTGCCTTTGCAATGACATCTGTAAACGGTTAAACTTTCTAGTCTTCTCGGATAAGGACGGAAAAACCGTAGGTCCCGTCTCATAGCACTTACACTGATTTGTTCTTGTGGGACGTAAAAGAACCAACACCAGTGAGCGAAAACGTAGACCTCGGTGGTGTGGTCAACCTCTCCTGGTCTGGGTGGGTTATCTGTAACGACACACTTAAATTGAAGCCCCGCTCTGTTGTGTGTTCTGCACCACATGGTTAAAGTGATTAAATAAATAAATAAATAACGTGTTGCTGTTGGCGCGTTTGTAGGCCTTAAGGGAGTTTTATAATTACATTAATTTTAGGGTACTCAAAAGTATATTTTGACCAAAATCATTTCAAAACTGAACAGCTTCATTTTCTGGTTTAAGTCATGTTTGAGTTTAACATACCTTGATGCCACTGCCTGTGTTAGTTTGTATGGACTTGAAGTCGCTCACCAGAAATGCCACTAAATAAGTACTCATCCTAACTGACTCTTTGAAATGATCCGCGTATAAATTTTTTCCAACCTGAACCTGGAAAAAGGAGGGAATACAAATTGCTGCAGCTTGTGATGGCAAGCTTAAAGACATGGTTGCGGATTGGACTTAGGATAGTTATCAGATTTCAATATCAAGATCTATGAACTAATACCGAGGGAAAGTAGGTAAATTTTAACAAGAAGCAACCAGATCGCCCAGTATGAGATTAATCCAAGACAGTCGACGTCTTGGGTTCTAGATTCCACCCTATGGATTCCCGATTCCCGGCCTGATGCTGGTTTTCGGATTATTTGTCAGTAGATCTTGGATTTCAGATTCCAATCATTAGCGGGACTCTGGATTCCTTGAGCTGAATTCCGGATTCCAAAACCCAGGATTCCAGATTCCACATCAGGGGGAAATTTTTCGGATTTCGTATTCCACACGCAACAATTTCCCCGCCGATTCCGGAATCCGGGTTACCTGAGATTTAATCCTATTATTCGAAGATGACAGACTATGATAACAGTTACTTCACCAAATAGCTTTAAGTGTTGTAACTGCCATCAGCATTGTGCTTAGAATTCGTTCAATTCTACAATTTGGTTTGGCTCCATGAAAATCCTAGCCTAGGCAACTGAGCACCCGTAAAAATTATGAATGATAGCTCGTGCATCCCTAACGAAAAAAAAAACATATTTCACTTACAACTCGGAGAAGAGAACCCTGTCAAATCGAAATGAGTTCAGAACATAGAACTGTTCTTTCATTTTCACAACAAAAAGCATTCTTGATAACCTTTTCCCAGACAATTCCGAAGCTTGCGAACATGTCTAAAGCCACTGTACGTTCCCTTGCAAATGCAGAGGCAGACGTCGGCATGCGCATGCACCCTTTAAAGTTAAACTTCCCTTAAAGGAGCTGCGTCACGAAATGTATCGAAATTCACTAAACAGTGCGAGTTGCCATCAAATTGAGTGAAACATTAAAAAAAACAGTTCATAACCGTGAACGAGGGTATAAATAACACTGCAAATACAAAAGGAGGAACGGATGTAATAATAATAATAATAATAATAATAATATTTATTGATTTGTATTACGCAAAGATCAATCCAGGGAAAGAAATTTTCATCTGTGCATTACATTAACTCAACAAAATCCTAAAACCCTAGTACATATTCCAATTAAAAAGAAAGACAAACTTAAAGAAAAATGAACCGGATCAATGTTCATTTGTTTTTGCCTTAAACGTTTGATGCTTGGAAGACGAATTTTTTTAGACCGGAAGCATCGATTTTGTCATTTACAAGTAATTCTCCTTTAATGAACAGATGCTTCATTTTACCAATCAATCGTTGAGACTTAGAACGTTCGACTGTGTCTTATTTAGCGATTTTCATGCGAGTTCAATTATGTTCGATTACCGAACTTAATCCGAACTCAATCCATGCATTAAGTCCCATTGAGCACGTTTAAATTTTGTTCCATATAATTAGTTCGATTGAATATTCCGGGAAATAATTAAGTAAGCAACAGACGGATATCAGTCCTTCATAAGAATTTTTCTGTGGTTTAACTGCTCTCACATGAATTGTAGACGACAAATATTGAAGAACTTTGGAACTATGCATAAGATCGTACATCGGTAAGCCCTCACCGTGTTTTCTATAGGCATATTAGAAAGAGCTTTGTGTTCTCCCTGTCTAATTATTGTCACAGTAAACGTGGCCTTCATTGCTGGCTCATCAAAGCAGGGAAAAGCCAAGCGGGCGTTTGTGGGCTCAAAATAAGAAGCAGCAAAGTACCTAGAATAAAATAAAAAGTACCTCGTTTAGTCATGAGTGGTTACATTGCGACCGGTGTAGAACCAAAAGTATTTTGGGTTCTTCGTTTAAAAGTGATCAACGCGTCGATTGCTACCTCCAGCTGCTTAGGATATCCTACTGGAAGTCGCACTTTGACGGTGCAGCGAAAACGATCTCTATCAGAGGGCCAATCTTCCAACTTTTGTTTGTGATGTGTCAAAACATCCCATATGTCCCTTTACCTTTCTCTTTCCTGTCAACATGATATTTCCCAAGCCCTCATTTCTTTTCAAATGGCTCGAAAATACTTTAGCGTGTTTGTTTCTTTATAAAAGTTCTCTAACCATTGATCTTCCTCCTTGAGTTTCTGCCTAATTGGCTTATTTTTTCTGTGCTCCGTCCATGATAATTTTTGAAAATATCAATATCACTTCATTTCAAAAACGTCAATTCTTTTTAAGGTTAATATATGTTTCAGTAATAGTCCAGCCGCCTTGTCTGCTGGGATGAAATAATTACGACTGTTATACTACTATACTGACTCAGTTTTTTTCTCCCGCCCTCATCGACACAGCACTGCTGTAACAGTTTCATCAAAACCAAACCTTATATAATATTATATAAAAACGTTAGGCATAGTGTTTGAATTATACATTAAGAGAGAAGAGTTTTTATCAACCGTGATGCCATATGCTCAGAGCAGAAATTCACGAGGCAACCGTATTTCAGCCAAGAAATGTGTCCTAAAAGGAGAAAATTTAAGATAAAAATTGACGTGCAATTGTTTTCTTGATCAAAACATGAAGTAAAATTTCTTTTTCTTATTGAAATTTCCAAAATTAATTGTTAAAAGAAACTGATATATTTTGATCTCTTCTAACCTCATCTTTTTCTGCTTTTTCCTCATTAACAAAACTGTTGTTATGCATAGTTCTTATCATTGGTGTTGTTTATTTATAAGATACGCAACCGACGTTTCACTCACCGTTTTTCTCCATTCTTTGCAGTGTAAGAACTTCTATAAAACCCTACAAGTTTATCCGTCAGGGGATAGTTAAATTCAATATAAATCATGTAAGTTTTTCCTGAGACGAGTTCCTCGTTTACTCTAATGAGAAACATAGCAAGAGTCTTATTACTCATTGTTCCTTGGACATCCAATTCTGTATCTTGCTGTCTTTTCTCACTTCTTTGATTCAATTCGTCGTCCTCGTGAACATCCTGCACGTCGACGGAAGCATCTACATCCTCTTGTTTCTTTTCAAAGACTGCTGTCTTGACGACGTTCATGTCTCTTAAATGAAGAATAATATTTGCTGTTGGCTTTGCACATTTGATGAGTATACCAACTTTTCCCTTTACGTGGAATGTTTTTAAGTCCGTGTCTAACGTTATGTTGTATTTTATAGGAAATAAAGTCTGTGGAAGTCGTAAACTTCCCCATGGAAATTTGTCTTCCTTCTTAGTTATGATCCTTTGGCGATTAGTCACACTTTCTCTTGGCTTTACTAAACTTCCCAGCAGAAAAAAGTATAAAACGAAGCTTAGTAACCGACGAAAGCTTCGAGCATACATTTCAAACAAAAGGAAAGGAATGCCAAGCTAGCTGCTACAAACGTAGCTTAATCATGTATCATCCTTTGCAAAAGTGTTTAACAAACCTTGAGTGCTGATAAAAAGTGCACAACAGAAGTAAGGGTTATATTTCATTCCCAGGCTCCATGGTGTAATTGCGGGGGAGCAAAATGCGAGCCCGCAGACTTATTCTTGGTGGAGGGGGTCAGCGACACTTTATAAGCTGTATACCGAGGTTTTGGGGGCGTTTCTTGTTGTTACAGAGACTATTGAAGTTATGAACATATGAAAATCATGTATGAGCACTGCGGTGTGAAGAAGTATACGAAAGAAGATCATCCTTTCACGGGTTTAATACGAACCAATTCAACGACCTGCTCCTAGTTGGCTTGTTAGCTCAAATCGTAGAGCGCTGCACATGTATTGTTTTTTAGGTGTGGGTGTTGTTCATGATCAGTGTCTTTTCAGTTTTTTAATTTGTATTACGTCATTTGGTTATTGCACTTGTCCGCGACAAGGTTTTTGCAAATGCCGTCCACATTTTTGGGACGCCTTTGTTGTGCCAACTAATATGCATAGTACATGTATATGGCCGCGAAGGCCCTGGCGTTGATTTCAAGGTCCATCTGATGTCCCTGCTGTGATCAGGTGAATGTAAATTTTCGAGGCACAAGCATCAATATTTAATATTCGATCCGCAAACACAATTAATTCAGGTAATACATAAGCCTACTGTACCGAATGCATGACTTTTCGATTCGCTTTGCCCGCCAGAAATCTAGTTACCAAGCGAAATAAAAGTAGAGCCTGATCTCAGTTTAGTGGGGGACGAAAATTCGCTAAGATACGAGAACATTGCAAAGTCTGTAAATCTATGTAAATTAAATAAGTTAATTCAGGGTACACTGCAGTGCTTGTTTCAAGCATGTTATATCGCTTGTCATCAATTCAACAAACCGAAGGTGTAACGAATGTTTTCGCTTAGGAAGCTATAAGTTGCAAAGGTATAGGGGCTGTTTACTTAATTCACTGGATATTCCAATACTGAGATTCTCGCATTTCGTTATTGAAACAATTAACATCTAGGCTTAGATGATTTGAAATGGAATTGTCACATTGACTCCATTATTAAGAAAGCTAAAAAGCGCTTGTATAGCTTATCTCAGCTTAAACGCTCTGGTCTTGGTACCCGTGAGTTAGTCCAGTTTTTCTGCACTTGTATTCGTCCGATCACAGAGTACGCGTGTCCTGTCTTTCATGACGGCCTCCCCGTGTACCTCTCCACCGAACTTGAAGGAGTACAAAAGCGGGCTATGCGCATCATTTTTCCTCTTTGCTCATATAATGAGGCCTTGGTTGAATCAGGCCTCACTAAACTTTCAGACCGCCGCCAAGAACTAGTTGATAAACTATTTAAGAATGTTTTACAGAACGAACAGAACAAGCTCCATGAACTTCTTCCTGCTCGCAACTCATGTACCTTTAACCTACGAAATATGCGGAAGTTTAAGCCAGCTTTTAAGACGAACAGGTTTCGTAGTAGTTTTATTACCTTTAACGCCCTTAAGGCTTGAACGGTTTTAGTAGATTTTTAAACCTCTTCTATATTTTTAGAACATATATATAGTGTCCTTATTTGCTGTTTTAAATCACTTGTAGTCTTTTTAATGTAATTATCAATATTCAATTTTTTGTAAATAATCGTGTAATTCAACTTTTAGTTGCAAATCGGTTATTAATAAACTATCTATCTATCTATCTATCTATCTATCTATCTATCTATCTATCTATCTAATTAATAACAGGACCTCGTGTAGTAAAATCAGGGGTAATTGGGATGGTAAATTCAAATGGGCCTAGTGCCACGCGCTCAGCCTATTTTAAATTACCCGCCCGATTACTTACTGAAATATACTCCACTCAGTTCATTGTTTACGTTTTCCCTCGTCAGCATGCAACTTAACCAGTATAACTACAGCCACGCCCACATATACAAACTAAATTCAAAAGTTGAAAGTGCTTAACGAGGGCAATTTGATCCATTTTCAACTTAATGAAAGCAATATCGCAGAAAACAGTAGCCGCCAAAAACTGCAAAACTGCTGGGTGGCTTTCGCCCCATAACGTTTGGTTTTTCCGACCGAAACGTCTTAGAGTTAAGATTAACGTCAGATCAAAGAAGTCCACAAATGTTAAATTTTAGGACGTCTTTATTGCTTGAAGGTCTTTCAGTCTTAAATGTGTCGTGCTAACCAAGCCGTCACTTCGTCACCATGTTCACTAAGCCACATGATATTTGCTCGAATCTTCTCCATTCCCATCTGAACCTGACGATACGAGTTCGCAGCAGAGGGGTAAGCCTTGAAAAATTCCGTGAACTTAAAACATAAACATAAGGAAAGAAATCAAATATAATTTTCTATTCACTTTTATTCCAGGGTAAGGAATTTCATAATAATGAAGAAAAGGCCAAATTATTTTTCAATACCCTCCCATTTCAAGGTAATGTTAAGCCGTGAATCGCCCCATGTAAGGGAATCCAAGCTGGTCTTGGAATCTGGATTCAACGCCGTGGGTTCTCGGTTTCACGGTACTAGATTCCGGGTTCAATGTCAGTGGAACTTGGATTCCGAATTCTAATCGTTAGCGGGATTCTGGATTCCTTGAGCTGTATTCGGGATTCCAGAACCCAGGATTTCATATTCCACAAGAAAAAAAGTTCGACATTCCAGATTTCACAAGCAAAACTTCCCCGGATTCCGTAATCCGGATTCCCTTACATGGGAAACATTTGTGTTACTTTTCTGTTAACATTTCGAGTCATGAATGTAAGTATGTATCAACAAACTTTATTTTAAAAGGGTAGCGCTAAACAGCAAATTGACAAACCTATGGCCCTCATTATGAAACAGCTAACAATTACAATTAAAAATATACATAGAATAATCTGAAAATTACAATTAAAAAATACAACTAAAGTAAAAATTACAATTAAAAATTGTGAAAACGAAGTTATCAAAAAGTAAGAATTACAACAATTAGGAAGAGAGTAAAGAAGACGCATACAAGTCAATTAAGACCTTTTTAAAACTATGTGCACATTCAATCTTTTTTAAAGAATTTGGCACTGCATTCCACAATCATGCATGCCGTGTCAAATGGTGTCGAAAGTTCCTTTGGTTATCACAAAAAATGTTCGTGGCGAAGTCACCTTTATGTGGGCTTTTTGCGTCACATTTAATCAACAAAATCAGACGCCTAGACCTCAAACTCAGTACCAGATAGCTCTTCATGGCGCCATGTGAAAAAATTATGGAAAAAAAGCTCAAAGGTAAGTGTTAGATTTTTAGACGTTTTTTGCGATAAACTGAAAGTAATCTTATGCTTAAGAACACTGATCGTACCTCTCTGAGTTGGGTTTCTGTGTTGCAACTGGCCATCAAGGAAGTAATCAAGGATGAGAGCGCTACATCACTTTCATACCTAAGACGAAGACAAAAGATACAGTAGTGAATTATTAGCGGAGCTCCAGGCGCGTTCGATTGGATCCCCATAGTTACGAAAATTTGGTAATTTCATATCCATCCGAGAAATTTTGGCAGTCAGGTGACCGTACGTTCGCGCGTCCTTCTGAACTCGGCATGAAAAGCGACGCAGCCGGGACACCCTTTTGTAAAGGCAGCGTCACCCTTCTTGCCGGGCCAACTTTTCTTCATATTAATACTTTGGCTCGGGTCAATTCGGTCAAAGAGAGACATTTAGCGCATGCACAAGCGCTTTTGATTGAGGCAAAGAGGTTAATATTTTCTCATATATAAACGCTCGCCAAAACTGACTGCGACGGACTTGATGCTGTTTGCCTAGGCTCGATTTCGGTCGATTTCAGTCCTTCCCGACAAGAGACCGCTGGTCGCCTGAGTGGCCTATCGTGTCTATGACGTAAATTCAAAATTTAATTCATGCGTTATTAAGAAACATCAGAAATGGGAAATGTCATTAAATACGGAACACATGTTGTGCTTTGCCTCGTCGTCGCTGTGGTATTCGCCATGAGAATCCGCAGAAACAAATACCGATTACCGATGGACTTGACAGTCGTCTCTTTCACCTTAGCTGTCAAAAACCATCGTTCATATACACTAGAAAATACAGTAGAACATCGGTAACTCGAACTCGGATAACTCGAATTCCCCGTCAACTCGAACTTAATTTTCTTTCCCTTGATCAAAATTTCACTGAAATTTACCCCGATAACTCGAACTGCTCTCTAACTGGCCTGCGAGCTGTTTTTCGTTTCCTTTCAGGGTTCGAGTTACCGGGTTTCCGCTGTAATTATTGATCCAGTTCCAGTTGGCTGAATTTCAAAAACATACCTACCATTTGCCAGCTTCTTTAAGCTAATACTTTTCTTTTTTCTCTTTTCTTTTCTTCGTTTTTTTTTTTCTTTTTTTTTAAACGATCTAAAACACGATCGCAAGCCACATCAATCCCCTTTCTTGAATCTGCTCCAGGAAAAATTAATTAATGCTGCATGCTCGATATGAGCAGGCAACGCCTTTCTTGGTGGTAATTGACAATAACAAGCTCATGCGTCCAGCCGTCTGTTAGGGGAAGGAGCGCAGGCTCATTTCCCGAACAGCGGCTGGTAATAGAGCTTACTGTTTGTTAGCAAATTTTTTTTAACATGTGCATCGCTGCGAGCAGATCTCGACACCATCTCAATTTCCTTGATACAGCTAGTTCAGTTATAACCATCGACTTATCAATAATTATAAATGGATGCTCACGCTCAAAAAATCAGTTTGACGACATGAAGAAAACAAGATTTAATAGTCCAGAAGTTCGGGCTTCGGTTATTTCATAAGCTTGACGCGATTCAGGCAGAGGCTCCTTTTCTCCTCCTAGATCAAGAAGAAGGTAAAAGGAGGGTGCAGTCAAGGATCAATGAAAAATAAGATATATATAAAATATTCCGGCGAAAAGTTAAACAAAATTTATAGAGGTTCTTATGCAAAAACCGCTTCGTTGTCTCTCGGTAACTAACGAATCAGGAACGAATCACAGTGTTTTTCTTTTTTAAAAAAAAGTAGTGATTGCGCATGCTCGGGGGCTTTATATACAAGACTTGTTCAGGTAGATGATTTTTCGCGGACACCATTGATGTAAATTAAAATAGGTAAGCCTGCATAAAGGCATATTTTTGTGTTTTTCAGGCAAACGAGGGTGGTGTGGAGTGCCAAACGGGCGAGATGGAAGCGCGCTCCACGCCGTCTTACGCTTGCCCTCGCTAACCAGAAAACCCAAATAATACAACGCTAGTTCTCCAAGTAAAAGCAGGTACGAGTTACATGCTGAAGCATATCTAAAATACTTTCATTAGGTTTTTTTATAATTTTAAATTAGAAAATTTCTTTACATCACTTGCAAATCAACGATAAGCCGATACCTTTTGTAAAGAATTTTCCAGTTATGACGAACAAAATTCCAGGTCATCTGCCATGCTTTAGAGTTGGTAGCCAGCTGGGATATTACAGTGATAGTGTCCTGAGAGCGAATTTTGTCGTCATCCAATGAATAGTCGAGAATCCTGATTGTAGATACAAAGTGGCATTCAGGTGAACATAAGAATTTTATGAAAAAAAGTAATCTACAAAACACAAATAAGGCCCGACTAAGACAGATATACAGAAAATAGTCCAAAGTGAGAAATAGAATTAGTTTAGAGAAATCTGCCTTCGGAAGTTCTGATCAATTAGGATTTGCTGCTGATTTCACAATCGAAAAGTCTTTACTTACCTTTCAATCATTTGACGATTCCTGGTGTATGTAAGGGCTGACAAAAGAATCTTCTTTTCCGAGGCAATATTTGTCGACTTATACTTGTCATAAACTTGATCCCATTCCTTCACACCACCTTCACGGACGCCGATAGAATAAACCAGTGGAAGGAGATTTGATGCAATGCTATAAATAAAAAAGAAAACAAGGTGCATGAACTAAGACTAGAATTATATTAAAACAATATAGTTTATGTTCACGGGAATAACTATGTTTTGGGCCCGACTCAGACTCGTTTTAGCCCGGGCGTCTAGGGGAGGGTTATGAGCTCTGTGAAGGACATAAAACATATTTATGTCCAAGAGCATAAACTTTATTACTATTATTATTACTTTGGAGGGAAATGAGAAAACGAAGACCTCAAAAAATGACAACAAATCAGTCTGAATCAAATCACGTGAGCATTTGCATGTTGAATGGCTATTATTTTTCGTTTTATTCCCTTGAAAAAGCTGTAATGTAAACGGTAGACGTTGTCAAGGACTGATGGCTGCTTCGGGCATGATACAAACACCTTGATATTCTAAAGATCATTCCAGTCAAAACCTTTCAGAAACAGAGACAACTCAAAGTCTTACAAAATTCTTCAAAACAATATTTTTCATATTCGGTGAAAGCTGTGCCGGTGAAATGAGAAAAAAAAAACAGAAAACTCAAAAAATTGCCCATCCTCGCCAAGATATCCAAATACGTCACGTCCGTCGTTTTTGGCAACGTGGAGGTCAGCGGTTAAAGTTGTGCAATGACTTAGATGGTTTCCCACTTTATTTTTGGCCTTCGGAACGTCGACCCGACATTAAACGCAGTCCCAAAAAAAGAAACTTATGGACATTCATGAGCGTCGCGAATCTTTCACTTGGGGCTCCGCCCAGGTAAAAAGTGTTTCAAACTTCATCAATCTTATTTAATTTCATTTACGTTGGCAAAGCGTCGCGAATCTTTCACTTGGGGCTCCGCCCAGGTAAAAAGTGTTTCAAACTTCATCAATCTTATTTAATTTCATTTACGTTGGCGAAATTCTCTTGAGTTCAATCCGAAAGGACCGTATCTTAGTTTAGAAAAAGAAAAATAAATTCAGTTTGTGTTGTGTTCACATACTCGGTAAAGCGTGCGCGTGAAATTAGGAAGGTTTATAGTCGCAGTCGCGCAGTCGTGATACGACGGCAAAGAAATGTACAAAAAAGGTTGATCACGAGCCAAGTTGTTGTTTTTGTAATATAAACCTATTGCTTCTTTGCGGTTTTCGTTTCCGTCGCTATCGTAGCTCCCTATCGTTGTGATCCTGACATTTTGCTACCACGGTAGCGTGAAGAAGTTCGCCACTTATGCCTGACAAAGTGAGGATAATTGCACTTTAGGATAAAGATTCGCGAATTTCCAGCGCCGCTCCTTAGCGTTAATGTTACGTTCATTTGTCTTGGTTAGGTGTTGATACATGTACGTACTATTGTCCCTCCATAGCGGGTTGAAACATCTTCTTAACCTCAAAGATAACTTCCTGGTCTGAACAATCGCACGCCGTGGAAAGAATAGATGGCCGCAAAAGTCTGAAAAGCAATGACACTGTTCTGTACCATAATCAAACTTCAATGCAGGTCGTCTAGGTCAATTACCTTCCCTTCTCTCGGCCAATGAATTATGGTATGTACCCAACTACAAAGGCGTTGACCGTGTAAAATAAAAAGTAAAATAACAGCTTCGGAGGAGGAGTTTGCGGTTGTGGTAGTGGTGGTGGTAGTGGTGGTGGTAGTGGTGGTGGTGATGTAGATGAAGGAAGAGAGGTAGGAGGAGGAGGAGATGGTGGTGGTGGTGGTGGTCGGTGGTTTGGTTGTGGGGAAAAACTAAGAGAAAATGATAACGAAAGTTGTAGTGCTTAAGTAAATAGATTTCTTCCCATGGCACCGTTTAATGGTCGTTTAGTGCGTGAGACTTCAATAACGTTCTGAAGGCTTTATTTCAGTAATTTTGCATTCGCTCTTAACTCTTTATTTGTATCGAGTATTTCTACGACTTAGTGGAGTAATCTACATAAATACTTGTTTGTGTAAAAGTACATGTTTATGAATACAAGGTTTGAAAGGACAAGAAATGCATCGCCAGTTTCTAGCTCATATATCACCGACAGTAGTATAAGGAAGTGTAAGTCTATAGAGATTTTACTTTTCTAAGTGCGATCCCTTGTCCTCCAATCCGAGCCGCCTTATAGCTGGATCAAGTTGTTTCAGCATGTAGCTCTAGTCAACAACAACAAAAAGTAATAAATCACACGTAAGTTACCTACCGACCCTAGGAGATGAAGAGATCTACAGACTAGAAATTACATGGAGCTGTGCCCATGTAGTGGTGATCTGATATTTTCCTGATGGCGAACAAGGGTGAACGGAGGTACTTGAATTCTAACTAACTGAATAAATTTGTTCAATTCCCCGATCCCTATTTCTTCGCATTTTATTGATGAATTTAAACTTATTATCAGGTACGTGTTAAGTTTCTCGAATTTAATATCTCAATTAATTGTTCAGAATACTACATTTCTTAGCTCAAAGTTGAGGTTTTATTCCCCGATTTTCAGACTGACCTGTTAAAACCCCAACCCATACACCGGATCGGTCTTATAATTTACAATAGCAAAAGACGTTCAACGTTTTTATTATTTTCGGTTGTCCTACATGTTTGAATAAGTATATTCGTCGAGAACAGTTTGACACTCTTAAGTGAAATTGGTGAATGTTGGTGAGAGGACGACGACATTGAATTTGCCACATGCAATTTCTCTTTACTGAACTCCATATATTTCTTTAAAGAATTTTAATTAAAAGAACTGTTTTGATAAACTGTCAAATCATTTAGGTGATCGCCATTTTAACAATTCCCAAAACCTTTTATCTTGATGATTTATTGACATTGTAAGGAGAAAATCGATGTTGATCGCTCGTAGCTTAGGACTAAAAGGGTTAATTAACCTAACCTAAACAAATCTACCACATCTGTGATAGCTATACCTTAAACAAACCGTAGGACTTGCGTTGCGATAAGTTGCTGCCGATATAATTCATATTCTGTATGAATGTTTTCAATGGTACATAATCTGTTTCGTGAATGATATACTCTGTCAAATCCAAAGGGATACTCTGAGCCAGCAAATTGCCCCTAAACAGTGATAAGGGAAACACATTCAGTATACAACTATCAGTAGTTAAAGACGAAAAATGTGAAAAAAAAAATACAGAAAATCAATGTAGATTCCATGCGCGATCGGAGGGAGGAATATTAAAGAAAGTAGTTTTATTAGTTATTGTTATTACAAGAGTAGGAAAAGCCACAATCGGCACGTTACCTGGTCAAATGAAAAGCGTCATCTATTAATCCTGACCGGTCAACGGCGCTCAACGCCTGAAGAAAGTTAAAACTAGTTATTTACTATAAAGTCAAACCTTTGTTTCTTAGGCAGCTGACCTCTGTATAAAGTGCTCGCTTAAGATTTATTTTTTTGAATCAAGATTAATATTGTTTTTCGTTTTATTGGCGAAATTAGAGTTTAGTTTATCTTTCCTTAAAAACTTTCCTTGAAAAGAGATGAGAATATAATGATAGAACACGAACTGATAAATGAAGAGATGGGAATAAAAATATCTGGTCTCGGTTGTTAAAAGGCTGGATAGCGCTATCCACCTAATAAATCTCTATCCAGTGGATAGTGCAATTAGTTTCCCCATTATTTATCCGCTGGATAGTGCATGATTTATCCGGTGGATAGCGCTATCCAACGTTTGAACAACCGGGGCCAGTAGAACCTCTATCAAGCGGCCCCGTTCTATTTAGCGACGTGACCAGAGTCCAGCGCGGGACAAAACTCCCAGAAAACCATGACTGAAAACAGAGTCTTCTGACCAAAGGAGCTCAGTGTCCAGTAATTTCCAAAACATTAAGAGAGATGCAAACAAACTGATTTAAATATAAAAGATAACGGCTCAAAACACTTAAAAAATGTTTAAGTAACACAGCAAATACAAACGAATTAAGCGTTAAATGACAGGACAAAGGAAAGGCCAAAGTTGACTAGACGAAAACAGATTGAAATGCGGTTTTTGAAAACTGGTTAGCTCGCTAACAGTTTTTCTATGTCCATTTTTGTCTTTTTTAACGTTTATGTAATGCTTTGGGAATATTATACAATTATATTTGTTTAAAAGTCGTGAAATGATCTTTTTCAAGTATTTCTAAACTTCTCCTCAACGTCAAGTTTATTGGAGAAAAAAAGGACGCATTATTGGTAATATTAACCCACTAAACAATTATACAGACAGAGGACGGCGGTGAAACAGCCCTTTTGAAAGTGCAACATTCTTTAAGGCTGAATTGATCGGCGTTTAAGCTGTTCCATAAAAAACAAGTAAGTACGTCAACATATTTACTTTATGGTCAGTTTTTAACTGACGAGATAGAGCTTTCCAATTCTCCGCTTCGTAGTTTACTCGGTAATAACCAATCTGATCAACATTGGCTTTGATCCAACCATCAGAGGAGACCCAGTTTAGTGAAGCTGCAATAGATTTCAAATGCTTGATAAGGTTTAAATGTCTTTTTTCTGGATTTTAGTTCTTGTTTACAATATTACTTAAACGCTACAATAAAACGATGAAAATCAGGGTTGGACGGGTACAGTTTGTTCATTTTAATTGGCCGATAACAATACATCTTTGCCTTTTCTTTTTTCGAAGTCGCTGTAAAAATGCGAGTCTTAAGAGACCTGTCTTGAATAGCTTCATGCATCGCGGAGGAGAGTTTGCAGATTTGAATGAAATCGGCGTGGATGGCATCAAATACACTCCGGCATTTCGGAACTTCAAGTGGCCGTTTTCTGTTTCATTAACTTAAGGCTTCAGTTTTCGTTTTCTTTTTTTTTTGTTTAATTTTAACTAATCTAAATTTTACATTTTATGAACGGGTATCCGCGGCATAAGACGTACAAGTACAAGCAAAACCGGCAAGCCCTTACCAGGTCCTCTATTCATCCAAACATTGACTGCATCCTTGTTCTTCTGAGTGATGTACGTTAGAGGTATATTCCAGGTATAACTAGAAATGAGCGGACCTTGAATTACTTTCAATGGACGTAAATCAATGCGTGCAGTAGTTTGTCAGGGTAAAAAAGTGTGGTATGTTCTATCCACTGAAAAGCACGTTTATCATCGTTGTATTTGCAATATTTCGTTACAGATCGGCACATTGACATATATTTGGTGTGTCTGTGTAATTCGTGTATGAACGTTTCTCAGAAAAAATATTCGCTGCTACGTATCGAGGATATCAAGAATGAAGCTGTGGTAAGAGGCTTCGTCTCGTCCCAAGTAGTCCGTGTTCGCATCCCGGAGATGGAATATGTGCTGATTGAGTTTGTTACAGCTGCAGCCTGCGTGGCATGCGTTGATAGAGGTAGGGGACGAAAGAAAAATAAGGAAAAATAAGAAGGGGAATTTGGCATTTTCGTGTAGCCTCCCTCTCTGTTTTTTGCACTTGCCATTTTCTCAGGCATTTCTTAACCTGATGCTGGTTCTGTTCTTTGCTTCGAGAGATTTTCCTGCAGTAACACTAATTTTTGCCCTCCCCCACAAAGAAAATTTTTTTTTTCAAATTCCAATTCGATCTGGAACACCATCCTGAACATTCTAGAGTTTCTGGGATTTTTTGGTAACCAAATTGAATCACATTCTACGAAGCTAAATTCAAAAATATTTAATAGGTATTAATAACTTTATTCTTTTAAATTAAAACGCTTGACTCATCATACAGATCAGCAAAGTTGATGTCACTTACTCGAAGGGAGAACTCTGGTTGGGCTTCGCACCAGGGAGGATAAGGAATAGTTTTTGATCTGCTCTTGCCTTCTCTTGATCCACCCGCGTGATAGTGACCACCGGTAATCCCATTTGTTTTATCCAAGTGTCCATCACCTTTTTCACATTGATGCCAGTTTGCTTATGGACGACCCAAGTAGCATTTAGTAGTATTAATTCAATATCAGAAGATCGTTGTGAGAATAACACGACAAAAATTTCTTATTTTTAAAGCTGTGCCTATGTAATTATGCTTAGTTTTGTCGAACGCTTCTCTCTAGTCTCTCTCTGTGTTGTTTGATTTGAATGGTTAAATCATGGAGAAAACGGTCGATGGTTTCAAACACAAAAAGATTTAACTACATGAAACACACAGCACTAAACACGCGAGTTTCGACATTGCGGTCAACTCACCAGCAGAGCGGCTTTTAGTGCGCATGCGTATAACAACGACCGCTGACAAAGAGAAATCAAATACATTGCACTTCCTCCCCTTCTAATCTGTGAAAATCCTTAAACCATTGAAAACACTGCTTTGCAATGAAAACTCTAGGAAAGCTAATAAGTCACTTGAAACTTCAACAATTTAACACAAGGGCAAACTAAATGTCTCCCGAGATTGTACAAAGCTAGTTCCTATTACTGTCCATGTCACAGATTTAGCTTAACTGGTGCTTTTCTTTCCCCGACTGGATATATGCGCTCAGTTTTGCTCTGGCAAAGCTCTGGGAGTTGACACATTGTGACTTGGTTCTCAAGACAGAGCATCCACTTCAAGGGCTAGAACCGAGTGGGTAGACTAAAGCTTACGGGCTCCAACAGGGGTCTCAGTGTTTGGAGTTGATGGCTGCGCTAAGCCACAGTTCGAGATCTTGTTATTAAGCACTGAGGCTTGTACTGGAGCTGGACCAGGAGTCTATCCAGGATCCCTACGGGATTGCTCCGTTGCTGACGTGAGCTGACTGGTAGAACCGCTAGTTGATGTAAGCGAACCCTTGCGACATCTTGCTCCTTGGGAAGCACTTTATCAAAACCCTCTTCATCTAAAATCTCTTCAGGTTCACAAGCTCAGTCTGCAGCAGGTGATCAATGTGAAAATAACGCAGTTGCCACCCTACTTTCGCCAGATAGATTATTGGCCCCAGCCCTCTGATTAACGTAGCAGGGACCCATTTATTCTTTACTCCTCCCGACATTTCGAACATTCGCCGAATCACACGCAGACAGTTCACGCACCTTAACACGGTTTTTGGCATGCTTCTGCTGTTAATTATTTACCTTGCTGGTTTTCAACGTACACTTCCATCTTAGGTTTTAGGACACTAAACTTGGTGCGAGGCTTACGGTTTAAGTTCCGCTGGTGTCACAGCTCTTACAGAATGGGCGTGTCTCTGTGCCGGAACAAACAGTTTGCTTATTGATGCTTTAAATATCGCTTCTGTGCATCTCTTCTCACCTCGGGACTCCTTTTGTAATGCTTGCTTTAGGATTTGGACTGTACGTTCTGTTGCACCATTAGACGATGGATAATAGGGAGGAAATTCACAAAGAACTGGGGCCCGTTGTCGAACACATCTTCCTCTGGGAGTGCATAAGCTGGAAGCCGCACTCGAACTGGTCAACAGTGTTCTTAGCTGAAGCAGACGTCATGTTTGCTAGTTCAATCCACTTGGAGTGCCTGTCAACTGGACCAAGGAAATGTTTGCCATCCCTTTTAGCAAAGTCAATGTGTATTCTCTGCCACACTCAAGTAAGTCATCTCCATGGTTACAGCGGTGCTCTCGGAGGTGCATTTCGTACTAGTTGGAATACCTCATAATGCGTTACCATCAGCTCAATCTCTGTATTCAAATTAGGCCATCGCAAGTACCTCCGTGTAACAGCTTTCATAGCAACAATACCCGGATGCTCTTCATGTAACTCTTGCAGTAGTCGGTTCCTTTACGGTGGTGGAATGATTACACCCATTCCTAACAAGACACATCCTTGATCTGCTCTTACAACAGTTCTTCATCCACTTCATGATAAAGCCATCCAGTCAAGGTGTACTCTAAAACTCTTGTTAACACAGGCACTCTTTGGAGGTCCCTGCTGATTTCCTTAGCGTCATCAAGCAATTCACCAAGGCCTGAAAAGAAGAAGATTTCTGCCTCTTCTTTCATGGGCTCGTTGTCACAGGGCTAACGTGACAAGAAATTTGCATTAGCATGCTTTGCTAATGAGCAATACCCCGCCTAATAATTGTACGCTTGTAAAATGACGACCCAACGCTGCATTTTAGTAGCTGATAAAGTAAGTACTGCTGTATTGGAAACCAAGATGGTCACTAATGGCTTGTGGTCTTTTCCCAGGTGGAAAGGTCGACCATACAGTTCTTCTTCAGGACATCAAATACAATTCCCAAGGCTTCCTTTTATATTTGCGAGTAATTCCTTTTAGTCTTGGAGACTGTTCTCGAAACAATTCCAATGAGACGCTCTTCTCTTTCATCTAAAATCACAACTCCAACACCGTAGGAGGAGGCATCACATGCCAGAGTCAGCTTACTCTTTTCATCATATGTCACAAACACCATGTCAGCCTCAAGCTCATATTTGCTGGGCACAAACGCCTCTTTACACTCTTCTGTCCAGGCCCACTTCACTCCTTTCCGGAACAGCTGACGCAAGGGCTGCCGTACCGTGGATAGGTCGGGTGTGAAATCAGTCTTGCTGAACACAGTTCCACCTCCTAATGTGGAATATACATCCTCTGTGTCTGGTAATGGATATGGGTTGTCTAGAAGAACCTTGTTAATGGGCACCTTGAAATCTCTACAGATACGAATGTTTCGTCTCTCTTTAGTACACACACAATAGGCGAAGCCAAGTCACTACGCTCCACCTTCTTAACTACTCCTTCACTTTCCAGACGGTCTACCTCTTCAACTCTTCTGCTCGTCATGATCATACACTATCGGCAACCAAACCTGCCTCCCACATACAGGGACTTACACTCCATTGTAAGCCTTTAACTTAATTGGTGCACTGCAACAGCCACTGATTTAACTGCTTGTCGTTCAGATTCTTGGGCACGATAGACACCGTGGCACCTGTATCCAATTGCATTTCACAACTTATCTGGTCTAGCATTACTAATTAGTGCACCTCCTTTTTTTTGGAATTCTCAGCTTAAAACAGGCCTTATGCTTCATCATCATCACTTGTATCATCAACCACCAGTTATTCCAAATACTTGACAATTTCAGCTCCCCGCTTAAGATCACCGTAATGCACCTATCAAAGTAAACCCCGTGGGGGGGGGGAGGGCGGGCAAGGGGTGGGGATTTGACAAATTTTAAAATTTTTTGATCAAATTCCCCAGGGGGGGAAACGAAAGGTCAATCAAAAGTGTCAAAAAAGCCCCCATAGTACTTTTTAAAACGAATAAACGAACATTTCAAAAGTACGTTCTTACTACTTTTATTTAAGGTTAACGTAAGTTCCGTTAAATTACTCTCTCCACTCTCTCCACTAGCATCTCTTATTTTGAACAACATAATCACTCCAGGAAGATTGACCGTGCTATTATATTAATGAAACGTAAGATGCTTTATAACATCTGCTCAACATATGGGAACAGGTCGGATCAGTGACCCGTGAAAAATCCTCTGACTTTCATGGTAAAATTCGATTTCAATCGAGGTTTACAATCAGATGGGAACTTGAAGATAAAAACTTTCTCAAAATAGACATTATCTGTTTAGATGACAGTGTAAAGTATCGGATTATGGCGATTAAAACAAATGAAAACTTCATACCTTTCTCCAACAGCATGACTTTCAGAAAGCCTCAAAGGACGGACTTGGTAACCGCTTCTGAATTGATACCGGGCTTCTATTGGTCAAAGTCAAATGTCGTGACCCCGGGGTCGCTTCACGATCAAAAGCCCGACATGGGGATAGTCTCAGGCATCAAATCCCCTCCCCTTGCCCGCACTCCCCCCCCGGGATTTACATTGATAGGTGCATAAGAGTTTGTTACTCCACCTCTTGTTTCAGTCTTGCACATAGCTGCATAATGATCTACCATTTACACTTTGAACAATCTACTTGCCGAGAAGAGCAACATTTATCACGACCATAATGCCCCGCTTGATCACTGATAGTACCGCCCGTTACCAGACCACTTGGTTGACTTCTTAGGAGATTTAAAGGGAGATTTCTGAACGACTTTATGCACAAACAATGGCCCTTCTTTCTTTAACTCAAGGCTCTGCTCTTTCATTTGTTTAGCTTGCAGGTCTACGGCCTCCATTGCTACATCAACCTCTTTCACCTTGTTCAAAGTCTGGTTTTTGCTTTCCCAGAAGTTTCCTTCTTAAAACCTAAGATCGGTATTTATCGATTACTTGATCTCTGATGTCAACATCTGGGTCGTTGAAATTATATTTCTGTGCTTGTTTTCTGAGTCTAGCGATGAACTGGTCGACTGTCTCTTCATTTTGTTGTGTCATGCTCCTGAAAACATGTCTTAACATACGGTTCTTTGCGTTTGGTTACGCGTTTGGAGTGCGTGCAGTTTTCTCGTACTCGGTAGCGTTATCTTCCTAAAATATCTCGTGGCCTGGGTCCATTAACATTTTGTACAACTCTTAAACCTCTATCTATCCACTGTTTGAAGTAGCAAAGCTTTCTTCTGGGCGTCGTTGACCTCTCCGTTGGCGACGATAAAGTATTGAAGCTATTAAAGCCATTTCTTACAACGTTGTGCCAACGCTGACGAATTCCCTTTACACGCAAAGGGACTTATCCCTTGAATTTCGATATTAACTGCCCCTATTTATCGCTGTTTGAGTCTTCTTTAGTGGATCTCATCCTCGTCGCCAGTGTTAAATATGCAGAAACCGGTCGATGGTTTCAAACACGAACAGATTAACTAGATGAAACACACCACATCAAACACGCGAGTTTCAATATGGCGGTCCACTCACGAGCAAAGCGGCTTTTAATGCGCATGCGTATAGCAACAACCGCTGGAAAAAACAACAAGCGAATAACATTTGTACAGGGAGAGATTTAAGATATCCTTGGGTGATTGTCTGTGTTGCTGCGTTGCCAGTGGTCAAAAGATAAGTTCAGATCATCAGAGGGAAACTGACAAAAGGCCATTGTTTCTAACCGTCAGCCTCTAAATCTCTTTACTGTTGTAAATTTAACATTTACTCAGACAAACTAAGTGTTCGATTTTTCAAAGGTCAGAAGGCGTCATGTAAACTAAACAGAGACATTTTTCACCAAAAATATAGATTTTCTAACTGTCAAATAACTGTTAATTTTGGCAGCGACTTAAAACTAGTATAAGCGAATATAAGTACAGACGAGAGGAAGAAAATGTTTTACCTCACTTTAAGGTTTAGGGTATTTTATTCGGGATCCCTTGTAACTTACTTCCGCCAAGCATTCGAATAGATCAAAACTGTCAGCGTTTCCAAAAGCAAATTTGTTGAGATATGACTCCAGACCGGTAGTAAATCCTTCAGAGCCAAGAAAATTCCCCATCATCCTGATCACAGAGGCACCCTTAGGTAGAAGAAAATAATTGTATGTTAAAAAAATCCTAAAGATCTGGAGAATCCATATGTGCATTCTTTTGGCTCCCATCAAAACTTCTGTAAAAACTGAAACAACAAATAAAGACATTCAATTAGATTAGAGAAGGTATACCTATAATAAGGTTGGTCCGCTAATCAGCTTAAAGGCACTTTGTTTTGGTTATGCACTGTCTGGTGCCTGTCTACTAATTATTCTCTTGACAGTTTTCAACTTCCCCCAAATTTAAAACCTTTCGATTTTCCATAATTTTTAGCATTTCCCTTAATTTTTATACGTTCAGAAAAACTCGAAATATCATAAAAAAAATTCCCCCATATTTATTGAACCAATGGCACTACCTTTTTGAGCTATTTTTTGATTGAATGAAATTTTGGCTAGATTTAGACGATTAAAAGCTAAGGGCAGAAGTAAACGAAAACAAGCAGAATTCCCCACTTAGGACGAAAAGAATTCTCTGAGATCGGTGCCAGCACTCCAGCGTGCCAATTCACCATTTTCACATAGACCATAATGCACCTTGTTTAACCACCCCCCTGCCAAATTTTGTATAACGATTCCTTCCAATTTCTGGTAGGTATAACAGTCGTCGCAAAGAAAATCGAAGACAATGGTTATGCAAAACTTTTGGGGGTAAACAAGGTGCATGATGGTCTATGGTCTTTCTCAAGTCGAACCCTGTTAATAGGGAGACTGAGCTCGGGGGCCATAGAAAGTGTTCGTAACCCGGTTTTCAAAAACCGAGGTACAAATTTCACAGAAATCACAAGGGGGCAACTCTAAGTTCGTTAAAACTCAGTGAAATGTCTCTCACGATTCTCTCATACATGCATGTTCTTTGTCGGCGAGCTCATTTGGTAAAAAAAACCACTTTTCTAGGTAAAATCATCCTCATATTCTTTGCACGTGATCTAAGGCATTGTAGTGTAATGACAGGCTACTATGTGACATTGAAATATCAGGCAAAACCCAGAACTATCGCCTGAAAACTGTTTTCAACTTTAAAGTGACTTGATTCTTCTTCATTTTGCTTTGCAAACAACATAATTGGACTTCAGGCACTTATTCCATTAAGATAATTATAAAATTTGTAAAAAAAAGATGAGGCAAGGGAACCAAAGGAAGCCAATAAGGCTTGTGAATAGGACCACCTTAAAATTATGTTATCTAGTTAATAAATAAATTAATAATTAATAAATAGAATACTGACATCGGCAATTTAACTCCAAGTACGCAAAATTTCTTTGGAACATAGAAAATAATCATTAAATAGGATAAAATAGAAAAGCCTGAATGTTTAAGTGCAGAAGCAAAAAAGAAAAGGAGAGAAGAAAATCATGCAAGAATAAACGAGAAAAAAAAGCGAAAGAAGCAAAAAACTACACACAAGCATTGGGAGAACTAAAGTGTGCTTTTAACAAGAAAAAATGACTAAGTTAAGGATTGAACAAAGCAATACTTTAGGCATTTTGAATTTCATAGCTAAGGGAATTTTATATTTTGGGCTTTTGAAGACGAAGTGAAAATTTCCTTATACATTTGTCCTGTAGTAAGGCAAACGGAAGGGATTCTTACTTCTAGTGCTATATGAATGTCAGTCACAGTTTAAGGCATAAACATGTCATTGAAACTATTTAGAAGAAGGCCGTTTCTATAGAGTTGCATATATTTACCTCAGTATTTGGAGTTTGATAATATCTTCGAATTTTAGGATTCGTAAGCTCACAAAAATGGGATTGGCATGTTCATCAGACGAACTCCTGGAAACTTTTCTAATAATCCATTTGTGAAGATTAATCAACGTGTAAGATGTGACTGATAAGTTGAGCCCCAAACACTCGCACAAAAATGTAAATAACGATAAACTAAACTATAACAGAGAGAACATAAGGAGGTCTTATTAAGGCAGAAACTTGATTTGTAAATAATGCCTACTAATTTTGAGACTTTTCTTGCTATGTTCTGTATTTGAGATTACCAAGATAGGTGTTCATCAAGTATAACTCCCAAGAACAAAAGTTCATTTATACGATCAATTTCACTATCATTAATTGAAAAATGTAACTCAAGTTTTTGCCTGTTTTGTTTTGTTTTAAGTAAAATAAAATTTGATCTTTTTATGTTAATAGATAGCTTATTAGCCTGAAACCAGCTTGATAGTACTTTTGAACCGGCTGAAGAAAGCCTGTGTTTCCTAAGAGGTCCGTTAGAGTGAATAATGGAGCCGGACAATAGCAAAGCGCAGCAATGGCGGTAGCGACGAAATTGCTAGTAAAAGACAAAACAGCCGCTTGTATCAAAAAAAAATCTCCTAGGTGTTGTATGTGTAATGCTTTCAAAAGAAAAACATAGTCTGCTGAAACACTTTGATTTCTTGAAAAACGTTTGCTATCAATAATTGAACTTTTTGCTTTCAGTAACCTATTGTTTTTGTTGTTGTTGATGTTTTTTTGTTTTTTTTTTCCCAGCTGTTGATTGACCCACAACAACTTTCTTGGAATGTATCGTTATTTTCCTGTAATCCGATTGGTCAACTTTGTTTAGGTGGTCCGTTAGTAAGCAGCGGTCTTCAGCGCGTACCATGGTCTTTCCCCTGACTTATAGCAATTTTTGGAACCGCTTATTCAGAATTTACCATTATTATAATTAGCCACCCCATCGACTAAATTGCACAATAATTTGCGCCCAAAAAAAAAATCGGTAAAAATGATTTGATAAAAGTGTCATAAAAAACAATAAAATAAAATCCTACAAGCTTTACCGACATCTAATTATAAAATAAAAATGTTCATAAGTTAAAAACCATCGTTCATATAGCTGTCCATTAAAGTATGAGAACGTCTAAGGTATGTCAATAAAATTTCGAGAATGTGCAAGATTAAGTATCTGTTAAAATAGGTGTCCAAAATTCCTATAGATATCTAACTGCTCAGCTTGAACATTCTAGCAATGTGCAATGAACTCAACAGGATTGCCTTTTGCATTTGGCGCATAATTGATTCACACTTGTCTCCTACAAGCTCTTTTGCATTTTGCTCAACCTCAGCTTTCGAACAACCTCCAAGGACATCCGTTATGATGTTAATATACTGATTGATCTTGTACTTAGGATATCGGTTCGTCAGCTCTAGCCTCAGTTTATTGTACTTCGTTGTCTTCTCGAAATCTTTAGACTCTCTATTTTCCAGCCATGGACAGCTCATTTCAATTACTGTGACTTGCTTGCTGGTCTTGTCAATGACCGTGGCGTCGATTCTGTTAGCTTTTAATTGAGTTGTGTCAGCGAATAACGGGACGTCCTAGAAGGCGGTCGCATGCTCATTCTCATAGAGTGGCTTGGTTGTGACTTGTGAGAACCACGGTTCAACTTTAGTAATGAGATCTAAAAATCTAAGGACTTCAAAGAATAAGATCTTGAAAGCATTGCTATGTCACTGTAGGTACTTAGTCTGTGCAGGGGCATTACAGCCAAATAGAATGCGCTGCACATTCTCCAGGGAATCCCCGCATATGCGGCGTTTTTCCTCAGTGACTTGTGATTTTGTTTTTCTGTTGTAGTAAACCTTGGTAAGTAACAGCTGTTGGTAAAGCTCTTGTACTCCAGCGATCGTATGCGTTGGGGCATTCTTCCATGAAGAAAGCCACGCGAAGCACTGCTCCAGTTTAGCTTTCTCGTCGTCCCATCTGTTCTTGATATACTTTAAGTCCTAATAGCGGTCGATCTTCTCTTTATTATAATTATTATTATTATTATTATTATTATTATTATTATTTATTATTATTATTATTATTATTTCATGCTCGAGGTTTTTGGGAGAGACAGAGATCTGCATTCTTCGACGTCCGGGTGTGTCACCCTAATGCAGACTCTTAGAGAGACTTGATTCCTAAACAGATCTACAAGAAGCATGAGTACGAGAAGAAGAGGCAGTATGCGGAAAGAGTAATGGAGATCGAACAGGGAACGTTCACTCCCCTAGTTTTCACGACCACAGGTGGAATGGCGGATGAGTGTGTCAAGTACCACAGCAGACTTGCGGAGCTGATCAAAAAATAAGAAGGGAGAAAGTTACTCAAGCGCAATTTCCTGGATAAGAGCTAAAAGTATCTTTCGCCATCGTACGTTCGGCGATACTATGCTTGAGAGGCTCAAGATCCAGAAGAAAACAGCTAGACTTTGCTGACTCAGACCTACAGATTGATAATATTAGAGCCTGCCCAAATTTATTTATTATTATTATTATTATTATTATTATTATTATTTCTAAGAATTAAGAATTTAGGAATACGACACTTTTATTCTTTTTAATATCAGAGACGAATTGGTAATGACTTAATTTAAAACTCTGGACTGCCTGCAAGAGTTAGTGACCGCATTTGAGCCGCAGGAAATGTATTTGTGAAATCTTTATTGACCCAGTGATTGCCATTTTTAATTATTTATACTATTCTTAATGTCATATATTGCCTAATTCTTACTCCAAATATTTCTGTAAATTATGTACATATTTTCTAAAGTTGAATAAAATTAGTATTATTAAAAAAAAAAAGAAATTATCATGTTTCGTTCAAACCTTTGCGTATGTTAATGTGTCGAGGATGTCAGCGAGGTTTTTGGGATCTTGGAGCGCCATTGATACCGGATGTGAAAAACTTGACTGATCGTAGTTGAAAGCTGAGTAAAGTTTGTCATGGACAAACTGGTCCATCATACTCCAGGTTGGTTCAATAAAACTCAATCCGATATCCTCCATATAAGTAGCAAAGCCCTCGCTAAGCCAAATATCGTTCCACCATTTCACTGTAACGAGATTTCCAAACCACTGAAAGATGAAATAACAAATACAGTCAAACAAGTCAAGTTATACCTGGATGTTGGAAATGAGTACATTATTTTTTGTAATTTGGTGCACGTATCGTGAGCGGTTTTGAAGTTACAGAGGGGGAGAGGTGAAGCCGTCCCCGGTCGCACGAAGCAAAAAAAGTCTCGTCTGAATAGGGTTAAGAATTTTGAATGTATAGCTAAGAAACAAAAAATAATTTCAACAAAGTAGAAAATTAGGTCTGGACTTATCGCATAACTTTTTTGAAATAACAAATAATTGGCCACTCCAGAAAATACCATAACATACCATAATGCTTTTTGATTGTCGCCCCAAAGTTTTGCATAAGCATTGTCTTCAGTTTCTCTTGGGAGTTAAAATGGCCCCAAGAGAAACTGAAAACAATGCTTATGCAAAATTTTGGGGTGACAAACAAAGAACATTATGGTATGTTATGGTATTTCTGGAGTGGTCAATTGCCCATCTTCAACCTTAATATAAAGTCCCTTTGAACAGAGTACCATGTGGTATTAAATTAACAAACCATGTCATATGTTGGGAGTCTGGCAAGAAGGTATTTTGAATCCATTATTTCCAACTGTAAGGCCGTAAATAAATAAAGTTGCTGACGTCTCGCCTTTCACGTGTTCGATCGTGAGAGACTTGCCCTTATTTGTTCAAGTATGGGGCGATCTCCCATTTTATACAAATGGCATTTATTTTAAGATCAGTGTATCGATCATTAAAATGACAGGTGCTGCCAAAGTCCTTCACATGGCCAATTTATTTGCAATGAGTTGCTTCCTGATCCTAATTTTACTTTGTAATAAAACCTACAAAATATTATCTTATTGAGAACGATGTATAGTCAAGCAATAAAAAACGAAAAAAAAATTCCTCGGTTCTGGGTCTTAATAGGACGCCATTATCAACAAATTTAAACTCAAAACAAAACAAATTTAAATGGCGATAATTTTTTTTTTCAAGAATAGTGTTGGTACTGATAATCTCTGGGTCATAAATTAAGTCATATTGTTGCATCTTATTTATCAAAGGTTACAAATAATAGGGGATTGAGCTTGGTAGTGAATAAGGTAGAAGTGGTGATAGATCAGTCTATAATTTCCCATATCGACCCATACCTGGTGTGCTAATTCGTGTGTAACTGTCCTAGACACAATTTCTTCTGCAGAATCCGTTGAGACATCAGGATCAAATAGAAGCGCTGAAGTAACAACTGCGACCAAACCCCAGTTTTCCAGCCCACCCCCTAAAAGGTCCGCAGGATAGGCAACCAGACCTGAAAAATGAGGGGATTATTTCCCACGGTGAGTGACTGAGTCGAGATCAACAGTGGTCTATATGTTTCCCATAGCTAATGATAAGAAATATGTGTCAGACTCAAGGTGAAAAGTATTCTATTTCCTCCTTCTTTCATTGTTCGTTGCATACAACGGTTCACTGATTCATAATTTGCGCTCCAAGAATCATTGAATTGAAACTGGAACAATTCTAATTTGCAATGACGCCTTGGGTGTCCTGTCAATATAAAGGCGTTACATGATGATGTTTAGCAGAAATTACCAACGGTATCATTAAAATCGTAACACACCTATTGCGTCATTCTAATTACGCTATTTTTTCATATTCTGTGGCGAGAGTATTGCCTGGTTCCTAGGCCTTACTATTCCGGGCGGTCAGTGCGTTTGGGGTCACGTGGTCCGAGCGAAGAAGTGAGATACGTCACCTAAATGCATTGACCATGAATTCCTGGGAAAACGTCGTACAGGGACAAGAGTAAACAGGTTCAGATTATTTTCCCATGATATGGATTGTAAACTGACCAATAAAGACCCAGATCACTAGGTCTCATGATTGTAGTCCTTACACCACAACTATTAATTGACCCAATAAAAGGGTTTGTAATTAGCAAATTGTGCATCCCAAGTCATCGTTTTTCATTTTTACTGCCTAGTATCTGCTCGTAGCTTTCCAGGAGAATTATACTTGCAATTTTTAACCTCTTGTATACCCTACTAATAGGAATCGACACGACAGGATATTCATGGCTGGCCACCAATAAAGTTACTAACGCATGTCTTGCCTTTTTCACCCTCCCACGCAGACGTTTTGAGCATTTCGAAATGCGTTAATTCTTTCTTCGAAAGAACGGGTGACAAAGCCCTAGCGCTAGCTGTGTGGGGGGCTCTACTTCCTTCCATGTCGCGTGAACTTACGAAACAAGTGTTTTTAGTACTGTAAAGCACACAGCACTTTTAGGGAACTCAAAGCATAGCTGTCGAAGTCTAAATTTAGTTTCCACAATCCAATTTTGGGGGATATCATGAAACGCGCGACACCGTTAAGGATACGCGAAAGCGAGGTGCAGGGCTCGCTTCAGTCGACATCGAGATGGAGAGGTTACTAGCATGGAAACTAAATCTATTTGAAATATCTTAGGTATTAAATAAAGAGCAAAACGTAATAATACGCGCTTTAAAAGTACTTTTTGGAGGCGTTAAACCTTTTATTAGGTTTACGCCCTGTTGTTGCCGCGAGAGCGAGCGTGAAGCGAAGAAAAAGTTTTGATTTCTACCCACGATGTATCTGGATTTTTTTAACCACAATGCAACGGATTTTTAACACGATTCCTTGCGCGCCAATTGCCTTTATATAGCGTAAAATTTCGAAGATAAGCCGCAACAAATATAAGCCCTCCAAACTCATAACGCAAAAAACCCTCTGTTAAATCGCCCCTCCAAATATAAGCCACCCGGGGGCTTGTACTTGGAAATTGCCCTCAAATACGAAGTAAAACAAAGCAAAAACGGTAAATTTACTTCCAACTATAAGGCTAGCCCAATCGATTTTGAAACGCAAATTTCCCTCCGAATAAAAGCCCCTCCAAAAATAAGCCCCTCAAAAAGGGCCTTTGAAAAATATACGCCCCGGGGCTTATTTTCAGAATTGTACGGTACCTTGTTAGGTATTGTGGTGTATGACGTCATACCACGTGCACTTGCATCACACTCTTGCAGTGGTTGTCACATGCTTTTGTGTATTTCGTTGGCAGAATAAAAGGTCTGTTAAATTTTTGAAGCACGATCTGTTCTTACGCCTTACGGAACGACACAATACGTTACAGGTACAAGGCCCAGTTCAGACGTCGTGCTTCTACCGTGCCGAACTAAATTCAGGAATTAAGTTCGACAAAAGCACGCCAGAAGCACGGCGTCTGAATCAAATTTTTGAATTAAGTAGCAATTAAGTTCGACACGGCTCTGGCACGGCAGCGATTCAAACGTCGTGCTTCTGCCGCGCTAAACAAAATTCATAAATTATGTTAATGTATTTTGGCGAGATTGCGTTCCCACGGGGAGATGGGAGAAGAATTGTTACGAAGCATCAGTAAATCCTGAATTTGGTTCGACTCTGGTACGACGTCTGAATCAAAGTTGTTTTCCTGCCGTGCTACAGTCGAACCAAATTACAATTAAGTTCGGCACCGCAGAAGCACGACGTTTGAACTGGACCTAAGTCTTGTTAGAATACAGGATTTTCAATCAACTTGTTTCTTGACACCAAGGCAGCACTCTTTAGCCTATTAGGTGCACTAGCAGCTAAATTTAGTATTCTGAAATTAGCGAGGAGCAGACACTGATTGCTAATATAATTGAACGCTGACGTCAGTTGGTTACCTTCCTTTGGAAGAGGAAACGGTATCTTGAAGAATTTCTCATAATTTGAAAGAGTCTTTGCAGCGATGTCCAACGCGTAAGAACCCTGGGAGATCTGCGACGGGGGAGCCCACAAACGGACCTGTGTAGATAACAGAAAATAATCAGTTATCTTTTGTCTTTCCCATGTGAGGCAAAATTAACTCTATTATATTCAGTAAGACCACGCTTCTTTTATGGTTCCTGCGACCCGGGAAGGCTTCGGGGGCCCTCCTCTTTAATTTCAAAACTGCTTACGATACCGCCACCAAAATTACACCGTCAGAATTATAATGTATCATTATTTCCAACATCTGGGCATATTTTTGATGAGGGGCTGAATAGGGTTAACGCGACGTAGAAAAAAACGGAAGTTTTCTCTTCCACTCATTTTCCAGCACTATCGGGGAAACGAAAAGAACCTTAAAACTCGAGGGCGGTGACGGCGGCGAAAACGCGTCCACTGAAAAAGTGAATTAGCGTTTTTCCAAACTTCTTCACGATTATTACAATTCACTTACTTTGTAAAATATAGACGAACTCTCTTGCTCTTGAATTCGTCAGAGCCATATCCAAGTTCAGAAAGAAAAATATTCCGCGGCCTTCTTTAAAACGCAAATAACTCAATTTCACGCTCTGACAGCAAAGATATGTACAAAAAAGCGTAGTTGTTTTGCTTTTATGCCTATTGCTTTTTTGACGTTCTAGTTACCGTCAATAAGAAAAGATATTACTAAACCACGAAACAGCGAAACCACGAACGAAACACCGAAAGAGCTATTTTTTAAAAAAATATTTTTTAAAGTGAAGAAAGTTAGGGCACCTTGCGAGCAGAGACTCCATTTGTTTTCTTCTTCTTCTGAAGGAGGGGAGAAGGAGGCTCTGCCTGAATCACGTGAAACCTTCGAGGCCGCCGCAGACCAAACTTCGTGGACTAGTCAATCTTGCTTTCTCTCGTCAAACTTGTTTCTTCAAGTGCGAGCATCTGTTTATTGATAAACCGATGGTCATAACCGATCCCTCTGTAGCAAGGGCACGGCTGTTAGGCCTGGGTCGAAACTATATCCTTGCTATTAGCCCTGCATGCTCAACAAAGATCTTACTCAATTTATGCAGCGCCAAAATCGAGCTGGCGAACTGAAAAGGGCTCTGCTGGCAGTGTGTTTTAATGGGTGAAAGGCCGCACATCATCTGCGTGCGACCCCTCACCCATTTTAATATGCGTGAGTCTCACGTTAGTCTGAAATGTCATCCTTCAGGAGCCCATGGGCTCCTGCATCCGTCTCTTTGCCCCACCCAACTACGGACTGCAAGCGTCTCTCTCTCGCCTTGCCACCTATTGAGGGGTTGAGGCGAAGAGATGGGTTATATTTCAGACTAGTCTCACGCCTGCAGACTCAAGACATCGATCTCACGAATCAAGGACAATTTCTTATGGCTGATTCACAAATCTGAACGAATAGTTCTTTAACACATGGTTAATAACAAAAAATGAATTAAATATTCCCGAAAATATTCCAAAAAGGCGCTTAACTTTATCTCAACACGCTAAAACGTCGCCAATGAAATGGCTTCAGAAGTGCTCAAAGGTCGTTGAAACATCTTCGGGCATTTTCGACGACGTTTGAAAGTCTTCGATAGATGGATAGATAGATAGATAGATAGATAGATAGTTTATTAAAACTGTTCGTGCAAAGCTTTGGCATATTAAAAAGGCGCTGTCGTCTTAGGTTATAGCGTGAGTTGTCATAGTCTGGTGGAAGGAGCACCTTCAATTCATGGTTTGGATCACTGACAATGTTATCAAAAAGCCTGCTACATCGTACGTAATAATGCTCCAAAATGGGTGTTAACCCCACCTCTAATGCCGAATTGCACTTTCCTTAGGTTATTATTGATATTGCTCTTTTCTCGAGCCGTACCAGCTCTTTCGTCAAGTATTGGGGGAGACCGTTGAAAAAAACAGGTGCTGTATAATCAATAACAGGTCTCACGCACGAAATACGTAGAACAGCTGAGTTAGGAAACAGAGTCTCTTGCTAGCCTTTTTGGTTCGCTCGCTATTGTAAGGCCTAGTAGCTTTGTAGTAGTGACTAACTCTACCTCCTTTCCTTCTATGATGACGGGATCAAAGACTGTTTGCTCTTTAGCAAAGGAGATCCTGAGTTCTTTGCACTTATCGGCGTTTAGTTGGACCACTCAATTACTCTGTTAGCTATAATTGCTTGCACGTGACTTTCTCCGTCGTTTACTACTACCTCAGACACCGTGGTGTCGTCCACATGTTTCCTTGCTGTGCGTTCGTATCAAGGTCGTTAATCATTAGGACGAACAACCAAGGGCCTAGTTTGGTACCCTGTGGTACGCCGGCGGGGACTGGGCCCCATTCAGAAAAACATTCTGATCCAACTTTAATCCGCTGGGATCTGTCCGATAAAAAATCTATAATCCAGTTGATAATGCTATCTGGTAATTTACACTGGTTGCGCAACTTTCTAACGAGTATACTATGATCTATCAAATCAATCGCTTTACGGTAGTCCAATAATAATGTTCCTACGGTGGCTCCGTTTCCATCCGTACCCAAGGACCAGCTGTGCAACATACTAATTAGCATTGCAGTTGATGGCATTGGCTTGCTCTATGAAAGGCAGTTCTGAGAATCCTTCGATGTTAATCTGGCTAGCTAAATCGCTGTGGGAGGTCTTTAGGCTGCACAGGCGTTTTGTTTCATTCCCCCACCTTTACGGGTTTTCTCCTTTTAGGTGTTGGATCTTTGACTCGTAGTATTTCCCTCTGCAGATTTTCCTTTGTCGGTTGACAAGGTTATGAAAGTATTTAAACTGAGCTGAGTCAGAACTCCTTTTGTCTCTTCATAATAAGAGATTTCAAACCCTCGTTTATCCAAGGAACATCGGCCGAGCAGATCTTGACTGGTTTGGCAGGCATGATGGTATCAAGGCCTGAATGTATGACGTCTTGGAAGACTTGCCATTTCTCTTCACAGCTCACCAGAGGAGTGGACAACAGAGGCCAGTTTATCTGCGTCAGATATCTACCCAACGCCGCCTTGTTGCTTGTTCGCAAGTCACGCCTCATGGTAACTTTTTTGTTGTTGATGTTGCGCTTTCCGCTTTTCTTTCGGAAAATCTTCGGAAATTTCGGAAATTCCGTTCATGACAAGACGAAAACCCCATACATTTGTCTCAGAAAAATGTGGCAGGTATAACATCTTCGCTGACCTGAAAGCTTTGAAAACCTTAACATATTGCTCCAGTGAGGAAACTCTTTCATGGTTTAACATTTTAAAAATTATAAGTTAGGTGGGTTGTGATCTTCGTTGATATAGCTTCTATGCGCGGACCAAATCTTAATCTTAACCAAAACTTAACCTCGAAGCACCCGTGGTACTCCCCACCCAGGTAAGAAGTACCGCAGGCGCATCGAAACACCCACAGCTGGAGACTGGGCTTAGGTTTGCTCCTGATAACAGCCAACCCTATTCGTGGGATTGCTTGGTGAAAAGTTTCTCCAAGCTGAGTTGTTAAAACTGGTCAACATTAGAGTGGTTCTTTTTAAGCCGTGAAACAGTGTAACAATTAGTGCCAAAAAGTTACAAGTACATAAAACAAAACAATGAAATTAAAGTGGAACACTGCATATTAGTTCACTGCCTATCAAGTCATAGTCTCCCTCACAGCCGTTTTTTGGATGTCACGGTGACATCCAAAAAACGGCTGCGAGGGAGACTAATCACGTCAGGGATTTTAGCCGCATGTGTCAGAAGAAGGAAATCATTATTGACGATAAAGCCCTTTGTTTTCCCTCTCCCCCCCCCCCCCCCTTCCCATATGGCCTCAACAGGGGGGTTCCGACAAAAAGGAGTATCTTTTTCAGGCTTCATGTTTATGAAATGGTAGGGATTTTACTAGTTGAAGTAAAATAATGGAGTGGTGGGGAATCTCTGCTTTCGTCTGAAGGGCCCTAAAGGACAAACAGATCACGGCTGTGAAAGAATTGAGGAAACGTTCTGGTTTTGTGCCTTTTATTTGTATTTAAAAGACAGTGCATTTTCAGCAGTAAAATGAGACGGAAAGGTCTAAACTTGGTATATAAAAGGGCTACCATTTGTCAATAGAGGGTATACGAAAGGGGTGCCTTTTCTGTCAAAAATAGTACATAAAAGGGTAAGGGTTGGACCTCGTGGCGGGGCCTTCCCATAAAAAACTTTCTTGAGTACCCTCCGGGTAAAAAATACACTACACTAGCTAAACAAAGGGTACCGTGGGCTTGGAAGTGCAAGGGACAATCCTTCCACTCGAGACAACAATATGGGTGGAGGTGATGATATGATCGATCTCTCATTTGTTGAGTTGCTTCTTCCCCAACTGGCCAAGTTCGGCGCGGGGTTTCTTTCCTGTATGTCCAGGTATATTTCCATGCACTTTTTCATTCTCCCCGTTTGATTGCCTAGTCGTTGAATTGCAAGCAAGTTATCCATGAGTCTCAGCGAATGCTAGAGCTTTGTCAACTATCAATTTTGTGAGTTTCTTGGTTCGAAAAGAAAATCATTAGCTGTTTCGGTGTTTCATTTCGCTATTTCGGTGTTTCAGTGTTTCTTTTCGCTATTTCGTGGTATAGTAATGTCCAATAAGAAGCAAAACCCATGGCCTGACGGAAATACAATAATTTTACTTCCTTGTACGTTGACAGTAAATCTGAAGAAATCTCGAGATTAAGCAAAGGGGAAAACTTGGCAAACATTTGCGTTTGAGATCGCAGAACCTTCTATTCCCGAGAACGTCTCCGACAATAGCTATATCACCTAATTCTTTCAATATCGTACGTGTTTCTCTCAATTCTCTTTTAAGCTCAAGTTATGATTCGAGTCGCATACCTTGATGCCACTACTTGTATTAGTTTCTATGGACTTGAAGTCGCTCACAACAAACGCCACCAAATAAGTACTCATCTTGACTGACTCTTTAAAATGATCAGCGTATAAATCTTCTCCAATTTTAACCTGGAAAGGAGAGATGATACACAAGTTGTTAAGTTATAATGTTAAATGTTGGATTTGTGTTCACAGGATTTCATTAAACACCACCTATTAACCGAAAGTGAGGTCATTACAGGGAAATCTCAGACTGAGGCCTTGGTGTTTCATGGCCGATCAAGGTCTTCCCTGTAATGGCCGAACGGACGAGGTGAATAAGGTATTTAGTAGTATACATGGCCTGTTAGTGTCACAAGTACACTGGATAGGATTATTTTTAGACGTCAATTTCAGACTCTTTTGGCATCAAACGAGTTATGCAGAGAACGCACGGTTTCAAGTGAATCGATTCCGTGGATTTAGTTCGCGGAATGACGGCCTAGTGAAGATATTGAGACGTTTGCGAGATGTTTAATTTGAATGTGCTAATGTCCTCTTTTATTTCTTTAGTATTTTGCTCTAATAAAAGGTAGTTTTTTTTTTAACTTTAATAACATTTTCCATTGTTTTCCTCCACCACCACCATTACTTTGCTTAGTTCTACCGATTGCCTCCGCCAGAAGCACCATCATTAATAACCGTAGCGACAGAGCGTGAATTAGAAAGAACTGTGCATGATATTAACCAGCCAAAATCAAATATTTCTCACAAAGCCAAATAACAGCCCCAGCTATAACTTAAGATCTAAAAGTAGTATAGGAGGGACCGAATTATCCTTATTTTTGCGCAGGAATCTCATTAGGCTATTGTGTTGATCTCATGAATAAAATGCGGAAGAATAAATTAGTGTCGATGACGCAAAAGTCTTTCGTCTTTATTCATAGTGCGGTGATTGTAGAATCTATTCTATCTTCCAAATAAAAGCGCGCTCTCCGTTCAGCATTTTATTAATGTCACAAACTCCAGTAAACAATATTTTTGAGCGGATAGCTTCCAAACATACTAGTCAACGGTCCGAAAACAGTACTCGACTTAAAACTATTCACTGTGACCAAAGATAAATATTTTTATTCTACAAAACCATTGATTCTGTTTTGTCAATATAATTCAACCTTCAAACGTTTCTAGACTGTGGTATCGAGCGTTAACCATTAACAGGTTGGCCTTTTTCCTTTTAGACCTGTATCATTCGAAACAAAACGAACGCAAGCGAACTGTATTTTATTATTCATCGCAAACTAATTTAATATACACTGAGCCAACATGAACGCTTGTCGCATAAATTATCCACGGGAATCAACTCAATTATATATAAACAATGGTGGGATTAATACGCGCGTGCTACAACCAGACTACACCTTTGTTTCGGTTAAAAAATACATTTATTGATAACAAAACCATCAAAGTGTTACAACAATAGATGAATAGACAGAGTTCCGGCTTAGTCTTCGGGAACAGTTTGTTTGACAAACAATCGATTGAGTAAGAATTTCCGCTTATCGATGGCAAGTTCTGTTGATTCCGGCCAGTCATATCCTTCTGTGTCTTTGAGATCTTGGCGGGTTTCCATCACTTTTCGGAATGTCGGATCTTTCTTCATGGCATGCATCCACTCTAAAAACTCTAAGAACACTTTTCTCAATTCCTTTCTATATACTGGAAGCAAAGCATTTTCAGCTTTAATGCGGGCCACTTCAGGCGAGTCTCCGTTTTGTTCATACTCGTTGATCAGAGCTTCGAGCTGGGCTTCCTGGCGATTACAAACTTCATTTTGAATGCGTGACCAAGGATCTACATGCTCCTCCTCCTCCTCTCCGGAAGAGTCCATTTCTTCGCTAGATTGAGAACTTTGAGATGATTGTTCGCTTTCTTGTGAGCTTTCAATATCGTCGTCATCATCTTCAAAGTGTCCATATCCTTTTTGAACGAAATGATTATAATTGCTGAACATTGTGATCCGAACTGCACGAGGTTTAAGAACTGACTGAATCAGAAACAGCGGCTTACTTCTTTTATAGCTATCGATGGAGGCACGGCTGCAAAGCACAACGGTACTCTATCATTGTACCCCTCCTGTACCCCTACTGTACCCCTCCTGTACCCTTCCTGTACCCCTACTGTACCCCTCCTGTACCCCTACTGTACCCCTCCTGTACCACTACTGTACCCTTCCTGTACCCCTACTGTACCCTTCCTGTACCCCTACTGTACCCCTCCTGTACCCCTCCTGTACCCTTCCTGTACCCCTACTGTACCCTTCCTGTACCCTTCCTGTACCCCTCCTGTACCCCTGAATTCTCTTAAGTACTCCCCACCATTGTAAAATAACTATATATGAAATGATTCTGTTAACTGTGAGTCATTTTTCATAAGTCATGACTCGAACGTTTCCTCGAATTTGTCCGCTATGTGGCAAACCTGGTGTGTCCAACTTGAGTTCTCATCTTGAAATTGTCCATGACTTAACCGGACCAAGACAAACACGACTGTGAAAAGAGGCTAAGGTTTCTTGGGAATCAAAAAGAGAATATATTTCTACAAGCGTCGACTTACCTCGTTGTTCATCTAGTTCCACGAGAAAAATATGTGAACCAAGAAAAAGAAGAAGACCAGTAAACGAAACGCCGAAAACTTCTTCTACTGCGAAGAAGGTAAAGCTTTCCCGTGATGTTTCCTTGGCAACCGAGTCTTATCCAGATTTTATGTTTCGCCATAAGCTCTCACTCCTTGTGGTTCGACCAAGTCAATCAGGGAAAACAGTTTTCGTAGAACAGATTCTAACGAGAGATCGTATTGTCTACGAAACCAACAAGCCCCGTCGCATTTTATGGTATTACAGTCAGTGGCAAGATAGATACGAAGCTTTGAAATCAGCGATCGGAAAGGACATTAAATTTTTTCGTGGCCTTACCACATTTCAAGAAGATCTGCGAGAAATTGACCCAAAATACAACAACGTTATCATCTTTGATGACCTAATGGCAGAAGCGATCGAAAGCCCCATCGTTTCTCGGTTGTTTACCCAAGGTCGCCATAGAAATGCCAGCGTCATACTGCTCCTTCAGAATATGTTCCCCAAGGGAAAATTTAACACCGATATCAGTCGGAATGCACAGTACATGGCTCTTTTCCGAAGTCCTAGCGATCGGAAACAAATCGGAATTGTTGCTGAGCGTATGTTTGATAAGAATCGCCAACGATTCATGACAGCTTATTATCATGAAACAGAGAGGCCTTACGGTTACATCTTTGTAGATAATAAACCGGACACGGTGGCAAATAAGCAAGTATTGAGTGACATTTTCGGCTCTTGTCGTCGATATCCGACTATTAACAGCTCCGCAAAATCGGTCGAAACCGTCAAAACGACCAGTTACGAGGAAAACATTGCCTGCGAAGCTAGATAAGCAGTAAAATCGCCTCCTGTAGTCAAATCTTCCCCGCCAATTGTAAAAAGGTCACGGCCATTTCCTTTTGATGCAGTCTGGTCTGAAGCAGCCTATCCCGTTGTACAAAATTATATGCAAGGAGGGCCCCGATGCCAAACCCTACCAAACGACTTTGGGATCACGGAAATGTACCGCATTGCCAGACATCTTTATGATCCGTATCTTCCATCGTACTCGTATGGAAATTACTGGCCTGTGAAAATAAGACACTATTGCAATGGAAAATCGAAATGGATTTATTTACACAAGGACGATCCCAGCGTAAGATCTATCCTAGAAAAGAACCAAACGAATGCTCGATAGACCAATAACAAATTAATTAAACGGTTGTCGATGCACTTTGCAGTGGAATATTTTATTTTTCAATAGACCTAACAATTGTGTATGAAACGGTACCTTATCTTTTTGTTAGAGGACTTAAGCATGATTGTTTAATTTGCGAGAGCACAAAAGAGGCATGAGTCAGATGTAAATTACTACTGGTTAACAGAGCGTGTAACAAGACATCAAGATAAAGTAATTTTATAAAGAGAGCACTGTTTGCAATAGATTGAAATAAAGAGTTTGAGCTCCATTTTTTGCGTCTGAGTTTTGTTTATAACCGAATTTTTAGTTAGGCAAGCGAACTTGTTTCCTTAGCAAAGCGATTGCAAGAGTAATATGCTGAACGGAGAGCGCGCTTTTATTTGGAAGATAGAATAGATTCTACAATCACCGCACTATGAATAAAGACGAAAGACTCTTGCGTCATCGACACTAATTTATTCTTCCGCATTATATTCATGAGATCAACACAATAGCCTATGACGTCAGCGACGTTAATTTATTCCTGCGCACGCTAATGAGATTCCTGCGCAAAAATAAGGATAATTCGGTCCCTCCTATACTACTTCTAAATCAGGTTTAGTAGCAATACCAAAGTCAGGAACGCAAAGACGTCATACTAACTCGTTTATGGCAAGAGCTGCAAGACTTACTCCTCCTTTTATGATCTGTATATTTTTAATCCAACTAGTGGTCTATTATCGAGGCTGCCTTCCGATTGGTTGAGATACAACTAGGCTATATGTTATAGCCCACTTTAGAAGCAAAACAGTGGCGGCCAGTTTTGCTACAGAAACAAAAACACGTTGGCGGCTCAAATCGCGTTTGCCGACTGAATGGCAATAAACAACATTGGGAGAGAAAAGGAAAGCACGGGAAGGGAAAAAACGGCTTTTGCGTTAACTGTCCCAACTATTTTTGTCTGGGACTGTAGCTATGCAAGTTGCTTTGTCTGGGTATTTTTAACCAACAAGTTGGATTTTACTAAAACAATTACCGTATTTACCCGCGGATAGGCCGCACCCACGTATAGGCCGCACCCCAAACTTTCAATGGTTTTCATGGGAAAAAAAAATAGTGAGGTCGAGTACCGGGATAAATAAACCGAAGTTGGAAATCAACAACAGCTAATGCGTATCAAGTCAAATTTATTTTTGACAATAATTTCTACATGAACGTGAAAATATTCAAACTATAAACTGAAACGCCTTTTCGCTAACATTTTATATACAGAATACTTAAAGACAAAATCCAAGATTCTTCGAAGATATGGACTTAGTGTTTAGTTGTATGTGTTGTAAGTTAGTAACAATTGAAAGCGAACATTAAAACGCCAATTTAGTGTACGACCGTGAGATCTCTTGCATATTAATGAGGTGTCAAAACGCTTGTACCCGCGTATAGGCCGCAACCCTAATTTGGGTCCCATTTTTTCGGGAAAAAAGTGCGGCCTATCCGCGGGTGAATACGGTATTCCTCTCGCCCTTGTGGCCTCTGAGTCAATAGCCCATTCGGCCTTCGGCCTCATGGGCTATTGATTCAGAGTCCCTTCGGGCTCGAGGAATAATTGTTAATTAACTTTATTATTATTGTAAATCCAAAAATATATGTCATTTTTAAAGATGGATAAATAAGGATTATTATTATTAACATTCGAGTTCCTTAGCTGATATCCCTGTACCATCTCCACATTTCTATTTTTGTCGCCACTACCTTGTTGCAAAACATCACCAACACCACATTTAGAGTTCTATGGGGGTTGTGGTGGTGGAAGTGGTGGTGGTGATGGTGTTAGTAGTGGTGGTGGTGATTCAGAAAGGCTTTAAAACTGAGTAAGGGAATAAATTTAATTTTGCCTAGTTCAGCTACGGAAAGCTATACATTGATTCGCAATAATTCTCGTCTGGCTACGGCAGGGAGTTTTAGAACGATGATGCCGAAATTTAGAATATATATCTAGACGATTTTTTGAAAACCAACCTGACGAAATTTGCAGTCATTTGAGTGAAAAAGCGTCAAAAGGCAATAGCTACTTGGAGATAAAACTGTTCGACGAAAAAGGTCCATTGGGCGATAACGTTATCAGGAATCTGGCTAGAAATATATATTTAATTTCACCTTAACAGAAGTTTACTGTTAATCTTTCCTATGAGATACGTATACATGTAGGTGAGTACTCACCGTTTTATATTTAGGCATATTAGAAAGAGCGTTGTATTGTCCCTCTCTTATAATGGTCACCGTAAACGTAGCCTTCATTGCAGGCTCGTCAAAGCAGGGGAAAGCCCGTCGGGCAAAAATGGGCTCAAAAACCGAGACAGCCAGGTATCTGAAATAAAATAACTCAGTTTCAATTGATCAAGTAATTTAGAACGCCTTTAACAGAAGCTGCAAAAATAGAGAAAAATTATTTATGGAAACACCCAACGCCTCAGTTCTAGGCTACTGGGCTAGTAATTAACAATGTCCTTTTTTCAGCTGAGACAACCTAAACGGGATTAATGACTGGGCATGGCACAGGAAGGCCAGTAAATGTGATACGCGACGGGTAACCAGTGCAGGGCTCTTAGCACTGGTGTAATATGACGGAATTTGCTTTCTTCGAACACAAGACGTGCAGGAGACTTCTGAACTCCTTGAAGTTTCTGAATTTGATACGCCGGCAACCCTTAAAGTAGGCTAGCTATTGCAATAGTGAGTGCGGCTAGAAATAAAAACGTCTGACCGAAAACAATGACTGGTTTCTGTCTCAGTATTAAAGCAGGTTTCATGCAGGAAAGTTCATTCTTTTGAGTTTGTGCTTTTATGGTGCCTCAAGAAGACTAGCTATTGAGCGGGAGAGGAAGAAACGCGGAGCCCTGATCCATGAAGTACCCTATAGAGGTAACCCTAAAAACATTTAATGGTTAGATAACATACTTTTCATAATTATTGATGACAAGATGATCAACGTTTTTAATTTCAATAGGTGATTGCACTGGCAAAAATTAACTGAACCAGTTAATGAGCTTATACACATACATGAGAAGATGACCTTTCAATCAGTTGCACAGGCGGTTCGAAAGACAAAAATCAGGCCTTGTCATCTCTCTCATGTATTCAACAGGCTCAAAACACACCATCACATCTATATCATAGCGCAATAAGCACATACCGACGATACCGACAGGATTCGGGATTTTTTGTCAGATGAACCTATTAGACATGGTAGTTTGGTTCCATTGAGTCTTCAGTAGCTTATTGGTTACAGTATCTGGACTCAGTAGTAACAGTTCGACTTCTTCTGGGAATACTCTGATTTTTTTCTTCCAAGCCGGTTTGTGTGACTGACTGATTGAGAAATCAACTTTTCAATCATTATTGTGGTCATAAGCCGTTAAGTCACTTTGTAAACTTGTTCTGCTCGTTAACCACTTGATTGTAATTAATTTTTAGCCTTTAATTTTGAACTAATGTGCATTTGTTTTACTGTTTCTAATGTAATACATATGTGCTCACATAAAAAAATAAATAAATTTAGTATACACTAAAACAGTGGATATTGTTTTCCGCGCGCTCTGATTGGCCACTCAATCAGCGAATATCCTGCACTATTCACCGATTCAACTCCGGTTCCAGTCCGAGCGAGCGAGCTACTCCAAACTCGCGTAAGTTGCGACCAAAATGCCTTCCCCGTTTGACGCTGTAGCAAACAACGAAATTTCACAATTAATCAAGCAAGCTGTTCCCGAAATACACGAAGAAGATGAAGTTCAGTTTTTAAGTTTTAACAGGGAAAGCTTTTTGTCTTTTTGACTTGAATAGACCTTGTCACGGTTTTCGACGCCATCTTGATGAGTAGGCAAACGTGTGAGAAATTACAGTATTTGTATGAAAATAAGATCTATTGTCGAATAATTTCGGTAAAATGGCCGTTCTGAAAAAAATATCAATTGTAAACTAAGGCTACAAAGCAAAGGATTGACCTAAAAAAATTGGGGGCGTACCTGTGCTAAATTTCTCCAGAGGCTTGCTTTAGATTTTCCATATATTTGTCTGTAATTTTCAGGGGACTTTCTTACAGACAAATGGATAGGAAATTAAAAAGTGGTTCTAGGTCTACTCGTGCATGTAACGCCCTCAAATTTTTTCAGTAGAATCCTTAGGAATGAAGCTTTAGGTTACAAATCATATTTTTTCGGAACAGCCATTTTACGGAAATTATTCGAAATTAGATTCTCATACAAACACTGTAATTTCGCACGCGTTTGCCTACTCGTCAAGATGGCGTCGAAAACCGTGACAAGGGGCGCGATCCATTCAACCAAAATTCAGCCCAGTCCGACCGGGAAAAGAGGACAACCTCAAAAGGTGGACCTGTTTTTTCGAAACTTTTCCGGTTGGACCGAACCGATCCCTTGAGTTTTGGACCGAAATTTCCGGAAATTTTGGTTGAATGGATCGCGCCCAAGGTCTATTTATCGATAAAACCGGTGAAAACGTTTTTTGCTTACAAATGCAAATTAAGCTGAAGTCTTGTGTTACTTTATTTAGTTGACTTGTTCATAAATAAGTTTAAAACTAAATTTAATAATCTTTTTTACAGAATGACTTTAAATACAAAAAAATTCACAACTCCTTTTGAAGAAATTTCCCCGCAAGAGCTAAACAAATACCTTCAAAAGTTTTATTTGTCCGCAAGAAAAAGCGACGACCGGGGCCATTTCTGCCCTCAATTATCTCACTGTTTTAGTATATACTAAAACAATTATTTACCTCAGTGTCCGTGGCTGGTGGTGGATACTGAGCCTCATTCATTAATTGTTAAATAATAAACATGCATTATCAAAAAGACAAATACAGAAAAAAAAGGACCAAATAACTGTTGGTAGTTTACTGCTGCATTGACTTGAAAAATGAAAGAGGAAAAATGTTTTTTACAGAAGGTTGGTTGATGTTTTATTAAGAACCAATTATGATGTATGAGTAACTTTGTGACAATTAGTCTTGCTGCCTCTGATTCTGATCAGCGATCACTAAGGATTTTATCTTAGCTAAGGTAAGCCATTGGTATATTGTATTGGTCCGTCTTCTTAGGCTGCATCAGTGAATTTGGCTACCTCTTCCTTTAGCCTCTATCCGCCTGGAGTGTTTTTTTTTGTTGTTGTTGTTGTTTTTGTTGTTTTTGTTTTTTTTCATTTTTCATATCATATGTCATAGGTTTTTCATTCCACGAACAGATGTAAAATTCAATAATGGTGAGGGCATAAGTATCTCAATGATACTCTTCACGAGAACGGGATTCCACTGTAGAAAGATAAATCAAACACTTTACTAACGACGCTTCACTCACCTTTTTTTTCCATTTTGTGCAGTGTAGGAGCTTCTATAAAACCCATACGGAGTATCCTTTAGGGGATAATTGAATTCAATGTGAATCATGTAAGTTTGTCCTGGGATAAGTTCCTCGTTTACTTTAATAAGAAACATTTCAAGAGTCTTATCACTCATCGTTCCTACGACGTTCAATTCTCTATCTTGCTGTCCTTTCTTTAACCTTTTAATTAGTTCTTCATCTGGCACATCATCAGAAACATCTACATCTTGTTTTCTTTTCTCAAAGACTGCTGTATTCGTGACATTCATGTCTCTAAGATGAAGAATAATATTAGCTGTTTGCTTTGCACACTTGACTGTTATACCAACTGTTCCCTTTACATAGAATAATTTTAAGTCCGTGTCCAATCTGATGTTGTAATTCAAAGGAAATAAAGTCTGCGGAAGTCTTATGCTTTCCCATGGAAATTTGTTTTCCTCCTTGATGATGATATCGAGGCGATCAATCCTGTCCTCTTCCCCGGTTACAAAACTTCTCAGAAAAAGAAAGTAAAGAAGGAAGCGTAGTAACTGACGAAAGCTCGTAGCATACATATCAAACGACGGAACAACGAACCGTGTTCATCAAAATCTTGAGTGTAGATGAATAATTCCCAAGCTCCACGTGTTACAAAAACTGGAGCATTGGATGATAGTTCAGTTCTAGGGTTTTAATTGGCTTAGCAACCACACTACAGTGGAACCCAGTTAATACGGTCACCAACAGGCGAAAAAAATGTCGCCCAGTCTAAAAATTTATTTTCCTTGCGGTGAAGTCAACGCATAATGGTCACGTCTGGTTTCACTTATTGAACCAAGAACAACTAGCTATGGTCTAACGATTGAGAATTACTATTTTTCTTTCTTTCTTTTCTTTGTTGTTGTTGTTGTTGTTGTTTTTAATGCGCTGCCTAACTTTCTTCCCACTAGCAATTTTGCAGAGTTTATTTAAGAGGGTCAGGGTTATTTTTATTTGCTTTCATGTAAATTTTTCCTTCTGTAAGGTTGAATGACCATCTAGTGATATACAGATATATTTGTACAAACTAGTTTCTTCAAGTGTTAACATGTGCTATTTCACAAGTAACATGATCGTCCGAGAGAAGGTAGTCCTGAACAGTACTGTTGTTGTTGACAGTGACTGACGTTTCGACAACCTGTGCGGTAGTCATCTTTAGAGTCAAAGAGAGTTGTATCAGGTCAGTTGATGGTATTATACTCTGGCAAGAGCCATAATAGGACAGAGAGGGAGTCTCCCAGCCACGCCTTTAGGATATCTTAATTTCAAAAACTATGCGGACTATGCGGAAACAGTTTCCGGTAAACTGGTTGACTTCCGGAAGATCCAGCCCGCCAAAGGGAGGAGGGGTCAACAAATGAAAAAAATGGCTGCCTAAGTGGAGGGTGTGTACTTGATAAATTGTCCTTCTTCAACAAAGAACCTACCATAGAAACTGGTTAAAACTGCTACACAAACGGATCCTTTACAAGAAACGGTTAGAAATACAGTTAAAGCGACCGCGTGGACCATTGTTTTTGTTGGAACAGCTGGAAAGAGGACAAGTAGCATTGCGGCCGGGATAAGCGTTGAATTCAAAATGCCGACCGTACAAGCGACCGTGTGGACGTATTTTCTGTTGAAAGAGGAAGGAAAAAAACGAATAAAGGTTTCGAGTATTTTTCTCAAGGACATGACCAGGAATCATGTGGAAAACACCTTTTCCTGCTTTGACTGATATTTTGTACCGTGCTTCACATTGGACAATTAACAATTAAGCACTCTAATATTCTCGAACACGAGATGAATAGAAGCGGAATATTCGCGGCGAGGTTAATATTCCTAGAACCACTATTCACCAAGACTAAAAATCAGTAAGGAGACCATTTAAGTTCAATTTAATTGACGGTTTTGACGGATCAATTCATGTGTGAAAATCGGTATGTGCAAAAAGCTTGATCTTTACAGAATTTTCAAACATTGCAAATCAAATCGTAGTTAAAAAATCCTTTCGCAAACAATGATCTAATGGGTTGTGTGGAATCGCCAGAACTTTAAATTCTGCTTCCCAGCCTGTGAAGAAAAGAAGAGCTTTGTTTCAATCTGTCGACTCGCCAAGTCAGGGAAAAAGGTTTCTTGTGCAGCTTGTGATGTTCTTTAATAAGTGCAGACAATGGTGGGCCTGGTTGCTCGAGGTAAGGCGCCGTTTCTCTGTAGTTTTCTTGACATTGAATTTGAAATCTCGAAATTTCGTAAAGATTTGCTTTTATATTTTTTGTCATAAGTTGAATTTGGTTTCTGGGGAAAATTCGCCTTTGAAGAAAACGTTGAGTTTACAAAACCACCTCTTCTATTCAATTTAAAAAAATTCAATTTTCTACATTGTATGATGAAACCTGTATTATGCAGACCTCATATTAAGCAGACACCCTGTATTCAGCAGTAGAATAGCTCAAAATGTGGCAAAACGTTTCTTTCCATAATTTAAGAAAAACAAACCATGTATTTAGTAGATATCTCTAATAAGCAGAAAGCAGAAAAGTTTGTGGGGATGTCCGCCTAATTCTAATTATACAGGTTTTTTTTTTATTTATAACAACTTTATATGCATAGAAATTGATGGTAAAAAGAAGGATGAGTGAGGGTGCAAAGAGAGAAGAACTGAGTCCTTATGCCAGGCTGGCTCCCTCCCTGAAGATGTAATATCAAATACAACATGTAAAGGTTTCATAAAACTGGTACATCATTTTTATGTTGTATGTCTTGTAGACTGTGAGCAGTCTCTCTTCAGCCCGAAAATCTGGAAGCGAGTATTTGAGCAGCGAAGTCATTTATGGTAGTCTGTAGAATACGTGATAGCATATGTCGCTGAGTACCAGTTGATTTGATGTTTCCTCTGTAAATGGTGCTCAGCAATGTGATTGTTGATGTCACCATTTCTCTTCGCTCGTTTGTGTTCGGTCAGTCGCGTGCTTAGGTTTCTGCCGGTTTTATCAATTTAAGTAGCCCACTGGCAGTCACAGCATTTGATCTTGTATACTGCTCCCTGTCTGTCCCCCGGTTTGTCTTTGTCCTTGACATTAGTAAATTAGTCGTCGTAAAGTGGTTATCGGTTTGTCTATAACACGTATATTGTAAGGTTGAAGTATACGTGCAATAATTTCAGAGATTCCTGTGATGTACTTTTATACTCGTTGTCGTAACAGGGCCAGATCAGGGTTGACGTTGGTCGAGTGTTGGAATGAGTGTTACTGTGAGTGTTTCATCTAACAAAGTCGGTGTTTGTAGTTGTTTTTACTAAAAACGTTGTTTATGTAGTTAATCTTATGAAATGACTCCTGGGTTCAAACATTTCACAATAATGTGTTGTTGTAATGTATTTAATGTGTTTTATGTATTTTTCCTTGACGTTACTAGCTTCTGCAAGCAAATCTAAAATTCGAGAGTAAATAAAGTTTATGATGTACATGTATGCATGGTGATTTGAGAGCAGAATTGTATCGCTAGAGGTGATGATAACACGGATATTACTAAAACGGGGAACGGGGAGTGTAGAAAAGCAGGAGGAACGGGAAAATGAACAATGGAAACAAAACAGAGAACATGGAGATGAAGTTACTCATAGCGCTTGGGTTCTAGTTAGGTAGTTTTGTTCCCATTTTTCATTTTCCCTTTCCCCGTGCTCTACCCTGCGAATACAGTCGTTTCTCCTTGCTCCCCGCCGCTAATGACGTTTCGCCAGGAGAAACGTCTTCGAAACTCCGAGACAGAAATTCCATACTGATGACGTCCAGAATCTGGTCAAGAGCTATGATTGGTCGACGTAGTAGTTTTATTGTTTTACCTATTGCTTATGAACGACAGACAAAAGACAAAAGGCCACAAAGGTCAAATTTCATAATAAAATTCTAACATGACTCCGAGGCTTTAAACTCCATTGTCTTGCAATTCCCAGAAGAGACTTTAGCACAAAGAAAACCAAACCAAATATAGAAAAAAAGACCAGAAAGCCTCGGAGTCATGGTAGATTGTGGGCTCTTCCTGAAAGTTGGTAAAGTTGCTGGGTAACCAGTCCAGGATGAACTGTCATTCGATTGGTTAAAGATATCCAAGCGCATAATAACAGAGTCAAGTGAAAAAAATGAGCTTTATTATTTTGAGTGTCAATATATTTAAAAGGATATTACTAATTGGGGACACTAGACGGGACTATTGTTTAATGTGTTTATCCGGGCCATGCCAAGGTTCAGCCGTTTACAGAGCAAAGGAAGTACCCTCATTTCTCAAATATTTTAAGACCCTGAGTATGGGTCCTCCATCTCTGGGAATCGAACCTACGACCTCCCGCTTTGCAGTTAAGCGCTCTTTCGACGTAGCTTACCTTGCTGCGGCGACCAATACCAGCACCTTCAGTAATACCGGCTCCCCTAGTTACCGGTACCCTAGAATACCAGCAATTTCATTCATTCATTCAATTTCTTTTACTATTAGCTTGTTTCAGGGTGATGCCAGTAGTAGCTTTGTCTCCGGTTTCTTTTTTTCGGCAGAAGCTTGTAGCAAGATTTGCCTTTTTTTAGACCCGTTATTTTTATCAAACAATTGTTCGGTTCCTGCTAGGTATGAGATGATTAAAGCCAGCCGGACTTTACGCGCTTCGTTGGCTGTGTGCTATTTCAAATCCAACGCGTACTTGTACAGGGTCTGAAAGGAATTAAATTCCTGGGATCGAGAATTTATCGAAAGTACAGAGTAATGTTCGAGAAAAGTTAACGGGATACAGGGATTCGATTTCAGTAGCCTTCTTTGAACAGGTCGCTTTATTTTCTGATTTTAACCGTTTGTTTGGGTTAATGCCTATTATACATTAGAATAAAGCTCAAAAAACATTTTAAAAGCGCTCAGTGCGAATTTTATGAACAATTGTCATGTCGGAAACGAATGTCGCTCATACAAAGCCTTTAAGTAGAATGCAAAGTTTGTCTGAGTCACGCGGGGGGTCTAAGGTGACAAAACCTATTTTTAGAAATACTGCAAAGCGCTATATCAGGATATCTTATCGCTATATCACTGGCAGCCCAAGCTAGATAGCCTCCCACGCAGGCCTTTTTAGGGGAGCTTGTGTTTCATCCCTCCCCACAAACGCCGTTTGTGGGGAGGGATGAAACACAAGCTCCCCTAAAAAGGCCTGCGTGTGAGGCTACAAGCTAGAGAGCTTCGTCATTGTTGCGCAACCTTCATAATATCATTGATAAAGTTTAAATGAGGAAATAAATAATTGTTTCTCAAACCTACAAAATGAAAGAGACTTAAATTGAAAACGACCCTCATGATTCAAGCTGTGCACTTCGTCTTCTGTGGTCCCTAGATGATTTAAGGAAATTTCAGTTACGGATTTTTGTGGAATCGTTTTGCTACTCTCTGATAGAAGAAACAAACAAATTACGTATGGAAAAAATATTATTGTTATATCTTGAAGGTTATTGTATCAGTTAGGCAAAGTAAAGACTTTATTTCAAGAGGGTTAATACTAAATACCCAAAGCTAATAAACTTGTGGCACTCATCAATACTCATCATACTAAACAAGCTTAGAGTTATGATGAAGCAATAAATTCCAAATTCCTAACTCTTAATAAAACTGACTTTTCTCGACTTTTTTCGGTGCTATACAACTCTTTCATTTTCAAATCAGAGAGGTCTGTGATCATGGGTCTTAAACGTGTCGTTTTAACCAAGCAGTTACTTTGTCCTCATGTTCACTAAGCCACATGATATTTGCTCGAATCTGTTCCATTCCCATCTGAACCTGCCGATACGCAGACGCCGTAGACGGGTAATCCTTGAAAAATTCCATAAACTAAGAGAAAAAATAGGTAATAAATCAATGTACTCGTCTCTTTGTTTGAACACCAAAGTATAAAGTAAGAGTTTTACAAGTAGTTATAGGACAGCAATATTAAACCTTGTTTATGCCTTCCCTTTACTAATATGCATAACTGCTCTCATCCATACTAACCAACACCTCCACCACCACCACATTTTCTATTGCTGAAAAAAAAGTTGAGTGTAGGGTCGATGTGGAGTCGATGTAGGGTCGATGTAGGGTGGATAGGGTCATAGTGGTGGAGGGAAAAAAATAGAAAAAACTGAGTGAAGGAGGGGGAGGGGTTAGTAAAACATTGTACGCAGTGTAAAAGAGCTAGCTTGCTTTTTTTCACTATGTTAATAGTTTCCTTTTAAATCGTTGAGTATTTTTCTCTTTTTGCACTTATTAAAGGGTCATAAGGTTGATTTCTTTTTGCTTAAGAAGCTTTAATGCGAGCATTTATTAGTCGCGTGTTTCAATTTATCCTTCTTACTTTTTTCACTTCATTGTTTTGTGTTTTTACAACAATAAGTCAAGACGTTCCCTTGGGTATAGCTGTAGGGCCAATTTGTATGCAAATGTGGGCACTGTTCCTTAACTCGCATAATTAACTGACTTGAACGGAGCATGAAACAAGCAAACTCGGACAAATAATTTTCCTACCAACCGGACTGCAAGAAAGATAGCGCGTTCAATATCAGTCCGCTTTTTTGTGACTTTTTATTAACCAATCAGGGTAAGAAGAGAAAAGGCAAGCCAATAGGCAAAGCTTTTGTTTCTGTCAGTGAAAAGTACAGTTATTAACATATAAACGACTATCCACTTATGAGTTTGCAGGAAGACTCTCCGTAGTATCGAGGAAGGCAGTTATGCATACTGAGTGAAGGGAAGGCATACGGAAAGCAGGGGAAGGCATAAACAAGGTTTAATTTTTCTGATCTATAACTACCGTTACATTCAAAATCAAGGGAAGGCCATTGATCAATGCATGGTTCAACCCTTTTCTGTTGCTTTTTGTTGCCCGCTGTACCGTACATTGAGCTGCACACTCATTTTTATAAAGAGTCTATTTAGTCGTCTTATTATACAGATAAATGCGCTGAAAAATACACCGTGATTATTATTTTTTCTTGCCAATACAGTTCTTACTTCTTTGAGTTGTGCTTGTGTGTTGCACTTCACCATAAGCTTAGTAATCAAATCTGACCATAAATCAGATCCACGACTGTACCTAAAAGAAAAATAAATATAATGTACTATAAAAGGGTATTAAACTAACATGACACACCATGAAAATAATCTGTCTTACAATCTAGATCAGGAAAGAATTCAAAAGAGAAATTCGCCGACTTTTCTTATTTGGAATGATTAAAAACAGTCGAAACCCTATTAAGCAGCCAGGGGAAATCGAAAGAGGTCACTTAATGGGGGTTGGCCGCTTAATAAGGATTTGTCAGGAATTGGTCTGAAATTTACTTGAAACGTCAATTTATTTAAATGCAAGCATACTTGAACACTTTTAACATCTGTTTCACATAATAAGACGTTTAAAAATCACGTAAACCAATTTTAAGACAATTGTGCGACAAGGTCTTAACATGAACCAGAAGTCAACAAAGAGCCGTATCAGTTTCAACTCCACGGGCCTTCTGTTCCACAAGCAACACAGCACAGGTTTGCAACACTAATCATAAATGAGCGTCGTCTGTCTGAATGTTTTATTCTAGGTTAACTTTAAATTTCGTTCAGTTTCTTGTTTAGCCGCTATGTGCTGATCAGAGTAGCGTAGTACAAACAACCAATAAAGAAAGATCGTGCGTCAACGGGCGCTTACAAGATGTTAAAAGCAATGGATAAATTCAAAATCGTCACCAGAAAAAGTGGTGGCGGTATGGTAGCTTATGAGAAGTGGTCGTGTACGGGAGGTTTGATTTGGAAAGCTTTCTTGGTATTTTGGATAGGTCGTCGCACATGGAGGTTCGACTGTATTTTCATCAGTTGTTTTGTGGTATCAAAAAGTGTTTGATGGCGTTGCTCAGAGGCCATACCCAATATACTCAATGATGTCTTTTCCTTGTTTCTTGTTTACTTCTAGTAAGTGAAGAATAGGTATTCATGTAGTCTAAACAATGTTATGAAACTAAAAGCTAAGAAAGATTGGTGCTTTTTTATCTAAAGTTGTAATTACGTCACAAACCAGCAATATTTTCATACTTTCTGTAAAGAATTTTCCAGTTATTACGCACAAAGTCCCAGGCCATTCTCCATGTTCTAGGATCATAGGCCAAGTCAGATATCACCGCGAGGGTGTCCTGTGGACGGATTTTGTCCTTATCCAATGAATAGTTAAGACACCTACATGAAGAGAGACAAATCAAGATAAGTTTGAGATGAAAAGAGAAAAAAAGGATTTGTGCAACAAAAATAGACAAATAAATTTAAGGCCCGAAATAATTCGAAACAGCTCAGAACCAGAAATAGCTCTGCCCACGCTTATTGAATTTCCCATTTCAACCACCCTCTCCTCCCCCACACACACACCCACCAAGCCCTCCTCCTAAAAAAAAAATATATAAATGAAAACGGGAATAAAGGTTATCAAGCTTAATTTAAAAATGTCAAGAGAGAGAGAGAGCTCATTCTCTCTTGAAATACTTTAACGTAACCAACATTTGCTTTCAAAAATTAAGAGAAATGTCACCTTTCAATCATTTCAGGAACCAAAGTATACGACAAAGCAGATAACAGAATCTCCTTTTCCGAAGCAATATTTGTTGACTTATACTTGTCATAAGCTTGATTCCATTCCCTCACACCACCCTCACGGACACCGATAGAATAAACCACGGCACGGAGATTTGATGTTATGCTATAAAAAAGAGAAAACGGAATAAGTAAAGCTCAGTTAATTATTTAAGAACTCGCGACTCCAACTCACAACAAGACCACGTCATTTGTGGGCCCAGAAAGCTATCTGAAGCTTTAAGAGTTGGAAGAGAATTTTTGTAGCTTAGCTGTTTTGGGACCTCAAAACGTTTTGATAATCGTATTTAGAATTTATTCATACAACAGTCGAATTTACGCAATTCGTTCATTCAGCGGTGATCTTGGGATATGTAGTACCGTTTGCAGCGGAGGCAGCGTAGCTGAGTGGTTAAAGCGCTGGACTTGTAACTCGGAGGCTCCGAGTTCAAGTCCCGCCTAGAACGCTAGCTGGATTTGTTCACGGTAGTCACGGTAGTCCCGGTAGTCCCTTGTAAAGTAGCCACTACTTGTTCCCCTTGTTCTTGTTGGGATCTTTAACCATGCATGTTATCATAGTTATGTTCCATATAAATTATAATGCTCATTATCCCTAAAAAGCCCCATAAGGAGAAAGAATAATTAAAGTATTTATAATTCTGTAGCTTTTGGTGTACGAGGTAACTTGGTCCAAAAATTTAGCAATGCTATCCTATGTGTAAACCTGGGATATTTTTCTCTATGTTTGGTTCTTTTCTTTTTGTCAGTTAGCTTTATTATACGTACAAGTGTCCCTCCATGGCGAGTTGAAACATTCTCTTGACTCTGGAAATAACTGCTTTATCTGAACAATCACAAGCCGTGAGAAAAATATATGGCCGCAGAAGTCTGCAAAGGATGGAAATTATATCACTATAAAAGGATCTTAAAATAACTAGAGAACCTGCCTAAACGATTAGTCCAACTAAAAATAGCACGTGACCTTATTTCGATGAGCATCCACCGATTTTTATCCATGAGATAAAGAGAAAAGACTATGGCTGCGTCATCGGCGTTAATATATTCTTGCGCAAGCAAATAAGCTTCCTGAGCAAAAAAGGGTAATTCGGCCCCTACTATACCACTCATTATCTAGCAGCCTTGCAGCTTTTTAGTAAACTAGCAGGTATTTTACTGCACATTCTGTCAAACGTAAGATGGACTACGAAAAGGCGACGTATTTGCATCATCATGTATGTGTCAGGTCAACTTCAGTCTTTTTTCAACTACATTAAAACGCAGTTATAATTATCTATAACTGTAGGGATTTAACTCCCCTTTTTTTTCAGTGATTAGTGATAATTATGGTTATTTCTTCATGTATTAAATGTATTGAATGAATGTATTTTTGTGGCAAATAAACTGAAACTGTATTTACTGACAATATACTTAAGCCATCAGGGAATGTATGGCGTACAAACCTAGCAAGGTTTTTTCTTACTTGTCTAAGTGTGATCCCTCGTCATCCCATCCCAGTCGCTTTATAGTTGGATCAAGTTGCTGCAACATGTAGCTCTAAGGAAACAAAAGGAGGTGACCCACGAATATATTAGGAGGGGTACCAGAATGTACCGAATTGTACCACTGCGTTATTTTGGAAAATAACTAACAGGAAGCAGAAGGGTTCATAACACGTAGTAAATACAATTATTTGTCGCGTCCAATTTTTAAATAAACGCAGCCCAAAAGTGTCTGCCCCTGCTACAAACAGACTGGCTAAACAGACTTGAAAATTCGCCCAAGCGACTAAAGACCTGAGCTGCTTGACTGCATGCGTAATAGGCAGTGCAATTTTGGCTACAGCTTCTCAGTATATAATTGGTAAGATTAAAAACTCTTTGATTAGATAAAATAGCTTTGAAGATATTTATATCGAATTCAAGAAAACTGAGCTGGCAGAACTCGCATGCTCATTACGCGTGTGGGGAAGCAGAGATAAATCTTAAACCAAATCGATTCAACTTTCAAATAATAAAAATTCATTATGGAATCTTGGGGGGGGGGGTATGCTTGACCTAAGTTGACTCTAACTACTTAAACTAAATTATAACTACAGGCAAACTTCACATGTAGTTTTACCTTAAACAATCCGATAGACTTTCGCAGTAGTAGATTGTCGCCGATATAATACATGTTTGCGACAAATGTTTTTAGTGGAACATAATCTGTTTCTTTAATAATGTACTCTGTCAAATCCAAAGCAATAGTCTGTTTCAGCAGATTGCTCCTAAAAAGAGATAATTATGTGCAACAAACTCAGTACAATTAATACACAAAAAAAAACAGAAAAATCAGTAGAAAAAAAAGGTGATAAAGGGAGAAGCCGTGAGAAGGACGAATAGTCCAAGTTTCTTGTAAATAAAAATAGCTTTGGTAGTTGGCAGCAATAACAACTAATTTAAAATAAACAAATGATGTAAAATATATCTATACATGATTTGTGTTGTGGTTCACTTTTTGCTGTCGTGTATGTATAAAAAAAACGCAGAAACTGATCTAAATCCATTGTGGCAAACAATGATTGGAAATACAAGATTCAGAGGAGAATGAGATTTCCTGAAAGCGTCCCGGTCGCTTATTTTTTAAAGGCTGCCGTGAGTAGAGGTTTCCACTTACAAGAGCTTCCACTGTATTTACTTAATATGTAATCCCTTACATGTGTCGCCTCCATAGGCGCTTGCAGACCACAGGCATAGTAACTAAAAATAAAAGCAGTAAAAAAAACTAATCCGCTTACCTTGCCAAATGAAACGCGTCATCAATCAGTCCTGACCGGTCAGCGGCGCTCAATGCCTAAAAATTTCGAACCAGTTAGACCCCAGTTATGCTACATTAAAACAAAAGGATTTTTTTTTTCATGTATACATAAAAGTTTCCGGATTCATCACATTTTGAGATATTGGAGATATCGCAAGCGTTTAAACTAAAAACGTTTGGATTACCAACATTGCACGCATCGTTAAATCAGCGGAGTTTTAGTCGCGAGCAACGACAAGGGCGACGGCAACGAGAACGTCAAGAAGAAGCACAGGGAGCACCCTCGAAACTTCTAGATATCTACCTTTTTCAACTCGTATTCTAAAAAACTTTGACGTTCATACGATTAATTGCATTACACAGTTTCTTTCAAGTTTGTGATAGGTGAAGGCTACGTGTCACACGGCAAAGGGTGAATTTTCAACTGACTGAGATCTCCTAAGGCCTAGGGCAAACGTCGAACTTTTCATGAGACCAACCAAAGTTAGTGAGTTAAAAGTGCGACGCCTGGCTCAGTTAAGTTCGTCTGAAGAAGTTTGGATCGTCCAACACGTTCTATCCGTCTGCTTCCGACGGATAGAACGTTTGAGGATCGTCTTCAGGACAAACGTCGATCCTCACATGCCACGAACTAATAAATTAAAAATTTGTATTTCAATGTATATTTAGCCTTGTTCGGGAGAAAATTTATTACTGATCAAAAACTGAAATTGCGTTTTGCCTGATTTAGATCTTAACTTAATTTAGGTCGACCCAAATCGGCAGAGCGTATCATGGACCCGTCGACAACACTGGAAAGAGAGCCTTGAAATTAGTAAAATTGCTCTGCGAAAATTTACAAAAGTCTATATGGTGGGGGCACAAACATACAAACGTCTGTAAACTTTCGCGACTTTGAAGAGCTTTTATAATCTTCGATAGTTTTCAATAAAACACTTTCAAACTTGCCAATTTTACTAATTCAAGGGCGCTGTTTCCAGAGAACATGACGGATTTTCACAAGCTTGTCCATGTCAAAATTTGAAAAAAATCGTGGAAGGGTCTTTTAAAAACTATACCTTTTACTACACTTATTTATACATGCCCAATTACTTTAAATCACTTTCACTAACAACTATACCAAAAGCATATAAACCTTATTTTAAAAAAAGAAGTATATTAGAAAAAAATCATAACAGAACAAAAATAATGGTAAACGACTATTCCCAGCTAGTATTTCCTGATCAGTTTCACTTGTTTAACTAATCTCCAAAGGCAAAATACAGTTATACTTACTTTATGGTCAGATAGTAACTGATTGTACAAAGACTTCCAGTTCTCTGTTTCGTAGTTTACTCGGTAATAACCAATCTGATCAACATTGGCCTTAATCCAACCGTCAGATGAAGCCCAGTTCAGTGAAGCTGAAAAAGATTTTGAAGCAAGCGTTTTTGCTTGTTTGCTCGTTTGTTGTTGTTTTCGTTGCTGTTGTTGTTGCTTTTGAGGTTACCGAGAGGTAGGACTGTATCTTTTTAGATTTTGTTACTTTAATCAATTTTTTTTTTAAAGCTCAAGATATATCGGCGACCAAGCGGCCTTTTTGGTACAAAAATACAACAGCAACATTAAAGACAACTGTCTTGTAGCCTCATTTGTTTTTTGGTGACTAATGTAAGATTTATGAAAGTTCTTACCAGGTCCTCTATTCATCCAAACTTGGGCTCTAGTCTTATTCTTCTGAGTTATGTATGTAAGAGGTATATTCCAGGTATAACTATGAAAAAGCGCATCTCAAATTAGGTGACCATCAAGACAACACATTTTTCCTCTATCTTTACATAGTGTAGAGGGTGGTAAAGGGTAATTTCGTGACTGGCGATCGGCCCTTTTGTTTTCCAGGAAATGTGAAATAGCTATTTTTTTTCTCGTGATTCGTTGATTATTTGACAAAACGTTGCAAAGACATCGTATTTACGTGTCGTAGCCAGAAACGGTTTTCGCTGTTTTACTCCTCTTCTAAAGCTCTTTCAAATGATATAAGTTTGACTTTGAAATTAAAAACTGCATTTAACCCATTTTGGTGACGTCAGCCTTTGTGACGTCACAATTTGACATTTTGCGTCAAACAAAAATTTAATATCGTTTCGTCAACCATCGTAGTCTATCTGGCGAGTTTGGTCGAGAAATGAAAAGAAATGTAAAAGATACGTAAATTTAGCCTTAATCAGCCCTTTGAGAGGTGGTTTGCCCCTGCCGTGTTAACGCACGTAAATTTTAATCACGTTGATAAAATAGACTCAAATTCAAATTCCGATTCAAACTGCAAAGCAGAAACACTTGTTGAAACTCATCAAGTATATTTTTTACAATATATTTTTACAAAACCTGGTAACACATAATAGGTTTATAATAGTTCATTAGAAATTTACACACAATAATGTCCTCATGCATGACTTTTTTCCTTTGGTTTCTCTCACCACACGAACTTGCAAAAGTGATGATACTTACTCAAAAGGAGAACTCTGGTTGGGCTTTGCACCAGGGGCGATAAGAAATAGTGTTTGATCTGCTCTTGCCTTCTCTTGATCCATGCGCGTGATGGTGACCACCGGTAATCCCATTTGTAGTATCCAAGTGTCCATCACCTTTTTTACATTGATGCCAGTTTGCTGCGTATGAACGGCAACCCAAGGGGTATATTAATAGTAATAAATTAATGTTGATGTAGGAGGAAAGTGGTGACTCTGAGACCTATTTTGGCTTTTTTAAAACCGCCGAACAGCGCCTGGTATAATCGACCATGAGTTGTACGTCCAACGTTTTCCATAATTACAAAGACAATTTACTTCATTCGTCCAATTATGTTCCGGTATATTGGAAGATTGACATAAATTATCGACGTAAAGAATGATTTCCAATGATGCGTTTTTGGCTACGCAGGTTTACGCACGTAAATCTTAATCACGTAAATAAAACAGAGGCAAGATAAAAAGTGCTGAGCTTAAAGAGAAGTTGAGCGCGGTTCAACTTTTACGCTTACGAGCGACCTTTCAAGTATTGCCTCAATTTTATTTGCCTACGTAAATTTTACGCACGTACGCACGTTAAAATTACGCGGCACTGGAAATCAACCCTAACGGAATGTTCAACAAAAAAATGAACAAAAGTGCCGTCTTGTGGTTTGAGTTCCTCTCCAAACGTTTCGGGCCTAGCCCTTCATCAGTGGAGTTCAAGGAACTCGAACCACAAGACGGAACTCTTGTCCATTATTTTTGTTGAATATTCCCTTACTTTCTAAAGCGCGACGCAGCTTTTTTCCTTTTTTTTTTTCGTTACTTGCAATTGTTTGAAGAAAAAGTACCCTGGGGATTTCAGCAACTCAGTTGGTAAAGCCATGATTTTAAAACCATAGCCTGTCAAATCTTTTATCCCTGGTGGTAATTAACCAAATCAACAAGGTTGTTTTTACCAATTTTTTAAGATGAACGAATAAAGGTTTGATGGTTATATTATTCTGGAGTGGAGACGGCTTATGCAGATCAGTAACACTTATACTAACACGAGAGAACCTCTTGGTTAAGTAGTGTAGTTCAGTTCTAAAAAGCGGCCTAGCGTGGATGGTGGGGGGAGGGGGGATGAAACGCCACGAATTAGTGCACACCTGGCCAGAGGCTGGTGCTCTAAACAGAGAGCTTGAATCCTTTTATGGTGGCAAATTTTGCTCTTTTACCTCAGTTGATAAAACTGAAAGTTTCATTTTTGAAAGACAGATATTAACGTAATGGATTTCTAAAAATAGATTGTTTCATTATGTGTTATATGGTTCAATGAAATCTAAAATAACGCCAGACACATAGAGAAAGTTCTGGTAAATGAAATTAAATTGAATTAAAATGAAAACTTAATTTACGTGTTTATGTGTTTAGCTTTCATGACAGCTAACGGGGGACACAGGCTATCTACATTAATAATATGTGTCCCTAGTGAAATCTTCATAACACTAAAATTATTAAAACCTATCGCATACATAATTTTTTTCTACAGTCGTATTTCGGCCATGCCGCGGATAATTGCCTCTGTATTTTCTGAGAAACCCATTATTATCTTACTTGAGTCATGCATGCCCATAAATCATCGGTGACAGCGTTTCCATAAGCAAATTTCTTAAGATATAATTGGAGTCCGGATGTAAATCCTTCCGAGCCAAGAAAATCCCTCAACATCCTGATCACTGATGCACCCTGAGGAAGAAAGAAAAAATTAAGCCAGTCAAAACGTTCATGGTACTAATGGCGATGGCTTGTTGGGCATCATAAAAGACCGGCTCTTGGGCCAGTTAAGACAGATAGTTTTAAAAGAAAATCATTTTAACCCATCTTCAGTTTCTCCTCTCCAGCAATAAACTGAGTATGAAGGAGGTGTAATATAAAAGACAGACAAGAAGAGCTTGGAGCTTACTCATTTTTTACAGAAATGGAGATCCAATGCCTTATCTAAAACCATATTCTAACTTCACCCAAATAGCCGTAACGTTTACTTGAAAAGACGAGCTTTGATTCGTTGCCGAGAAAATCGTAGTCAACAGTTACCAGCACATTACAAAAGACTTATTAACGGACCAAGCAAATCTGATGACGAAAACAGAATCGGATGACAAGACAACCGACAATTCACATTTTGAGTCTTCATAGCCAATAGAAACAGAAACTACCCAGGTATCGTGTGCGCGTGCACAATACCTGAGCATGCGTCGCGACTAACGGCAACAAAATTAAACCATATGCCAAGAGAAAAGCTCATGAAACAGTTTTTTTCATCTCCCAAAGAAAAAATCATTTTCACCGAGGGAGGCGCGCACGTGTCCTCGAAATTTCTCCGGCCTAAAGAGGGAGAGAAAAGAAAGGGAAAGAACAAAGAGAGAAAGATTGTGGTTGAATGTATGTGTCATGTTAAATAAACATTATTTGAATTAAATTTAAATTAAAAGTAAGCAAGTAAAATCAACGCGGATAACTGACATAGAACATGATCATTTCGGTGTCTTCATGACTCCATAAAAAACATTCTGATTTAACTGTTTCAAACAGTTTATTCTGAAACGTTAGTTTTACAGTGGAACCTTGATTTATATTATATCGGGGGTTTGTTATATCGAAGCCTTCGATTTAATGAATTTTCTAGAAAACAACCAAAATGTTCGTTATCGACGGCGAGGTATATATAGTTTGTTAATGATTAGTCATGATTAATTCTCAACACAAAGTATTTCCGGTTATGAACAATTTCTGTAATTATTATACATTCAACTCACTATCTCTATTGTGATTGGCCGAAAACGTACAGTGAATTTTGGAAATCAGTGCCTGGGACGTCATCTACTAAGGTGACTCAAGTTCATGGGTAATCATGTCATGTATGACCGCGGTGCATGATTTCTAAGGGTAATCATGTCAAGTTCGGCCGATTTGTGTTGCTTGCCGTCAGTGAAGAAGCAAACACATGACTATCCAGAATAATCAAGGTCGAGGTAGGGGTTATCGGCTGAGGCTGATAACCCTTACAGAGACCTTGATTATTCTGGATATCACAAAAACCGAATCTAATAATTTTTATAAATATTTGCATATGAAGCTACAATGGTTTCAGTACAGAGCTGTGCATGGATACGGCACTAGAAACTCAAGAACAGGCAAACAAAACTGCTTAAAACTATTGTACACATAAATTTTATCATCGTTGGTCTGTTAATCGCATTCATCTTTAGCTATCGTTTGGTCAGATTGTCATTTATTAGTTACATCGAGGTATATTTTACGTTTGCGCTTCTGGACTGTGTTCCTTATAACGAGGATTTCGTTAAATCCAGGTTCTCTTCGTTATATCGAGGTTCTGTTCCATACATTTTACTGCAATTTTGGCCTGGCTGAAGAAAATCGCTCGTTATACGTACCCAGGGACTTCGATATAAGGGTCCGTTAAACCGAGGTTCCACTGTATTTATATCAAATAAATTTTCAGACCTTTTCATATGATATAGAATCAAAGATGTTATTGATTTCTTTGGGATCTTTAACCTCCACCGAAATAGGATGTGAAAATTTTGACTGATCGTCGCTGAACGCTTTGTAAAGCTTCTCAAGGATAAACTGGTCCAACATGCTCCAGTTTCGCTCAACAAAACTCGATCCTATATCTTCCATATAGGTTGCAAAGCCTTCATTAAGCCAAAGATCATTCCACCATTTCATAGTGACGAGGTTTCCAAACCACTGCAAAAGGAGATCAAAACAAAGATATGCATTGAATTTTTGTTGCGTCAGTCCTCTAAAGTGAGTAAAAATGCCTTTACAAACAACTGCACATCCGGGGAAAAGGAGGTTGCGTCGGTGAAGAAGGAATGATAATGTATTGCCGAAAACATGCAATAAGGCAAGGCAGGTCCGTTAAGGAAGTGGCTCAGTTAAATGTGAATTAACTCCTTGATTTCAGGCTACCTGCATTTGTGCAAGTGTCGAAAAATGTATTTTTAACTAAATCCATGTAATGTATAACATCTATCTAGGTTACCAATAGTGGCATCGATTTTTAAAAAAGCAACGACCGTTGCCATGGGGAAATGGACGTCGCTGTCCTGTCCTGCACTACACGTTTTCGATCTTGAAGGAATTTTAGCTTATTCTCTGAAATGTTAAGTAATTAAAATATAAGTCAATGGGATATCCGTTGCTACTCGAATACCATTCGTAGCAGTGGCAGTAGCATTTACGTTGAATTGGTAAAAACAGAGCAGACATCGTCGTCTAAAAAACATATAACATATATTAAGCCAATCAGCTGACTAATTACTGATCACATTTTATCTTGTCATGTGAACTAAAGTAGTTTTAAACCTAAGTACAGGTAGATCGTTTCCCATAATTAATTGAACAAGAGAAACTTAGGTTGACTTTTCAGTGTACTTTAAAACAGATAATTTTGTTCCATTCAATAGCTTAGTGCTGCATTTAAAAACACGGGGCTTAAGCCCCGTGCAAACAAACGCAACATTCTTGGCCGACAACGTTAGAAGTTGTAGAGTCCATTTACACGTAGCTAATAGTTTGACCGGTTTCCGGCAAACTTTGCGCAACAAGTGGGCGTGCCAATAACATGCAATACCACGCAACAGAGTGTGCAAACAGACGCAACATGTAACTTCCAAACAATGTTCGGAGTTGTTGTCCAAGAATTTTACTTCCGTTTGCACAGGGCTTTATGTGAAACCTGTCGCCGTTAGCTATTTTCAAATTCAGTATGGAGTCTATTGTAAGTTTACCATCTCATGAAACCTAAACTGAGTGGCAAGCGCAAAAAGCGGAGGGGAGCGGGGAAAAATCCCTCTTCCTTTTTCCCTCCTCTCGTACCCATTCCGACGCCTGCCACGAAGGCTGAAGCCCTGTGAAAACGGACACAACATAGTTGGCCATCATCTCCCAACACTGTTGGATGTTATATGCTGTGTCCGTTTGCACACCCTGTTGCATGTTGTTCCGTGTTGTTGGGAGTTGTTGTGCAAAGTTTGAAACCAGTCAAACTTTTAGCTACACGCAAACGGACGCAACAACTCGCAACATTGCAGGACCAACAGTTGCGTCCCTTTGCACGTAGCTTAGTAGCGCTCAGGGAAATGAACCCTGGATTCTCCGCTTACCTGGTGTGCTAATTCGTGTGTGACTGTCTCGCACACATCTTGCTTAATAGAATCCGATGTTTTATTAGAATCGAAGAGAACCATGGCAGCGGAATATCCTATCAGGCCCCAGTTTTCTTCGGCTCCTGTTCCAAAGTCAGGAATTGCGACCAGATCTGCAATATGACGGGGTTGGAACGTAAGCTGTGGCGTGAGACATATTGCTCGCCGTTGAGTAACCGATCGAGCGAAGAGACCTTCTCACTTGAAACTTTGTAAAAGAAACGAAGACTAAGTTACCGTCGATCCTGCGACTGCAGTGCAAAAGGTGATCCGTATTCTTCGGTTGGACAGGTCTGATCAGAAACTTAATGACGTTCCATTTGGCCAATCCCGTTTAAGGTATCAAAATTTGCCGAAATTTTCCCCCAAAATTGACGTAAATAGATCGGTTCAATTGAACTGACCGAAAGCGCGAAATTCGTTTTTCGAAATATCTGAGCGGTTTTTTTAACTTAAATAGCGGAATAGTTTGATATTTCTCACAGCCTTTATAATGTTCATCGGACACTCCCGACCAGATATAATGGAAAAGGAGACCAGACAGAGAGGTTTTAAAACAAAATTAATGTTTCTGATAAACGGTATTTAAAAAAGGGCGGCGAGATAATTCATTAACTTGTTTTTTGATGACTTAGACCAATGAGCCTCTAACGTAGAACAATAATTCCTTTTCTGCGTGATATAATTGCTTTTTTATAATAACATGAACAATGCTTACCTTGCTTTGGAAGAGGAAACGGTATCTTAAAGAATTTTTCATAATTTGAGAGAGTAGTTGCAGCGATGTCCAAAGCGTAAGTACCCTGTGAGATCTGCGACGGGGGAGCCCACAAACGGACCTGTGCCAGCAGAAAATAAAACGCGCGTAATCTTTCAAGAAGAAAAAAAAATTCACAAACGGCCCCCTCTCCACAACGACTACCTCTCTACAAAGGCCACTTTCAGCAGCGGACAAATAATCCATACCTTGGGCGCGATCCATTCAACCAAAATTTCCGGAAATTTCGGTCCAAAACTCAATGGATCGGTTCTATCTAACCGGAAAAGTTTCAAAAAAACTGGTCCACCTATTGAGGTGGACCAATTTTCCCGATCGGACCGGTCGGAATCTTGGTTGAATGGATTGCCCCCCCTTGACTCTTGTTTAAACCTCTCTACAACGGCCACCTCTTTACAACGGAAGCCACTTTCTCCTGTCCCTGAGGTGGTCGTTGTGGAGGGGTTCAACTGTTTTAGGAAACGCTGCTCAATTGTCAGGGGTCTTTTTTGTTGTTGGTGTTTTATATAATACAGCAGCCGACATCGATGATAACCTGAGAGCAAGAGAAGAGGAAAAGCTAGCGTAAAACAAAATTAGCACGAGTAGTCAAGCTTCTAGCGTGTGCTTGCCATTAATCGTATTACCCATCTACAGCCGAATTTTTTAGATATAGCACAAAAGATGCTGGTCAGATCATTTTTTAAGGTTTTGGTATTTCGAACAGGTGGTTGCCTATAACAGGTGTTTCAACATGGCGGTTTGACTACACGAAAAACGACAGTCTTAAAATACCGTCTATTAATGTTCTTTTAGTCTGGATGCGCGTATGTCTGCATTGTTTGTAACGAGCTTGTGCCTTTTTTTTTCGGTTTTTGTTCTCTCTTATTTCGATTGTCAGCTGGATCGTCAAAAGGTATCGTCGAAGTACAACAAGTTGTATTTTTGGTTTAAATTAGGTTTGGTTATGTACCTTGATGCCACTACTTGTGTTAGTTTCTATGGACTTGAAGTCGCTCACCAGAAACGCTACCAAATAAGTACTCATCTTAACGGATTCTTTGAAATGATCCGCGTATAAATCTTCTCCAATTTTAACCTGGAAAAAGGAGAGAGCACAAGTTGTTATATTACGATGGTAGGATTTATGTTACACTTGTCTAGAGGCAATTAGGTGTTAATTGCCACTCCCTACGCTACGTGGATAATGGGTCGCTCTCTAGCGTGTGTTTGTTAGAAACGTAGCCACTGATTGATGTAAAGGTTTCCTGTTGATAGTATTAATTGGACAATCATAACTAACTCTTGCCCACCCAAACGATGCCAGAAATCGTTGCCCGGAAAGGTTGTAGCCATTCCACTCTGAAATTTACGGATAGGCGATTAATGTACAAACAGTTGAGTATAACATATGATTATTTTGGAATTTTGAATTGTGAGTGTCTTATTTTGTTCTGTTTGTTTCATTCCCTCCTCAGTGTGTTCTGCCGAACCCTGGCAGACATACCGTCAGGCAATTGAGGCGGTTGCCTTTCGGAAACAATTTTGAATGATTTCTTCTGTGTGCCTGAAGCAATTTTTAAGGGTTTTTCATTGCACCCTAACACAGTAATAGAGTCTGATGGACGAATCCCATGAACATCCCGACCAGCCGGACGTCAGTTCGCGAGACAATTTAAAAAAATGGCAAAGCGTAGTGGAAGAACGGGCTGAAAATTGCAAACGGACAAGATTGGATCCGAAGGAAACTATTCGTCTTGGCAAGAGTCGATCGGACTCAGTTGGGGAGAGACTTTGTCAATTATTTGTACCTACGAGATTTTTCTAATCTTCAGATTGTACCCTATAAGTACTTTTGCCGATTCCCCTATTATACCTAGCCTAAAGCAGAGTTCACCGTTAATCTCTCTTTTGACTCTTAGTCTGACTCTTAGTCATGAAGCAAAATGCTCACCGTGCTGTCGATAGGCATATTAGAAAGCGCTCTGTACTGCCCCTGTCTTATAATGGTCACTGTAAACGTAGCCTTCATCGCTGGTTCGTCAAAACATGGAAAAGCTGACCGTGCGTCCGTGGGCTCAAACAATGTGGCAGCCAAGTACCTAAAATAAAAGTAAGCTACTTACTCGCGTTAAGCCCCGTGCAAACGGACGCAATATTGTTGGCCAACAACTCCCAACATTGTTGGATGTTACAGGAAGCGTCTGTTTGCACACCCTGTTACATGTTGCTGCATGTCGGTTGCGTGTTGTTGGGAGTTGTTGCGAAAAGGTTGGAAACCGGTCAAACTTTTGAGCCAACCCTCTAACTTTGTTAGAAGAGCTGTGCAAACGGATACAACATATGTTGCGCTACGTTTTGACGATCACGGAACAAAGGAAATGTTAGGATCCTAACATTTCTTTTGTTCCGTGATCGCCAAAACGTACGCAACATATGTTGCATCCGTTTGCACAGTTCTTCCAACCGCCAATGTTAGGGCCACGCATGCGCATTACGCTTGGTTTACAAAGTGTTATGGTTTGTATCCTTCCCACGATGCACTGCAGGTCCCAACAATGTTCACCTGGTAGTTGTTGCATCCGTTAGGACGTAGCTTTATCACACTGGACGGAGGGTGTGTATAAGGAGCCTGCATGTTGCAGGCTCCGAAATTGAAAACGTACGAACATCCTTTTTACCAGATCACACATTTATGTTTCTTTATTTCCCAATTGATCTACCGAAAACTGCCGTCCCTTAGCTTATGCGAGCACTCAGTTGACAAATAGTTTTTCACTACCAGGGTGCGTTGTTATTAACCATAGAGTCCGAGGTGGGCGTTTTTCAGAATTGTTGCGACTACAAATTAATTGCGAGAAATAAACGCAGTTTAAAATCATTTTAAAATGATATTGAGGATATTGTGCTACAGCAATTCTCACTCGTGCCGCCTTGAGTACCCGAGCAAAAATAAAGAGCCATCAATATAATGATTATATTTATGGCTCGATATTATTGCTCGGGTACTCCAGGCTCACGATTGAGAATTGCTGTAGCTCAATATCCGCAAAATAATTTTAATGATGATGAGGGTTTTGTGTGGTATTTTTAGCAATAGAAATTTAGGAGTCAAATCTAGTAATAACAATACAGCGACGCGCTTTCAACCACACACTCAAGGACTGACGTGCACTGCGTGCACTAACTGAGGAAGCTTTCAGAGTATTTTCAGGGAATTTACGGCTGCTTTAATTCCTTCGGTAGGTCTTCTAGGCCCTTATTATCGAGTAAACAGCCTTGGGTATGTTATGAAGGGATAAATGATAGGTGTAAGACGGCGTAAAAGCCAAGAAAAACCAAAAATTTATATGAAAAAACGGGGAAAGGTATTAATATTTTTTACTCCTGTTTGCGATCGTTAAAAATATCATTAAACGGCCTGATAATTACTATTATGCAACAATCATCACTTTGGAGCTTGGGGAACCTGCGGTTAAAGGACCCTTTGCAGTTGGTCGTTCAAGTCGTACCAAACCGCCATGGTGGAGAGTAAAAGACATTCTGAGACAAGACAAACAAAGCGCTCACATCATTTAAAATGGTATTTTCCTTTGTTTGTCTTTCCCAGTATGCCCTCTCCAGCATGGCGGTTTTGTACCACGTGAATAACTAGTTGCAGAGGACCTAGCTGGACCTATTGTCGTGTGTCGTAGTCCATGTTATAATGGTTTGTTGTCAAGAGTTTGTTGCTGCTGATATGGAGAGGAAATTCGATCCGGCCTTTTGTCCTTCAGTCGGGCTAAAATCGACCCAAAATCATTCTGGGAAGAGTTTGTCGTAAATCTTCCCGCTCAACAATATCTGCGATACGCTTATTTAAGTCTGTCTGTTTCCGTGTTCAGTATCCAGTGTATACCTGCGACAAACTGTGCCTGCAGTAAAGTACATTAAGTCAACTCTGTTTCAGCTGGCACGAAATGTATTGCAGAGCCGTAGCTAGTGGGGGGGGGGAGGGGCAGAAAACACTGGTCCTGTTGAACCAGACCAAATCTGTGTCTGTGTATGGATTTTTTTTCTTTAGACTCAGTTATTTTGATTGTAGTGACTTGCAATTGTTTGCCATTTTCATGGCCGAGAAATTGGTTGGTCCACAGTGTGTGCAAATTGTAAGCAAAATAAAGCAAAACCCCCTATTGAAATTGGCATGTATACGTAGTATTTGCAAGGTTCACTCTAATTTACAGAGAGTGCCTGTAGTGGCGCAGTCTGGAACTAGTCTAGTAGCGAGAGGATCTGCGATTACCAGGTAAACAAGGGTCTCTCAAATACAATAGCGTGAGTTTTGATAGAACGTAGAAAGTGATATTCTATTCTACCCAGACTTAGAGTGGTCATTATCGTTCAATCGAGTTCTGTTTTCCTCTGCGTCGTCTGAAGTTACAGACACGTTCTTCAATGAGAGAAGAACGCCTCAGCGGCCTCGCGATGATGCTTATTCACCGTGAAAGCAACTACATGCCAACGCCAAAGGATATTTATGGACGAAAATAGCGTTTCGGAGCATCCAAATTTGAAAATTTTCTGCGCGAGGGTACCCCCACCCCCCTACAAGCCTCGCGCCTTCGGCACGCGCGATAATGCCCCTCCCGTACAAAAAAGCCTAGCTACGGCCTTGTACAGTACTGATTGCCTGATTTATCTTGAGAAAGCGACTCTTGTCTTCCAAAAAATCTTTGATCAAAGACATTTATCTAAAATTCGGAAAAGACCTTTCATCGCACCTCCGCCCTTGAGTGGCACAGTCTGGCTTCACTGATCCCAATACCTACCAACAGTTCGAATTAGGTGATAAGAGAAAGTTATGAGAGATACTCTCAACTATCCAGAGAGGAAGTTACTCGAAGTAACCGTCTCTGTCTGGAAGTATGGGTATATTAAAATTAAGTCAAGCAAGATGCAAATTTCAGGAGATTTGCATGCTAATTGCTACCATTATAAATCTCAACCGACAAACTGACAAAACTAAAAGTCAATAAAAGCAAAAATATTTTCCATTTTTTCTGCATCCCACGGAACAAACAACAAAGGATGCATCCCTATCCGTGTATGTTCCGATGTCCCCCAAGTCACCATCTCCTGCTCGCATTAACCGAACTGTAATTGTTCAATGAATATTGCACTGTTCTTAGTTTACATATTCAATCTATAATTACCGGTGATGTTTATTTAGTTTCACTCACCTTTTCTCGCCATCTTTTGCAGTATAAGAACTTCTATAAAACCCTAGTAACTTGTCCGTCAGGGGATAGTTAAATTGAATGTAAATCTTGTAAGTTTGTCCCCGGATGAGTTCCTCTTTTACTTTAATGAGGAACATTTCAAGGGTCTTATTTTTCATTGTTTTTAACACATGCAATTCTCGATCCTGCTGTTTCTTCGCATCCCTTTCAATCAATACTTCGTTTTCGTAAACATCTCGTAAATCATCAGAAAATTTAACATCTTGTTGTTTCTTCTCAAAGACTGCTGTCTTCGTGACATTCATGTCTCTTAAATGAAGAATAATATTTGCTGTTGGCTTTTCACACTTGACTGTTATACCAACTTCTCCCTTTACAGTGAATAATTTTAAGTCAGTGTCCAATGTGATTTTGTAATTCAAAGGAAATAAAGTCTGTGGAAGCCGTAAACTTCCCCATGGAAAATTGTCTCCAATCCTAGTGATGATCTTGCGGCCATGGATCCTGCCTTCTCCCAGTGTTACTAAACTCCCTAGTAGAAGAACATATAGAACGAAGCGAAGTAACCGACGATAGCTTGTAGCGTGCATATCACAAGAGGGTTGAAATACCAGGCCAGCTGTTACTTGGTTAATAAGAAAAGGAGTAAAGTTGTGAATTACCTTTGGAAAAACTGTTTATCTCATGTTGAAGAATAATCTGACCCAGGCTCTATGCATAAACAACAAGACCTCTGATACTTAAAATGTTCCGCAAACGCACAGTAATTAGAGCGTCTCACGATATCCGTCGTCTTGGGCTCGTTTAAACCACATCTTCAGCAGGAGGGATACCATTTAAAAGTCCATTTATGCTCGTCGACTGTAAACTGGTATTTTAATAAAGGTGACATATATGATATGGGTGTCAAAGCCTCCAAAAACTGACAATCAAATACATGTAACACAATCGATGTCATGGGTGATCAATCCACGACGAAAACTGGCATGATATTCAACTCTACTCAGTCAAAAAAAGGACCTCAATGGCCAATATTTCGACTAATACCAGGGTACCCCTAATATGGCTCCTGCTAATTGAGCATTTGTCTTCTACAGGGTCAGATTTGAAGTAAACAATTTATTTAATGGCTTTTATTTTAAAATCTGAATAATGTATAAACCACTTTTCTTTCGAATTTAAATATATTTGAGCATAAAGAAGGTCTTTGATTGACTGAAATGGACGGAATGTCACTAATTATATATTTAACTGATTAAAAAAACGTATAAGCCATTAATAATAAGGCTTCAAGGATTTATGGGTGTACGTTTATGAGCAGAGCAATTTCTTGGAGTTGAAGGTTTTTTCCCTTTTCTTTCCAGAAAAGCTTGCATTCTCACGAACCGCTTGTGCGGATGCAAATCACAAGGCGAAGTACTTTCGAAAGTACTTTGTTTTGTAACAGCTAGGCATGCCGTTTTTTCATCAGTTAACTCTTCCCTTTTAGGCCTCATTTTCTGATTTTCCTCGGAAGACATATGTGCCCAAAAACGTTTTTCTGCTTATCACCAAGAAAACGCTAGAAACCGTTTGCTGAACCTTGTTGAAATGCATCCGATAATACAAGTCTGTCAGTGGAAACTTTAAATTTGCAATGCAAATAAACTTCTACCTATAAACCCGTTACGTCTTTATCCGTTCATGGTTTATAGTTTTCAGTTTACAACTTTTCTTCATATCAGGTGTATATATACAGTCGAAACCAGGAACATGAAGTCATGATAAGAGTAAATAAAATTAGAATTTGAGGACGTTCGGCAACATAACAGCCGAACCTCCATGTGCGCTGGACCAGCTAAGTACGGGACGGACCATTAGAAAAGTTATGGGGGGGGGGGGAATTTTCGAGCAGCAGGAATTTTTTTTGTTATCAAATTCCTTGTATGAATTTTTTTTAGGCCATAGCATGAATATTTTTTAGGATTAATTGGCGTGCATGAATTTTTTTTCATTTAATTTTACCCTGCGCGAACATTTTTTTGTACTTCGTCCGCCCCCCCACCCCCCCCATAAGTTTTCTAATGGTCCGTCCCTAAGCGACCACTTATCCAAAACAAAAGCATTTTCCCATTTAAAACCTTACAATTGGAACCTGTTGTAAAGCATTACAACCCCTCGTAAGCGACCGCGAGCACTTTTATGATGTCGATTTTTGATTTTTCATTGTCGCTCTTTTAAGCGACCGGCAGTTGCTGTTCAGAGTATGAGAAGAAGTTTTAGAAACAAAGTGGATTTACATAATATCAGTAGCCTAAAAATTGCATGCATGCGGCTTTCCGAAAAGCAGATGTGTCCAGACTTCAGATTTCTCGTAGAGACCTCCTGCAGTTCGATGTCTCGTAAGAGAGCATCTTTCGTAAGCGACTACTAACTCTTCACATTTGTCACCCGGGATGGTCGCCAATTGGAGTTCTGACAGTAGGATCCCTGACAGAAACTGTCCAGGGACGATGAAATGTCCGTTCAATTGCTGATCTAGACTGCAAAATAGTCTATTTTTTTTCTCAAATCGGTTAAGCGTAGCTTACGAGTCTCTCTCTCCCCAATCTCTCCGTTTTCAGTCTCGATCCAGACCTCTTGACTTCTCGCGCTTACTTGAATACGCAAAGACTGGGACTGTTTTGCAGTCCCCTGTTTGCTGATCTCGTCTATTGGGGAAGTTGGAGGAAAGGGGTGGTATTTTCCCTTTTTTTTCTGTTTGGTGGCCAGTGTTTCTGGTTGACAGTAATTTTCTTGTACCAACAGGGCTGAAGGTTTAATTGTAACAGCCTCCCTAACCTTCTATTCATTAACGGTGACCCCTAGTAATGTTGTGAGATGCTGAAAAAGAGCTTGAGTGTACGTAAATGAACGTTCAAATGAATTTACCTGGTGGTTGGATGAGATCAAGTGAGATTATTCTTTTTATTACAGAATATGACCTTGCCTTTAACACACTTATCACCGTCCCGTAAATAAGAGTGAGTCAGTAGTCGTTTTAACAAAGTCGACACTTTCTGATAAGGAGTTGGAGCAACCGGTAAGTAAAAAGAGTGTAAAAAATGGGGGGGGGGTAAAAAATGGCACCAGTTTGCATGACAACTGCTTAATTCATTTTCTCTCTCTCTCCCTGGGACAAAGTCCCTGCACCTTGTGATTCTCTTGGGATAACTGACCGCTGGCTATACTTAAACAGACCGGTATGCTCAGAAAATCCTGGCCTTCTTCGTTTTTTGAAAACAACCTTTAGCTTCTTCTCTCGTGTTTTCACATGTTGTATTTTGAATTTGTCCTTCTTCTTTTTATGGCACTTCTGTAATCGATCTACGGGAGATCAGTTTAGCGAATCATCTTTGATGAAGAAGCCTCACACCTCTAGTATTTCGTCTACATGACATGATTTAATAATGACTTAGTAATTCTCTTACTGTTACTTTACAAAGTCTACAGTGGTAGTTGATATCTCGAAATTAGGAAAGTGAAATTGTTTAATGAGACCTTGCCGGCCAATCATGCAGGAAGAGAACGTCTTATGCTTGCGTTAATCCGGGTCAAGCAGATGGGCTTTCTGGTCGTGCATATGGGTTGTGGGTCAATTATAAAGCCAAGACGCAAGACGAGGTAACGCGAATAGAAAGCGAATAGACAAGATCAAGACTCTTTTTTGTTGTTGAAGAACTGGCTAGTGAATGGCTCCCTCTTAGAAGTTCCTTATTCGGGCTTTTCCAATTACAAGTAGTGGTATGGTTGGTTCGTTTAATTCTATGGCGGTAGAGAAGGCTTTCGAAGTCACGAACATAAGGGGTACAACTTTGTCGCGTAGTTTTCGTGAGTTACGCCCGAGACTCAGTCAGTTGGTACAAAACACATTGATGTCATAAATAATACGGTACAGCCATCACAAGAAACCTGAATACGAGTTTTGCGTTGTTTTTGCCCAAGTATAAAAAATTCCCATAGAATGGAACCACGCGTTTTTTTAGAGAGTGCGAGCATACTCTCGGCTCATGGATTTGGCGACGGGATGGGCAAGGGGGAGTTCTTGTCACACTCTAACATCCAATAAAGACGGACGGGTGGTTCATTGCATTTCTGGCATTGCAACTCAACAGCGGAAAAGATAAGCGGGACACAATTACCCTTTCAAGTCACGAATCAAACAGTACTTGCAGCATCCTTTAACCTTTATTCCCACTGTGTTTAAAGTATCATACATAGAGTACATGTTGAAGTACTGTCACGACACTACGTGTTAACGTTAATAAATACTACAGGCGATAGCGCTCTCCTACGCGTGATACTGCAACCAGCGCAGTGAATTTAGCGCAAACAGCACTTACACGTAATTGATGTTACAATAATTTAATTGAAAATTTAGATTACAAAGACTGGGGCAATAGCCAGCCTCAATTAATTTTAATTTATAATTTTGACACCGAGGTATCATTTCAAGTGTTTCAATATGGAGCACACAAACACGAGAAATAGGCATAATTATCGTACTCGTCCTTCGCCCTTTTACTGGCCCGCAAATGTTCCAAACATCCTATTTATTGATGACTGAGGAGAGGTCATACAAAAAATTTCCATCGTCGGTGTTCATTTTTATTTTTTCCACGATTAACCGTCGATTCGCAGTGTTTATAAAATGGGAAACCGAATCAGATTCCGATCACCCCTAGGGCTTTAAAGTTGAAGTTTAAGAAAGGATATGCCCCACGTCACCTCCACTACAACAAGCTTCGACTCTGTCCAACGATTCATCAGAAACAAGTGTTGGTTTAAATACAATTACAGTACAACCCCTTCCTCATGCGGCCATCTTGGAGACTGAAGAAAGTAACCGTTGTAGAGTGGGTTAAACAAGAGTCAAAGTATGGACTGTCCACCGAAAAATGTGGCCGTTGTAGAGAGGTGGCCGTCGTGAGGAGCTGACCGATTTTGGAGGTTCCACTGTAACAGTTTTTATAGAGCTTCATATCCCTACACAACTTCAGTCACTGTCGAGTATAATTATGACAACTATTTCTCTAAATTAATTCTGCCTTTCTTGCAGGTCACATTAGCCGTATTCACACTGGAGACGGATTATCCGTCTGTGACAGGTTATTCGTTAGATAATTCGCGTCAGGCAGATAATACGCCTTAATTTGAAAATGGAATGGTCTTAATTGGACGGACAACCCAACTGACGTTATCCATCTGTTGTTCCGTCAATTTGACGGATTTTAAAGATAGATTATCCGTCTCTCGTGTGAAAACGGCCATTATCTCTGACGTATTCCCAGGTTATAACGCACAAAGTTTAATTGAACAACTGTGTGCTTTGAAAAAAACATCTTGTATAAGATCAAAAAAAGATGATTAATGGGTAATAGATGTGGCAGATCGACTACTGATTCAGCAGCTCCAGCCCAAAACATCCAGCGGGAAGGAGGCTCCATGCGCCGGCATAATTAACCCGCCATCATTCCAAACTTGGGCAAAACCAACAGAGGAGAGAAATAAAAAAAATAATGTCGTTCTCCCAAACATGAACCGAATATTGTCAATTTCTCATAAAGCCCATAAATACAATAAAAATAAATCTCTTGTGTGTTTACTGCACTTAACCAAAGTAAAGAGGACTAGCACTTGTATCCTTCGTAAAATATGATAAATTTAACTATAAAGCTTCATTTGTATGTGCAATCCCTTTTGCTTACAAGGAATAACTCCAGAAAAAAGAAAGTTTTTGCCAGAACACTAACTACATAAAATTTTACTCCTAACGATCAAAGAAGCCAAGAAAACAAAGAGCAAAAGCGTAATCACTCGCTACCCGAGGGATGTTTATTAGGGTCCTTCCTCTTGAATTTTAACACGTATGTTAAGATTCAAGCAAAAAAGGAATTGTTAAAACGCCACGTCAAAGCCGGGAAGGACAGCTTTGATATTAGAAGTTATTTGAGTGTGAAATAAAATTCTAAAATATCAATGTAAGTGGAAGAAAAACAAGTAACATGTAGAATAATATATTAAGAGAAAGCTTTATGGTTCTTAAGGTCGACCATATTTTTCCACTATCATCTCGTCGTACGATAAATACTTCGGCTTTTGCATTCGATGCCTTGTTGCGGTGCCTTGTGGTGCCTTGATGGACGGGTGTGTCAGCCATTCATACACTCTGCCACCATAGCGTTCTAACCATTTGATGTTGGCAGCTATACTCTCAAGACTTTGCTGTACAGCCAGCTTGCCGGAGCCTTGGTCAACGTCTGGTCGAGAGAAGAAACCCGACACCTGAAAGCAAAAATGAAATCACAGTTTAAGGCGCTGCAAAATATAAGACTGTTGCACGTTTTCAGACTGTGGATACTGCGCAAAGAGATGTGAGAAGGAAAAACAGCAATAGGCTGGCTTTGGGGGTTTCCTCATTACTTCTTTCCCTTTTCTGAGGGTTGTCCAATACTCAATTGAACGCCTGGAACAGACTAGGGGTATACTGGCCCAACTGTTCCAAGTTTTATTTGCTTGTATTTATTTGCATTTGTTACGAATAATGCGTAAACACTTCGAAAATACATAAGATCAATAGCGATGATCGAAACTCTCTTGAACTTAAGATAACAGAGCCGGCACGGGCTAACAGAAAGAAGAGGAAGCCGTTTGCAAGACGTTTGCAAATTTTTCTTCCTTTTCATTAGCCGAAAATTCCACCACGTGACCTGCAAATAACTGCTTACAAATAATGCTCTGCTCATTCGCAATGTCGTCCAACTGTGTTTGGCTGCAAATAACATTCCGCTCTTGCGTGAAAAAATTAATGGCAGATCGCTTCGCTTTCCGGAGATATTCATTAAAAAATAAACTTGGTGATCGAATGAAAAAACAATTATTGAATTCGGTTATCGCAAAATAGTGTCAGCGTCTCGCAGCTCAATTATGTGCCTCATCCTTCGGCTTCGGCAAATAACTGATCTGCTCGCCACTGACAAATCACGATATTTTGCTCAACCTCGTCCAATAATTGTTAATTATTTGTTGCTCTACCTCGCTGGAGTGGAAGAAAAGCCAAAAAAAGTGATAATCAATGACAGGATGATTTGGATCAATTTAGGTTTCTAAAAAACTGCCCACCTACCCCTCCCCTGAGCCAAAATTAACACTTACTTCTCGTTTAGGGCAAAATGTTGGCTTAGGGGAGGGGTAGGGGGGCTGTTTCCCAGAAACCTAAATTTATCCGATGATTTTTCAGTCAGTGACACAGTACTCTCAATAGAAGTCGAACTGTTACTAGTCCAGATGCTCTACCACCTAAGCTACAGGAAACTCTTACGAGCTAATGCCCCTAAACGAGGACCATGAGACAAAAGTTTGACCTTGAAATTATTACACAACAGCAAACCAATTAACAAACATAAAAATAAAAAAAAACTATTGATTCATCGTGGCGGCGTTTGATTAGTTTAGCGAACAAGCAACTCCTTTCCAGCTGAAAAAGTTTCCTTAAAAGGAATTATTTTGCCATAAATATGGAAACAGAAACTGGATTGCCCATTGGATTCGATTGGCCGTTTTCCGAATTTAAAAGCAAACTTGCCGCTTTGCCTTCTGCTGAATCAGTGCTTCTACCGTTCTACATTTGTATAAGCTGGCTCGACTTCAGCACAGCACGAATAGCACGAATGTGGTACGACTTGGTTTCAGATGTCGAATCTCACTTTTGCGGAAAACAAAACTTAAAAAAACAAGACGCCTAAAGTCGTTTCCGTGGGATGCGTTGGTCTATGGAAGAATAATGGCGTTCTATCTGAATTTGGAAAATTAGGGAAACCGGAAAGATGTGTCATGTTATGAGCATCGATGAGTAGGTTACCTGTATGGGTTGGTTTAATGTGCTTATGACTGAATTTATCACGCAGGCTACTATTTTCCCCCAATCCACATCCCCTTTTTGCTTCATCCTTATCCCCTATCCCTTTCGACACCTGCTACGCAAGCTAAATTTATAGTTGTCAGTAGTCGCAAGGATGGAGTTGATCTTGTTTTGATCTATCGCTATGTAGTTATTTTCATAGCACGATTTGGATAAGAAAAAGAAGTTATTTTGAATCAAAACAAGGTTTACCCGTGTAACTTAAATTGGAATGTTAACGGAAACAAGTAATGGAGAACATGCGCATAATGCTCTCTGATTAACCTGAACGGGAAGTATATGTATAAAGATACATCATATCTTGGTAGTAAGTTGCCACAGGTAACTTTTTCAAAGAGAAATAAACATTGTAGTTTTAGGTTAATAGAACAAAACAAAACAAAAAATCCGCTTGCTTTATCCAGGGTCGAACCCAGGGTTACAAAGTTCGATAAAGTTCCAATGTTTTAATCCAAGATGAAAGTTTAATATTCCAAGATGCTCTTGATACGGTTAAAAATTAATTGCAATGTGTTTCCAAGGTCTCAAAGTTAACATAGTTCCAATGATTATCCCTGATTCCAAGGTATAATAAGTTTACTAAGGTCCACTCCTGATCCGTGTCCCATCCAGAAGTCCAATCCATGCCGAAAGCGAGTCGTCCATCGACGAGGACAATATTTTCGCGATTTCACCGCCAATCGTCAAGGGTACGAGTTGAAATTTACGCGATTTAACCTCCCATCGTCAACGTGTTTTCGATAAGAAAAGAAAAAAACTGAACTCTAGCTGTGCTCGGCAAAAACTGGCGAACTCCGAATAGAAAAATCTATCGGAAATCATGGCCCACGACCAGACGCTATTCAAACCTTATGAAAAAGCTAGACCTAAACAAAAAAGAATCATGAAGGAAAGAAATAATTTGGTTTAGGTCGCCTTTTGTGACTTGTCAGTATCCTGAAGGATTTCGCTGGTTAACAAGCCATCCTAAAGCACGAGTGGGAAAACTCTAGCGCGACAAATTTGGCAAGGAACGTTCTGATTTCAACGTTCTTTAGAGGAAGCAAATCGATTAAAAATCGATACAAATTTTGTACGATCTGATTGGTCGGCTTGGAAGAAGAGCTAATCGATAAAGATTTTAGGCAATCCTATTGGCTGGCTTTGCAAAGTTGGGTACAACCGAACCGGATTTTTACCGTGGGAGTGCCACAGGCATCCCACGGAAATAGGCGGTTTAGTGAAGTTTTTAAATGCATTCCAAAGTATTTATATTTTATGAATTGAGTTCGGCAGGGCAGTAGCACGATGTTTGAACCAAGTCGTGCTACTGCCGTGCCTAAGTCGAATTTTATCGATCAACTGCGTTCAGTACGGCAGTAGCACGGCGTTTGAAACAGGCCTTGCTTTCGAAGGAGTTGATTGACAGGACTTTACGATATTTACTTTGCATTGAAAAGGTCAATGTAACTGATATATTCATTAGTACCTGTTCTTTCATTTTCCGGGTGTTGAAATGGGCGGTGTTGGCTTTGATTAATCGACTAAAGTCGAACGATCCCTTACCATATCTGCAAGGCAAATCCGAAAATAATCCAGACTGATAATTACCCTTGGTAACAATAGTAACAAGTCTTCATTAACAATGAAGCTCAACCACCTTTACGGGCCCCGCCCTACTTCATGAATAGCGCGCCCTTGAAAAAGGAAATGCGCCTACTTCCCCTATTCCTATACCCCACGCCTACTTGTCAAGGAAATTGGGGGAGTCAAACATTTCAAAGCCTTTTGGGTAAATACTCTTTGCTATTTACTCCCACCCACTTAAAGACACAAAACTAGGAGATTGTCAATGCAACCGTCGTACTGTACACAAATAAAATCTACAAAAAATCTAAACGACCCTTAAGTATGAGAAAACAATCCATCTTGCTTAGGTATGAGAGATCTATGCAGCAGGCCTCTCCTGGCAAAAAAAGTAAGGATTTTATGTCACTGAAAAAGAAGGTTAACCTCTTGTTTCTTTCCTTGTAATACTTCTTTTCCTGTTCCAAATATGATAATGAACTCACCTATTAAACAACAACTTGTACTTTGCCTGGACAAAACGCCAAGCTATAAGGCGCCCCTCGGGATTCATTGCAATTGAGTCTATAACAGCCACAGAATCCTGGGAACGAACCTTGTCGTCTTGTAAAGAGTACTCTAGGAGTCTAAGGCATAAATCAAGGAAACATGGCACATGAAAAATTGGAATTTAATACTTTACAAGATTCAGATAACACGAATCCAAGCGGAGGGTAACCAGTGGTACCTCGATAACTCGACACTCCCGCTAACTCGAAGCACTTCACACCACTTCTATATAATTTTATCTTCGATAACTCGAACCACGTTTTGCGCGTGACAGGTCGGGAAAAAAACTGTCCACTACAGTATTCTTTGTCTTTTTTATCAAACCAGTTCAAATACAGTTTCCCCCTGAATATCAAACAAGCTTTTTTGCTTAAATCCTTTTGCAAAAGAACATTATATCTCTGCTGCTGTTGAAGTGAAGTGTGTATGATACGTGCATTTCCTTCCCATCCCGTTTCCTTCGATTTTCCGTTAATTGCTTCGCACTCCCAAGAACTTGAACTTTTTTCGATTTTCCAGGAAGGTTCAAGCTATCAGGAAACCACTGTATATCTTACACGACTGAAAATAATGCCTCATCGCGCAGTTTTCATACAATATCCCGCCAGACACCTTCAAAAGGGATTTAGCTGTCAATAACAAACTTTATTATATCCACTTTGAAATCACTTGTGATCCCTGCAATCTGATTGGCTCTCAGCAGTGCGATTTATTCACGAATCATGCACAATTTTCTGTCCTTAATCACGTCTGTTCCAAATCGCGTCAGTTATGTTTTAAATTGCATCATTTCTGTTTTCAATCGTGCCATTTTCGCTCTACATTGCATCACTTCTGTTTCAGGTACAAAATGAGATTAAAAGCCTTTTTCTTTCCGCTCTTTAACAAACCGGCTGCTAAGTCAAATAGATAATGGTACTGACAGAATTCTGCGTCTTCAAAATGGCTGTAATAAAGTGGCAATTGAACTTCGCGTCGTGCAATTTTGGTCCGAAATCATACTTGTGCTTTCAAATCCAACTCGCGCTGCGCTCTTGTCCGATTTTAAAATCACGCGTATGATTTCAGACCAAACTGCACTCCACTCAGTTCAATTACCATTATTAATCTTAAGCCCTGAGATAAGTCAGCTCCTAAGTGCAGTTATCATTAACGGATACAACATCTTAAAAGTGCTTACTTTTGTAAAATCTTCTTGTTTCGAATATTGGTTACTGCGTACATGAGCTTTCGCTTTTCAGATGGAACGGTCTCTTTGAGGTATCTATCAAAGACTTTATTCCACGTCGCTTCATCAGCATCTTTTACGCCGAGCGAATAAACAGTGCTACGTAAGTTGGGAGTGATCCTGTAATTAAGAAGTTCAAAACGACATGAGGTTTTAACAATTCACGTATAAAACTGCAACACTCATTGCCATCTAGTCCTACAAAGACAAAGACCCATTTTCACTCGGTGTTGTCTTAAACTACAATCATTATGCATCGGTGTCACTACTACTACGCTCTCGTTTTTGAAAATGCTTAAGTGTAAATTATTGAATTGGGCTTTCGCACGATTTATAGCAAGAACCATTAACGGCTTGGGCAAATTTCAGCATGATTAGGGACTGGTCACAAAGTATAGGGTGGGGGCCAGAGCAGAGAGGGGGTGGGTCATGAGGTTTCGAGCCTCGTGCAAGGGGTGGGTCGTGCAATTTTCAGCTACCCTTAGGGGGTGGGTCAACCTATTTTATTACATAGATAGGCACTAACTACTAACGAGACAAATACTCACAAACCTGTTGTGCAAGAAAATACAAAGGGTGACAGGCCGCTCATCTATACGGGCGTGGAACCCTCTGTTAACCTTTTTTTTTTGGCTCTAACGAGCATGTCCTTTCCATATTTTCCCTTTTTGTAAGGAAATGATTGGTGGTTCTTTAAAAACTTATTGAAGTTATAGTTGGTTTTGTATAAGATTCCATTTTTTCATTCAAGCTTCCTTTATAGTAGACACGGAGGGCTGGTATTGTGTCACGAATAGCAATATTTCTTTTTCCTCCTTGTTGTTTTGTTTTAGGAGTTTAGACTCCCTTTTGTGAATTTTATTTCTGGTAATAGGTTTTCTATCAACGATTGTGGGTAGCCTCCGTCCATCAACCGTTTTTTTTTTTTTTTAATTTGAATTTTTTTCCTCAAAGGTTGTTTCTGAGGAGTTTTTTCGTAGGATTTGCAAGGCTTCTCCTTTGACAAATCCTTTTTTAACCTTTGAAGGGTGACACGAGGTGAAATGTGTTTGCAAGAAGGTTTCCGTTTGTTTAAAATGTGTCTTTGCATCAAGAATAGATTTTTCCTTGAATCTTGTGTCTTTGTATACAACCGCGTCTAAAAACGCAGTCTCAGTGTCAAATGTTTCGGCCGTGAATTCAATAGTTGGGTGATGTCAGTTTGCTTGTTCAATGAAGGCTTCGATGTCTGGTTTACTCATGTCCCATAGGGAAAAGATATCGTGTATGTAGCATTTCCAAACTGTTGTTCTAAAGACAGTTTTGCTTAGAGTTGTTGTTTCAATATATGTCATGAAAATATCGGCAAAGGAATCAAAACTGCTGTCTTTGTGCCCATTGCACTTCCATGGTTTTGTAGGTAGTGCTTTCCACTGAAGTGGAAGAAATTTTCTTAGGGGATTAATCTAAGCATTCCCGGCAAGTAATGTGTGGGAATGGATTGTCTTTGTATAACTTTTCATATGCTTAGTGACAGACAATTTCAATATACCCTCGTTTTGATGTATATTTGTGTCAAGACTCATAACGTCCATCGAACAAGAGATGTTCGGTTTTTCACATTTGTCTTTTCAGTGAAGGGTATGATTGCTGTGATTTTGATATTGGTTGTAGCAGTGTATCAACAAATTTTGTCAAGCACAGAACAAGGTTTTATTGGATTATTAAGAGGAAACCAAACATCTAGGCGGTGGGTCATGCAATTTCCAACCTTGCTTTAGGGGTGGGTCAGTCATTTTTGTACCAAAGGGAGGGGTGGGCCATGTGTTTTTTATCAACCACATTTCCAAATGCTCCGGGCCCACCCCGCCCCCATACTTTTTGACCAGTCCCTTATTTTTGATATCGTGTTCAGCCTCATCCGATATTCTAAAATTAAAAGTCAAAGTTAAGAAAAACAGATTAGAAAAAGGAATCAGAATACTCACGGATCATTGTTGTCCAGCCAGTTTTCAAACAAACTCAAAGCGTGAGTGTAGTAGCCTTTTCGTTCTTTCATTGGAACGGCATCTTCGTACTCTGACACTAAATGCAGAACAGTAGCTCGAAGGTACCTTCAACCATGAAGACAAAAATGGAATCAATTAACTGGTTTCAAACAACGTACCAGGTCCAACAAAAGCACCGTCATAGTATCGTGTCCTGGCCAAGTGTCAGCATGAAGTTTTTTAAACATCATTCAGAAGTCTTGTCACAAGTTGGAGCCGAGAGGACAATATTAGTGAACTTAAGCAAAGACGTTTTTGAGCGACGCACGTCCACCGGAAGTGGTCTTTTTTCATTTTTGGACAGTGGTTTTGCCCAAATTTTAGGACAACTAGTCTCTATAATAGTGAAGACACTTAGAAATACAAATTTGGGAGCGTCAAGGTGCTTTAAAATGAAAAAGACCTCACTTCCGGTTGACATGCGTCGCTCAAAAACGCCTTTACTTAAGCTCCCGCTTAAGCACGACGACGGAGACGTCAACGAAAACTGGCAAAACAACGATACTGCGCGTCCATCAAGCTTTTTTGTATATTTCTTTGCCGTCACTGCACGACTAAGACGTAAAAATGCCTCAAGAATTTTAAGACTGTCTTTTAGAATTCAACTCCATAAGAATTGTCATCAGTTGACAAATTGAACAAGGTGGAAGAAGCGCGATAAAGCTTGGAGCAGCGCCATTTCAAATTTTAACTGACGTTAATGAAGTGGTGACAGTCGTTGTTGCTTAAACGCTACCTTATTCAGGCGGTGTTTTCAATGTTGAGACACTTAGCCACACGTCCAAACATGCCATTCAACGACTATTAGTTCCCATTTATAACGCTGAATGCGCATTCGGTATTCTGTATGCACGATTCAATTTTAGACTTGGAGTCCCTCCAAATAATGAACAAAATATCATATAGATCTGAGTGTTATCCGCCTGGCATATAAGGGTGGATTTCCACTGGTGCGTAAATTTTACGTGTAAATTTTACGCGCGTAAATGAATTGTATGAAGTATCGCGGGCAAAGGTAAAATTTGATCGACTCTTCGGGTGCCTTTTTTTCAATAAATTAGAAGAACTGTAATTCAATTGTACCCAACGTTACCTCTCCAAATGCGTATCGCTGTTGCGCTCCTCCCATCCCAAATCTGTGGCAACATTTTGAAGAAGACGGTAGATGTATCTCTACAGACAATAAAAAATGGAATAACACAAGGTGAGAAAACTGGTATTCTCAAACAAACTACCCGTCGACTGAAAACTGGAATTCATCAGAACGATAAAACACGTATCTGTGTCCTCATTAATTCACCTCTATTAAAAAAATCTTTTTCTCTCTGGAAATCTTGCGACAGGAATTATGGGATTCCCCTTCAGTGCAGTTATTGACAAAACCTCGGGAATTTCGAAACTGTCTAATTTCTAGTTTCGCTGCACGTCGAATTCACAACTCCGTTAAAAAGTTTCTGACATGATTGACAACTACGTCATGAAATTGTCATGTCATTGCGAAGTTAAGGAATTTCAAAATTTGGAAACCGTTTATTTAACGTTTTGTAAAAAAAGCAATGTAAAGTCTCTGAGCGTTCAAAGTTAGGACATGATAACTACAATATTACTTCCATTTTGAAATCACTGGTGATCCTTGCAATCTGATCGGCTCTCAGCAGTAATGTGATTTATTCACGAATCACACCAGTTTTCCTCTAAATCACATCTGTCATAAATTGCATCATTTCACTCACTCTAAGCCATGTGGAAATGTAAGTCAGCATTACTGTACCTTGTACGCTAGGTAATAGTGTGTATTTTCATTGTTTTCTGAGTCCAAAGTGGAAAACTGCGTGGCAATGTAAGCCAAGTTATTTAACGCTGACATCCATGGAACATAATCCTTTTCGTTCACCAGATATGGAGTGAGATCCAACGCTAAGTCATAATCTAACATGCCACTCCTAAATAATGAAACATTAAGATTCAAAATCAAGAAAATCATACCATCTTGAACAAACAGAGCGTTTTCACATGAAATCACGGCAGCCATATTGGTGTACCAAAACAATGAAACGCGGCCATGTTGGTGCTCCAAACCAATCCAGTAAAAGTTGAACGTTTTGTTTACGTCCGCGCTTGTTCCCATAAGTTTGCATAGATGCTAGCCACGTGAATGAAAACGCTCTATACATTGATCGGTTTCAAACTTTGCGTAACAACATGCGGCAGAATGTGAAAACGGACGCAACATGTAACATACAACACTGCTGGGTGTTGTTAACCAACAATATTGCGTCCGCTTGCACGTAGCTTTACACTTTAGTTCTGAAATTCTTTGTTTTCAATTCATCAACTCTTAATGACATTTACAAACACAGCATTTCGTTTAAAGTATTGATTAACAGACCTCTTCAATATCAACGACTTCTCAGGATTAGAACAAAGAAACTTTGACATAAAGGTAAGCAAGCCTCATCAATAGAATTTACTAAAATCCATCCGCACATGGGAGGTAACCCAAAGCAAGTGATTATACAGTATTAATTTTATCGGGGCGTTGAAGCTACTGTTCCTTGAGCTTAACTCAAGCCTTGTCAACTAAGAAATCAACAAAGTAAACTTGCCGTGCAAGGTTCAGGGCATCTTCCAACAATCCTGCGCGGTCAGCTGCAGTGAATTTCTAAAACAAATAAAGTAACAATACACTCAATGTCGGTGCTGCTTGGGTATCTCTCATAAGTGCTCTCCGCAACTCTTTTTGAATTTGAGAGGAATGCGTTATAAGTAGGTTTTTCTTCTACAGGGAAGTGTTTCACGTCGTAGTCGTGCAGTGACGGCAAAGAAATGTACACAAAAGAGTGATGCACGTGACGAGTTGTTTTGTTTATTAAACCTATTGCTTTTCTGCCGTTTTTGTTGCCGTTGCCGTCGCCGTGGTGGTTGCCTAAGCTCCCTATATAAATAAAGTGGACAACTGATGTTGTTTACCTTGTGATCTGTATTCAGTTGGTCAGCAAGTTTTCTCCAGTTATTCTCATCATAGTTCACACGATAGAATCCAGTCTGGCCAGCATTCATCTTGATCCAAGATTGATTACGAGTTGCCTCTGGCAAATCAACTAAAGCAAAGCCCTTACATTGTAACGCTATTGAACTATCTTTGTAAATGTCACTTAACCCTTTAAGTCCCAATGGTGACCAACATCAATTTTCTCCCAACAATACTCATACCTTGTCAATAGATTAGGTTATGAGAATGTATAAAATGATCACTAAAGAGAAAATGCTTTGATCTGCCATCAAATTCTCTCAACTAATTCTAAAAGGAAATGTATGGAGATCAGTTTGGGGAATTTGTATGTGGATATTGGGGCTTAAAGGGTTAAGAAGTCATGAATGAGTTATGAAAGTGGAGTCAAGCACAATTATGTCCCATGACAGTAAAACGACATCCAACACGGTCAAACGTCTGACGGATAGATTGGATTTTTTTACGACTGAGTTAGTTACACTAACGAGCTTCTTTTAATTAATAACGCTTTGCACCTGAAAAGAATCACATTGACATTGAATTTAAGTTTTATTCAAACCCTGAATTTTCTTCAAACAAACTCTTACCACCAGGGTATACCAGCCCCTCTCCCTCCCCACCCCAGAAGAAATAGATTATTGGCTCTTACCAACTGCATCCTTTGTCTTAAACATAACTTTATGTCTCAGGTTGGGAGAGTCTTGTGTCACGTAAGTTAGAGGCACTTCCCAAGGGAAACTATAGAAAATCAAGCAATAAGCTCTGTTAGCTCAGACTGATTGGTGAAGGATTTCTCAACTGACTGTTAGATCTGCTGTATTATTAAAATCATAGGATTGAAAAAGGGATGAATAGGAAAATGCAGACCTGAGAATAACGATAACCATAAGGAATGTGCTTACTTACCTATCAGCTTCAGGTTTATTAAACGGATGAATGAGGAAGCGCTGTTGCTGGACATCAAGAACAAGCGGATTACTGTCACGTCTCGATACATTGATGACAGGAAAGCCCATTTGACTTGTCCAAGTGTTCATCATGGAAGAAACATCAAGTCCTTGATCCTGTCATAGAATTGGCAGTTTAAATACAGTCAAACCCTCTATAAGCGACAACCCAACATGCGAAATTTTAGTGGTCACTTACGAGAATCACAAGCTATCACACCACACGGGTTCCCTGAAGCTACATTTCATAAGGAAATTCACTGCATGCAATCTTTAATTAACAACACGTGTAGTTTCATGTTGTCACTAAAAGTTCCATAAAGAAGAAAAATGGTTCAAGTGATCGCTCACTTACAGGATGATAAAAACAATGGCAAATGCCAACATCGTCATCCTAAACACTTAAGAGAGTATCCATAACTGAAACGTTTTGATTATTTACAGCAACTTGGTATTGTGCTAATCACCTTTCCACCCTGTTTTGCTTGTTCAAGGCACCTCCATAGATCATTTGTCTCAGCATTACTGAAGCTGTATTTCTTAAGGTAGTGTTGCAATCCTTTGAAGAAAACATCCTTTCCAGAATCATCCTTTCCCAAAACATCCTGTAACATCCTGATAATCGATGCGCCCTAAAACAGTGAAATTACTGTATGATTAAGATCAAACTACAAAGTAGAGCGATTTTTGTATGACCTTGAAAACTTTTTCTGGTAAGTGTTCGTTATTTGTTTTATCAGCCAGTGGACGAAACGATTAAAAGATGGACTCTTAGTTTTCCTGCCAAAGAAAACCCTAATATGGAGAAGGCATTGTTCGATTGGCCAGTCGTGTTGCAGTATGACTTCAAAGCGAAGTATCGGTTGATTTCTAGAAAGTTCTCGGACATGAAGTTTTTTCACCTGAGCGTTCGCTTAACCAACCAAAAGCCACGCGCGTTTGTATCCGTTCAATAAACCAATCAAATCACTATTTCCGTTCGTTTGTTTTACTACAGGTACAATGTATTACTCCACTGTGGTACAGTTTTTAGCCAAAAACATTAAAACAGAAAATTGATGGTGACACTATCAATTAACATTTATTTAGTAAACAGTAAGTAGTGACAACAAAAAGTATGAAAATTTGTTAATGGTTGCAGAATGTGAAACTTGCAATCAAAAACAGAGAATCTACCCAAATTTGAACATCAACGACTGAATGTGCTGTGCCTACCTTATCATAGGAAATTGAATCAAATAGAGAATTGATCTGTGCTGGATCTCTAACTTGAGCCATAATAGGGTGTGAATTGGTTAGTTGATCCAGAGACATGGAAACTTGAAATTTATCAAGGAGAAACTGATCCATCATCTTCCACTCAGGGGCAACATGATTCACACCAACATTTTCCATAAAACTGGCAAAGCCTTCATTCAACCATAGATCATTCCACCACTTCATTGTCACTAAATTACCAAACCACTGAAAATGACCAAGTAGGAAATAAACTAAGTATACAGACATTAGCATGGTGGAGATTAAACATTCTTTCAGTAAACTACGGCAAAAAGTGTACTGACGGAATGAATAACGTTTGAAAATTTAACTTCAACAAACCCAGAAACAGACGTGACAATCACTGACAAAAACCTTAAATTATAACTTGATCACCTTTTAAAAATGTTGACATAGTTGACTGAAATTGAAATACACCATATTGAGTGATTCAAAATAGATCAGTAAATTGTAGTTCTTTCAAAATTTGATTTCCTACTGTCAAAGTGCAGTATAGTTGAATAAAACACAGGGATTGTTTCATCAAATTTAAAACATGGGATGAACCCTTGTTTCTTGGGGCTTGATTTACTTTTTCAGTGATCCTTGGCTTCAGTATTTCTCCAAAAAGAAATCCAGCAAAAAAAAAAAACTCAACCCTGTTTTGCTGATTTAAAAAGAGCCATCAAACAGTCATTATTTCCTTTACATCTTCTTTATGATAGGCCGTTCACACTCCCCTATTTCTTCATTAGATGGTCAGGATCAAGCACTTAAAATACCGGTAGGGGTGGTCACCTTGGTTTCTGATGTACCGAGGGGGGGGAGCATTGTGGTTTACACCCGCGCCGTCCCTGGCCACTTAAGTACACTGTAAATTTGAAACTCACTGGATCCAAGATGGCCGTCCATAACACAAAGCGCTAGATTAAGACGATCATCAGAAAAATAGGGGACTGTGAACAGTCTACTTTACGATTATTAATCATGAGGTTTGAAGTTCAATCAATTCAATTATTGGTAAAAAAAAATAGTAACTTATGGCCAGGTCAAAGCCGACTGAAAGCGATAAATTCATTTGTAAGCTAGTTAACCTGGTGAGATAGCTCATGTGCCACAACCACTGCAACCCATTGTCTGTTGCTGTCCGACGACTTGCCCGGGTGATAGAGGATTGAGGTCAACTTAAAAGTGATAAGACCCCAGTTCTCCATTGCTCCAGTGGGAAAATCAGGTACTGCAATAAGGTCTGCATACAACACCATAACAGTATGAAGATCATAACTTTAAAATTCAATTCCTTTTAAAAAAATTAAGGTATGTTTTTTCTTTAATTTATAATTTAAATTTATTCTTATTTAACAAATTGTTTAACAAAACCATTTCTAAAAGGCTTCGCACTATAATAATATTATTAGTTTTGGATGTCATCACATGTATTTTTTCTTTCACAAATTTAATGCAAAGCAGTTTTGTATCTACCAATTTTCTTTGAAATTGAAAATGGGTGTTTCCATTTGTATGACAAATCTAAGCCATTATAATGCACACCACAGCAAAGGTAAACAAATGGCAACTTTCCTTTAAATTCGAGTCTTGCCTCAGTAGAAGAAGTACAAAGTCCTGTTTATCAAAACTTAACTGCTTTCTCGTTTTGTTAACACATCAGGACAGTTTTCAACATAACCTAAATTGGACCAAATTTGTCCATTCCTTCGGAAGGATAATATGACACCATCGTTCATCATGAGGTATCTGAACCCGTTTATGTCAACCCGTTCAAACGGGTGAGTGAGCCGTTCACCCGTTCATGTTAGCAGTTCGGAATACTTCATAACCCGTTCAGCCGTTCGATAAACCCGTTCGAACGGGTGAGAAAGCCGTTTGCAAAGCCGTTAGTGTACACTTTCCTTGGAAGGTTACGATTAACCTTACATTTAAAAATTGAAGCTTGTTACATATGGTATAATCATTTTTTTTTAGGTGATTTACATAGAATTGCAATGTGTGGTTTTATATTCAGCACATTTACAGACTATTGCTATAATAATTACAGTTGTACCACTAACTTTACGTCCTGAGCATGTCCACAACAATAGAAGTTGATCACTGTTATAATAATTGTGTATTCATGTCAAAGCCACGCATACTTTAACATTTTTATATTTAGAATGAGTTTATTATTTTGCTTAAATGTTTATTTCCCTGATATCTTTACGAGTGCTCAAAATCACATTTATAGTGAGACATTACAATCTCTCATTATAAAAGCACAATGGGCAGCCGAGAGCTTGATCACCGTCTTTCACTTGTATGTTTTAAATTTACTGATTTTTAATAAATCATTATCTACGGACTGTCCCTTCTAACTTAGTGCAAGGCTCTTTTTAAAAACGTTAATAACAAAATACATGTTGTTTAAAGAGAAATGAAGTTAATCAGTAGCTTTACTTTATTATTTCATTAGTGATCAATATTTTAAAAGTTATTCAAATTTAAGGTACATGTCTGTACAGCTGAGTTAAACTTATTTATAAAACAAAATAGCACGCAAAAAAACTGTTATGGCATTGTGCAGATGCAGCAAAGTTTTACTGGTGCACTGTTCTACAGCAAACAAACTAATGGTCAGCAGTTGTTGAGGTTATGGTATTAGAGGTGATAATACCAAAAGAGCATAATGGACAAAAACAATATTGCAAAGAACACACTATGAAATTTCATAATCAACCATTTTCACAACTTTGACCACAGACAAGAACCAAACTGCCTGAATTGGTTTCCTGAAAGAGGTCATATGTCCAATTTTTCTTTCTTTTTTTTCAGGTAATCATGCAGTCTTGTACCAATGTAATATATACATCTGTATTATTAGATGGCACAACAGAAAGTTTTCATGCATATGCATTTTTGATCAAAAATAACAACAACAACAAAATTTGCATGGGGAGTATCAAGAAAAGAATGACCTACAGGTAATTGGCAGTGATTTTGATCTTAATCCCAGTTTGAATTTTTTCATTTAAGATACATGCACTAAGACACAAAAAAAAACACAGGCAAAAAAACTTACAGTTAAAGCACTGAAAATAAAAAAAGCTTTCAGCTACATAAGCCAGAGCAAAGGCAAAAACAATAAAACAGAACAAGGAAAAAAAGCCAGCACCTGAAGAAAGACAGAGACCTAGACAATCACCAAATTTTTCAGTGCTTTTCCGAACACTCTCACATACACTTTTTTTTGAGCAATTTACAAACCTGATGAGCAAGCTCATGTGCAACCACAACAGCAACCCACTGCTTGTTCGAGTCTGATGACTTATGCTTGTCATACAACAGGGAAGTCAATCGATAAGTGATCAAACCCCAGTTCTCCATGGCTCCGGCAGCAAAGTCCGGAATGGCAATGAGATCTATTATTTTAAAAGTGGATCCAGGATATAATGTATGTAATAATTATTTTCTTAGAATGCTGAACAGCTTCTCTACTGTGTACTTCTTTTTCACAATTGATATATGTTATTATTATTCACTCAAAATATTTTGCAGTTTCTGAGTGGCTCCAATCTCCCAGCTCATTCTTCATAACCAACTGGCGGTTACATATTTGGAAGATGCGAGCAACATACCATGGGTTTGATGGTATACATTAATATGATATACCATAACTATGATGTACCATCGATCAACCTCCTTTCCAGGCAGGAAAGCCTAGCTTTTTATTCCACAACTATCTGAAGATGAAATAGTTGAATTTCTAACTAACTCATAAACTGAGCGGGAGAAATGAAAGAATAGTCAAAACATATTGTTTGATGGATGTAATCTACTTTTTAAGGAGCATCTGCAAGGAAAAAGATCTGTTTACATCCTGAAACCATGCCAAGAAATAGGCCAAGATGTTTTGAAAGAAGTCTACAAGAAGTTAAGCTTGTCAAGAACTTAGAAATAATTATTTTGAATGAATAATAAAACAATATTACTTTGAATTCAGTTTTCGTATGATGTGAAGAATTATGCAGATCTTGGAGGACGTTATCCACCAAGGCTAAAGGCCCAAAGTGAATAACATCCAAGTCCTCAATCTGCATAATTCTTCACATCCTACTCAGCCTAATTCATTAATTGCTATCTGCGGGTATACGGTAAATAATAAACTAAATAATAGTTAACTAATTTTTACTTTCACGGTAAATAGTTATTTGAAGCACATTGTAAGACTCTTAGCAACACATTACATACAAATATGTAACTAGTAGTTTACATGATTACTCTACAAGCCAATAAGCATTTCAGAACATGAATAATATAGTTTAATAGTAAATGAAATAATAAATTCCTTATTTCTATGCTTTCTTTCTTCATCATGCATGTAGATGTATGGTATATTGCATCACACATGCAGTCACAGGAGTGTTTGAATGAAAACAGATCAAAACTTGAATTTGAAAGACAGCTGCTACACTGTATGCAACTTTCACACACAAAGGGTGCTTTTCAAAAAGTCAGTACTAGCCAGCTGAACCTGTCATTTAAAAAAGTGAAAAGGCTTTTTCAAAGAGTTTTTGCTTAAAAACCATCAAACCCATGCATATTGTTGTAGGAATTGACTGATCTGGCTGAACAATTTCGATAACCAGAAAAATTTTCATTATGATAGGAGTGGTCTGACTGGCTAGTTCTGACAATTAATGCAAGTTAGACATATCACCAAACTTTGCAGTGGCAGATATGTTGAGTACTTTAATAATATTAGTACATGGATAAAATTAAATCAGGATACAAGAAAATTGCATACCTTGCTTTGGTAATGGGTAGTCTACCTGGAAAATTTCCTCATAATACTGGAGAACTTCTACAGCTACTTTTAGAGCAAATTCTCCTTGATCAATCTGTTCTGGAGGTGCCCAGACACTAACCTAAAAACAGCATGAAATATTTTGTCAAAAGTTGAAGGTCAGAAAATAACCTTCAAAGGAGGTTCCTGTAGATTGAAAGACAGAGGAAACCTCTTTTCATATTACACATAAGGGGGAATAATTCACATTGTACGTTCCATGAGGAGGTTGTACAGCTGTACATCTACATGTGTGAATATTTTCAGGTGCAACAAAATTCAACAAGATAAATTATAAGGTAAACAAACAGGTAACTTTCACTCTAAAATTAGCATTCAAGTTCAAATAAGTGCTCCCTGCTATTCCGCTAGTTTTACTAAACATTGGTATTAAGGTTACTAGATTCCTTCAGGGGTTTCTTATGTGCAAGTGATGTATGGCATTCCGGTTAAACTGCAGACACCTAAAGCTCCATATCATATTAAAGCTTACATTTGTATTGAAATGGCTATCAAAAAACTAGTACTGTCAGTTTATTCTGACTAATTTTGAATTTGATTTCCTCCCTCAAAAAAGCACTATTTATGTAAACCTACATCCCATTAAGGTAGTAGTACACATGTAATAAAATCAAGAAGTTACCTTGACGCCTCTACGAGTGTAATTTGTTATGCTTTTAAAGTCGCAGACAACAAATGCGACAAGATAAGTACTCATCTTCACACTTTGTTTAAAGTGGTCCGTACAAAGTTCATTGTCATTTTTACACTGAAAAACACATTAAAGAGAATGATTAAAGCCCAACAAAAAAGCAGCCTAGAGTTTAATGGCTATAGTTTTCTTGTAAATCAAACCAATGTGCACCAAACAATCACAACTAAACCAATTAATGACCAGAGAAGTCTAGCTAATAACTTAAACTCTTAATTTGATTACAGATTTGCATAACACCATACTACAGACAGACTCTTTCTAAGATGTATTATTCTGTAGGAACCAGGCTGTAATTTTTCTTTTTAGGAATAAAGGTGAGGATTTTAAAAAGCCAAAGACAATGACTAAAGAATAACAGGGACTGACTAACAGCAGGTGTCCACCAGTATTTTAGGGACTTAAGGTGTCTGTCTTATAGAAGTGTTATTGTAGTGTCTTTTAGAGAGAGTTGCCTGAAAATTAAGCAAATTTCTAAAAGCAATTCTTCATGATCAACAACTTAAATTCTCAATACCACCAATGAGTTGCCTCAAATGGTTGGGTTCTAGATTTCCCAGTAAAATACTCCAGTGTGATTCCTTTCTGGGCCAACACTTATGAAAAAGCTGAGAAAAATAAGCTGGCACATTAACTATGTGCAAACTCAGTTAAGTTAACTGTACGTCCCGGTTCCATGGTACGCTATGAGATGTAGATAGAGAAACCACAAGGGAAGTATCTTTGACACTAGCTGAAACCTTTCAGGGTGCCGTCATTCCCCACCCTTATACATGTAACCTTCATCCATTATTTAGAACTTCAATACAAACTACTAACACCTACATAAACTTACCCCTTCAGTGTGACTCAGCGGCATGTTGGCCAATGCTACATGACGTTTCTCTCTTTTTATTACAATGGTAAAATTGGCTTTCATGTCGGGTTCATCAAAACATGGAAAGGCATTCCTCGCATCAGTTGGCTCGAAGTGAGTTGTAGCAAGATATCTATAAATCATAGAAACACCAGAATGATCACAACACTATTAAAGAAGACACCAAGGGGACTGAGGCAAGTGTTCACAAATAGTTATATAAATCTACCTATAAGCCTTTTTGATTTTGACTGCAGCTCACTGGCGAAAAAAAAATGCACTTTATATGAGTGCCAATGTATTTAGCACGCAAGTACTGGGGACACTACCTTTACATCTCCTAATGGAGAAGGGACCGACATTTAATGTGGTCGCTTGAGCCACGCAATGGTCTAGCCGCTTGCAGTGCAAAAGGAGTACCTTCATTTCTCAGTTATTTTAAGACCCTGAGTAATGGTGCAGCCCCCGGAATTGAGCCTGCGACTTCCTGCTCTCTAGTCAAACGCTCTACTGACTGAGCTAATCCTGACGCGGTCAAGCTATATATTACTTTTGTGTTTGTGGGGAGTTTTAATTATTAACTTTCTTACCAAGTTAACTTGATGGAACACTCATTTAATGCTGCTCAACAAAACTGACAAAAATCTAGCTTGGGAATAGGTAAGCCAGACAGGATAACAGGTTTACAATTATTATTGTTATATAATAGGGAGATATTAGAGACCTTAAGATACACCATTTCCGTGTACAGGTATTGTTAAATTATACACATGCATAGCTCTAAATACAGGGAGATTGCCTGTTATGCTGGAGAATTGGGTAGGCTACCAGGTAGAACAGTGATGCTACCCACAGGCAAGAAACAGTGCATCGGCAAGGTTATTGTTGATTCACTCTACATCTCCACTCCTTTTTCACACCAATTCCACATCCTGAATTTCTGTCATCTCTGCTACAAATACTGTTTTCCATCCCAATACCGCAACCCCTGCCAAGAATTTTGGACAACATACTTTCTACGTGGAGGTCATATATATCCCGTATCCTGTCAAGAATGCTTATGTTTTCCCAACCTCGCACTGTATTTCAGTCAAATCTTGGAACCCCGAGAATACCCTTCCAGACACTGTTCTAGCAGGGCTATTAAACTAAGGGCTTAACCAAACCAAAATAACTTCCTGGTTGTTCATTTCCCAGCCTACCAGTAGTAATAGGGAGCTTAACCATCGATGACAGCAACAGCATCAAAAACATCACCCAAAAAGTGAATTCGTGCTAATTCAAACTTTCTCTCTAAATTTGTCAAATACCATTAATGACCTAATAAATGCCTGGGGCAACTAATTAACTGGGCTTGCCGTAGGCTGGCCCAGTTAAAAAAATACCTTTGATTTTCTCCCGGGGGTATCCCTAGCAATAAAATCGTTGTGGGGATGTGTCGACTCATTCTCTTAATCCTGACTGTAGACTCTTTTTAAGATCAACATCGATAAGGCAAATGTAAGGGAGTACTCCCCTGGAGAATTTCATTGTCGTGACGATAAACACGATCAATTATAGACTTAGTAACTATAAAGCATGTTAAGCAAAGGCAGCCATTAAATGAAGATGTGTTTGAAGCTGGCGTACTGTGCTTTTTCATTGTCTTCTTCAAAAGATGCTAAGTTTGATAAATACCTTTTGTGGTTTTTCTTCACTATTTGTTGAAGTTTAAACCTTTGATGAGTTTTTTCCCTTCCAAAACGTGATTGCAAATCTCTCTGTGTATGGCTAGAGTGTGTGTGTGTACATCCATTGAATAAAGACGTCTCTCAAGTTATCACATTGGCATTTTTTACCAGTGCCCTTTTCACAAAAGACGGTAGGATGGGTTGCTTTTAAGGTTTTTTAAGGTTTCTCTTCGCTTTATGTTGAGCTTTAAACCATTAAAATGTGATGGCCAATGTCTCTACATTATTCAGTTCTTGCTTTGCGTGTGAAAAGTCATTCCTTACAGGAGAGGAATGTACTAGGGAATGTGCTCATTGTAGATCACTACATCAAAACAGTATACATTCACTATAACACAATATCAGCCAAAACAAAACTTAAAGTTAATTTGCTTTGTTAGTTTTAATTTGAGAAATGTACTGATTGTTATTAACAGCATTTTCTGACCTGTAGAACGACACTAACTTTTGGAATTTCCATTTAGGTCAAATTAGACACATTTTACTGTCACGCTATATTTTGGGGGGCAGAGGGATTGGGGGAGGGGTCCATGAAAGTAACACTTATTGTTTCCTGCTTAGATTGGCTAACTTGCTTACTTAAATATTCTTAAGGGTGGAATTTGAAAAGTTACTACACAGCCCCGACTTAGAAATGGTTCTCATTTTTCTTGTTGCAAAAGAGTTTCTGCTTTAAACTCTCACATGAGATACTATGTCACGCAACGATCAGCAACAAGGTTATGTGGTACAGCACCCCCTCCCCCAGGAAAAACTTCCTTCGGCAGTCTAGATAAAATCAATTTTCAGCCATTCTTGTTAATTTTAGGGGTCCATATTGGGGCATTTAATAGATAGGAGGCATTTAAAGGAGAGAGGCATTTGTTCTCATAAAAAAACTGTAACAAGCTCAACAAAACTAATATGCTTTCAGCAAATATATCAAGAGAACTTAAAAATAGCGGAATATCCTTTCCATCAATCTATAGGATTAGACCATCTAGAGATCCATATTGCTCTTTCAAATCCCAACATCGATGTCAGAATCCTCTCTTAGGGTTATTGTGTTGCTTTCATTAGTGTATCCTTACTATGAACTTGACACTGTACATGTACAAGATGATCGACATAGGCAAACCCGGGATAATCAAGCAAGAAACTGAATGAATGAGATATTGCTCCTTTTTGTTAATTCCTAGTATTTTGGAGTAAATCCTCATAGGGAGCGCCTATTAGACAAAGGACATTTATTAGAGAGGGGCATCTAATCATTTTAACAGCATAGAGGGGACGCTTATTAGATAAGAGGCTTTCATTTTGGAAGTGGGCATTTATTAGGTCATTTATAGTATTGGCAATTTTTTCATGAGTTGAACTCTAAAGGACTGTAACTAAGTTAGCAAAAAGAAAAAGAAATTGTTGTCCTATGTTCACATCCTTCATAAAATGTGAAATATGGAAGTTTCACATCATACTGTGGTTGTGCAGAGACAGCAAAGAAATGTACAACATAGCATGACACCTGCAAAATTGTTGTTTTGCAATCTAAACCTACTGCATTTTTCGTCGTTCTCATATTGCCATCACTGTCGTCCTTGCTTAAGCTCCCAATTATTATACCCAGCAACTTGAATTTTCGTAGTGACAGCAGCCCTGACTCTAAACAAGCCATACAATGTTGACTTATACCACACAACAGTGTTCTCCTTATCAGGTGGTAACCGGTAAAATTTACCGCTTGAAGCAACACTTCTTACTGCCTGCAACCTCTTGAAGTGTAGCCTGCGTAGCATGGCGGTTTTGTCGATCCGGGCGCAGGAGCAGCGTAGCCGCGAAATTCGTGTGCGAAGTGCGCGAGAACGAGCGGCGAAGCCGCGAGAAAAATAAAAACCGCCTGCCCGGATTTGTGGCCTTTTCAGCTGCCGCCCCCTTCAACTCATTTTGACATTCTGTTGACAACTTATTTGGTTTCAGTTTTCCCAGCCAATCAGAAATAAAGTGTTGACAGCCTAAACACGACACAAAAGCTCGTGATATAGTGTAAAACATGACCTTGGCCGGAATTGGAGTTTGCTTGAACAAACACGGGTTTTTTCTTTGTGGCTATCTCGCGCATAGGTGACTACACTGCATTCTAAACTTGACTGAGTAGATCTTATTTTTGCTGCACTAAGTCTTACATTTATTTAGAGGTCATGGAGTTGGTTTGTTTAATCCATATTGAGTAATTATTTCCTGTGGTTAATGTTATTTTCGCTAATTAGAATTTGTTGATCTCAGATGCAGTTGTAAAGTACTAATTTCTTTGACCACTCTTAAAGCCTAAAGCTTTTTATTACGGCAGATAAATATTTTAGTTTCTTTGGTCTTTTCCGACTAAAATGCCTGGATCTGGACAACTACAAACCAAGGAGCCTTGGTTTGTAGTTTCTGTCACTGCTTTGTCCGTGAATGTTTGGATGCTGGACCCGGCTTTGTAAGTGTTGTTTGCAGGATGTTGTATTTTTACGTATAGCGCGATCTTCAGATTTGAGTTGTAGCTTAAGCTACACCAAGCAAAAAAAAATATGGAGAAAAAATATGGAGAATTACGCTGTGCGTCTTTCTTCTACCGTATGCGATTCATCGACCACAATCGCGGACACCGTTCGATGTATTGCGCTGGAGTGCGTTATTCTCTAACACCGAGTAATGGAGAAAATTGAGGTGAACTTTCTCGAAGCACTGAAATTTACTGTTTCTGTCATAAGGTCCATTGCTTTACAGCACAGCGACAACATTTCAGATATCTGGTCGTCGATAGTACGTTTTAGAGGGGAAATTGTAATCATACAGGTTTTCGATGAGGATATTTCTTCTTTGGCCATAGCAAAGACAGTAAAGATCATGCTCTTGCCAAATCTTGTTGACAAAATTTCCATGACATCTCTCCTTTGAAGAAGACTGTAAATGGCCATTTCCTGTTTAGGCTTCAATACAATTGCCCTGTTTTCCCGTCAAATATTCAAGACCGACGACGCTCCGGTCAACGCTTCTTTGATATTTTGATTTTGTTTTGCGGAGATGATTTGTTCAGTCCCTTGAAACTCTCCCATGGGAGATTACCAAAATATTTGATTGACAGGCGAACATTCCGAACCAATCGGAACGATCCGTACGCTGGCGTGCGGACCGACTCAAAAAAGCCCCCCGTCCGTGCAGGCGGTTTTTCAAGTTGCTCCCGTCCCAATCTCCTCGCAGTTTGTCTGCCCTTGCCCGCCTTTATTACTTAGCGCGCCCAACCAAAACCGCCATGCTACGCAGGCTACTTGAAGTGTTACTAAAATTAAATAAATGGTTTTCAAAAAATATGCAAGTTGTGATCCAAGCTGATCCCCGCAAGAAAAGGAAGTAAATACAGAAAAACACAGCTATTCTCCCTAATTACTTTATTTAAATGCTGACTGGCACCTTTCAAAGCACTGCAAGCTAACGATTCATTCGTGGGCTTCTGTCCCAATTCTAAGCTTTTTCTACCAGCAGGAAAAGTTCGCGACTTCTGCGACTTGTGTTACTAAATTGACCCTAGCAGCAAAGGCAGCCTTCATTCGTAAAATTCTTTGTTTTGAGGTGTTTAAAAGACTTTTCGGTCAATTGGTGGACAGGATGCTCGAAAATAAAAGCCTTCATGAACGCGAAGCCCCTCCCCTGGCAGGAAAGTGCTCCTCTGGCACATATTTTTGGCCTTACCGATCAAGAATGGTCCCTTACCTGCTAAGCTAAAATTTAGGGAGAACACTGCAAAATGTTCTAGTTTGGAAACAGCCAATTGATCGGGAACAGGTAATATAATATAAAACGATATACCTCTGTTTAACTGCAGCTTTTACCTTAAAGCGGACTCACTACAGATATTTTTTCTCAACTATTCAAAACAAACTTAATCACCTAAGCTTTCATAGTGGTTTTGAATATTCTGTGCTGCAATGTGGGCATGTATGGGTCCTTGGAGGATAATTTTGTGCTTGTACCCTTTTCTTCTCTTATTTTATTAGATCACCGCCCGCCGCCTTTACAGTTTTTCATTTGAATATTTATTATTAGAAGCATATATATCTATAAGAGTTGTTTTGGTGTTTAATCTTAACTTTTCTTAGCTTATTGTGGTAACAGGGATGTCGCATATACATGTAAGCTAAATCCTTCGGGTCCAAATTACTAATTTATGTTCGATGACTCTTTGTAGCTTCTTGTGAGAAAAACCGTATACTGGAAAAAGTTCATCATTATGCTGAGCAGACGCCAACTGATGTTCTTGACATTAGCATAAAAGTAAGTTGATATTCACTTCACGGTTATACCAGAGTCATAAAACAACTTCCTTCTGTAAAATACTTTGCGCATAAAATAATCCTTCCACGCACTTAAAGTGAAAAATGAATAATATTTTCATTGAAAGACGTATAATGTTACTTTAAATAAAAGCGAATTGATACCAAATCATACATTGCATGGCAACTCATTTAGCGCGGAGACCAGCGAACATGAGAAAACTCGAAAATTTCGTGATTCTTTTTCCGTTCTAAACGTTCGCTGTTAGTGGTGGCTTTCTTCTACAATGAACCTAACTTTAGCGATATAAAAACACTTGCACTGAAATAAAATGTCAAGTTATAAAACAAAAACTATATTATGAACCCTTAAGTGAAATAAAAAACGATTTGATAAAAAAAAGCATCCTGATATTTTCCTCGACCTCCTTTTTGGTTTATGAATGTAAGCTTACCCTTATATAACTTTAAGGCTCAACTTACCTTAACTCCCCTGATGGTGAAAAATATTTGCTCAAGTAGAATCCAGAAAGCCCTCTACTTAATTCGGAATGAAACTCGATCTTAAGAAAGTATAACTTCCCAGGCTGAAGTTCTTCGTCAAGCGAGATCAACATCATCTCACCCGGCAAGTGCGGACTAAAGCTTGCGACTTTTATCTCCCTTTTTAAAGCTAGAGAATTTTCCAAAAGCGCCACTTTCACCGACGTAACTTCTATTTTCCTTCCAACATGAAGGGTGATATTATGAGAGGATTCAGTGCAATTCAAAAGTACATCAACTTTCCCAGAGAATTTAAATGTTGTCAGATTAGGATGTAAATGGACAAGATATTCGATCGGAGATAGATGTCGCGGAAGTCTCAGCGAGCGAGCTTCTTTCTTCTGTACATGCTCGGTTACAGAAGCATCTCTAACCAGTTCAAAATCATGGCCAAAATTCTTGTTCCGCTTTGTGTTGACAGTTTCGTGTGAAGAAGACGGGCGAGCGAAGACCGCGAGAAGTAAAACTGAAAGAAACAACAACCCAGTTGCGATGCCACAAATGGCGGCCCTGCCGCCAAACATCTTCCACAGTTTCAAAGTAACGTTTCTAAATCGCTTCTTTCTGTTGCGTTTTTGATGAGGAAGGAGAGATATACTGACGTGGTCTTCTACGTCGTTACTTGAGGAGTCAGATCCCTCGAGATCTGATTCCATACTCTGGAATGGATATTTGCATTTTTAAAATGATGCTCAAGCAGCTGTATCCGGCATTGTTAACATGTGATCACGTGATTCGTGATATCGCGAGAAAAAACGATCAAAACGAAAGACAAAGAGTATTGTTGGATGAAAAGACTCCGGTGATATATAAGCTATACTATTCTCAGTATAATTCTCTTCAGAAATTATCAATTACTAGCAAAGATACAAGTAAATGGAATAATCTATTATCGCGTGTGGTTATTTTGTTCATCCCCGCGTTGGCTCGCCAACTAACGTCAGGTGCGTGTTTCGCACTATGATTATCTCGTTTTAAGACCATATCTTTTCCCTTGCTATTCATTGTTTGAGGTAGACAGGGAAGACTTTCTTCGTGTTGTTCAATTCACCACCCACGCCAAACTGCGTAAGCGCGTACACAAAATAAGGGCCGCCAATTCGTTCTCTAATGACCACAAAAACTGCGTGCGTAACTAATATAAGATCCTTTAAAAAGAGGGAAATATCTGGTTCAGTGAGTTATTTTAACCTAATATGAGATAATTTTGGTAACTTAAGTGCTTTTCAGACTCTGAAAAATGAATAAAAATTCCCCAAGTACTTGACAACAGCAAAGGCAGAAAAGCATTTTTATTGACAGAATTTGACAAATGAAATATAATAGTTTTGACAACATTAACCAAAGAGTAAAGACGAGTTTTCGTACTAGTTCGGATGCAATGTTGGTTGGATATTAAATTAATCGATTCCGGACTGAGGTCTCAACGGATTTTCTTTATAATTTTGTCCTTAAATAATCGATAAGTGAAACATCATACGGATTGAAATTCATAAATGATAACCTGAAGTTATCTTTTACTGAAAAAGGATTTGAATTATAAATTAGAAAATCTAAGTCCGGATGAGAAACCGCCGAAGTGCATGGGTTATATAGCCATGCACGTAAACCCGGAAAAAACAGTTGAAGACACAGTTTTACAGTTCTTAGACATGTAATGAGAGGTTATACCTGAGATGAAAGATGCCATTTTGAGTGTAGACTGCAAAACAGTCGTTTTTTTTTCTCAAAATTGGTTTAGAGGAGCGTAAGAGTAGCGAGGCGAGAGAAAAAAACCGTGTCTCCTCCGTTTTCAGCTTTGTTGAACTGTTCGTGCGTACAGTGTACTTGAATACGCAAAAATACGGACTGTTTTGCAGTCTATTTTGAGTGCTTTTTTTTCCTTTTCCTTCCTCTTCTTTTGTTATGTAAATAAACGTGCGGGAGCTAAGAAGAGGCAAATTTGTTTAATTGCGTAACTTTACATGTATTTGTGTCAAAATACTATCTATTATCGAAGTTGGGGCTATAAATGAACTGCAATGTTGGATCGATCTCATATTGAAATGATCTTTTTTCAGACCATGTACACAAATATAGAAAGGGTCAGAGAATACTTTATTTCTCTGTCAACCGGCGCTATCTAATTCCCTGCAGGAACTAAAGTTGAGTACAGTTACAGCAATTTGTAGAAATCAAGGAAGAACGGCGAACTAAAATCAGAGGATAATAATTACTTGTAGGCAAGCGAGCATTTTGTTTTTTTATATTTTGTTCAGTTTTTGTAGTAAGTTAATTTTAGAACCAAGTGTTTCCAGTAGCGACTCAACTGAATTCTTGACAAACGTACAGTAGCTTTGTCTTCTAAAACATGCCATTTTAACTGGTAGGGGTTCTTAAGCAAAGAGAACTCTTTATGTAAATCATTCCGTCACAAAACCCTTTTGACTTTGATGAGTGGTTTTGCAAAGATTTAGACACTCGAAACAGTAGACAAGTTGAAGGAAGAATTGAAATACAAAGCAGGTCCGTATATTGATTCAGTATGTTCGTCTATTTTCTTTAGATTATGAAGGGGATTTTCTCTTCATCTCCAAAAGCACATGGCTATCTGGTTTTCCAGTCAGTGATCCCGGGCAAATCACAATTTGTAAGTCGTAGAATAATACATTTACGGTCTTATTCCCGGCGCACTTATAATACGCAAAAGGATACTTTAAGTTTGAATGAAAATCGGAGGTCAGAGTGACGTACTGAAACTTTCAATAGAAATACGTCATAAAATACCGTATTCACTCGATTTAACGCCAAGGCCTTTATTTAAGTTTTAGCGTTTAATCAAGAGCGGTGTTTAATCGAGGGCGAGGCATTAATTTCAAAATAATCTCATTCCTTACGGAAAACAACTACGGCACGCGTTAATTAATATCATGTAAAACATAAAGAGTTTTAAGTTCCAAAGTCTCGCTTTTTTGTTGAGTTAGAATCGTTATAAATTGTCTGGATGGTGTATACGTACGTACATTACAGAGTTTTTTCCTATAATCCTCAAATACACGCCGAATTATTCTGATTGGTGGGGCGTTTATTTGAGAGGGTCGTTTAATCAACGGTAAACTTGTAGTTGATTCAGAAAGCCAAAAATCAAGGGACAGGTTTTCAAAGTGTAAAACTAATTCAGCTTCTCGGTTAGGTACAGCAAAAATGAAGAATGTAGAGTAATGTCGAGAAAGGAATTGAAGCGAGTGTCTTTGACAAAATAATCCAGTTTTCCGTACTTCATTTTTGATCAATAGATTCTTTGATATAGGCCAAATAGCAAACCTTTCCAATTTTTAGCGTTCAAGACCGTCATTGTCACTTTCAAGTGAAATCCAGCAAAATCAGCATGTGCGTCATCAAGAGAGGATAAAGGGGACAGAGGAGGTCTTAAAAGAAATATCTTGAGACGAATTACCTATAGAATAGGGTGTGTATGGGGGATGCCTTCTCTGTCTCCTTTATCCTCTCTTGGCGTCATATATTACACCAACCATTCAACTTTGGGGACTGAGTAAATGGGTAATTTCAGAAAATAGACTATATCCTGCAAACAGACCTGAAACGAAACAATTCTATCATCGAAGTAATGGTGCGTCACCAAAACAGCAAGAAACAAAAATCAAAAGTTACGTTAGGATGTCGGCCTTCAATGCGATGGAAAAAAATGCTAAAATATCTTCGCATGGAAACAAAGAGATTGAATACTAAATAAATCAGCAAAAGTCTCCACTGAGCGTTTATAGTTAATTATGAAATGAAATGCCAGCGTACTAGCATTACACTTGCAATTCGAACAGAGCAACAATTTTATTGTATAGAGTTATTTATTTAGGTACTTGAAATTCATCAAACATTTACAGGGAAGAATGAGTCACGGTTTTTCTCTTTAGTTTTTATTGTGTGCGGTATTTTAACATTGACACATGCATGGCATAAAGTACAAAAGACTACTGACACGCAAAAATATCTTGAAGACTGCTATACAATGATTACTATGCAGAAGCCAAGTTGCTTCACATAAAAAGCGTTATTAAACCTGATCCATTATCAATATCCAGCGTCAGCGTGAAACTGGTCTGAAGGCAAAAAAGTCACTCTAGTTCAGTGAGCTAAAATTTTCGCCATGTCCTATTTTCCTTACCATTTTCACCTCAGCCTTTTGTTTTTGGCCTTGTATGTGACGAACCATTCTTTGGCGAAGCAAGCAAACAGCGCCCAAGTAACTACAGTCCCCACAAAACAGTGCACCAACGTCTACAACAGTTTCTACGCTGGTCCAAACAAGAAGATTGAGAATATCCTACAGCAAATGAAGAAGCAACTTGGCGAACTTCAAGAAGATATGAAAATTTTGAAAAATAACAAAACTTCTTCCAAAGGTCCACGGAAATATATTTCTAAATTCCAATTAACCAATGGGCAAACATTCAGTAAATAACTCAATTGCAATATTAATTATTTAACGAATACTTCCTCTTTTTTGCTCAACAGCCAAGAAAAACTGTGCTGAGTTGTACAAATCGGGCGAGAAAATCAGCGGCGTTTATACAATCGATCCTGATGGTGCAGGTGTCTTTGATGTGTTTTGTGACCAAAAAACGGCCGGTGGAGGGTGGACAGTATTCTAAAAGAGACTGGACGGCTCGGTTGATTTCTACCGCGGTTGGACTGACTACAAACGAGGTTTTGGTAACCTAAATGGTGAGTTTTGGCTTGGGTTGGACAAGATTCACCGCTTGACCAAAACAAAAAGCAAGCTACGAGTTGACCTGGAGGACACTACGGGTAAAACTGCCTACGCTGAATACGACATGTTTGCAGTTACGAGCGTGAAGGCTAATTATCAGCTTAGCCTGGGAACATACTCAGGTACAGTAAATAAAAATGCACTTGCACGGCTTTACATGCTTTTCGAACTCCCCTTTATTACTTCCCTATCTAGTGTTCAGTTCCTTATACGACAAATATCAATGAAAGAATCTAAAACGGTACTTGATTTTCTTGCTCATGCACTATGTACATGCCGGATGGTTAATTTTTCCATGCTTAACAAAAAGCTCTTTTTTTCTTTTGACCGCTAGATCCCTCGAGTAAGTCTTTTCTTTTCTTTTTTCTTCTCTTTTTTTTTTTTTGGAAACAGCAGATTAGCATGACTTCACTTTTTAGAAAACAAGCTCTATCATTTTCCCCCAGGAACTGCAGGTGATTCTCTTTCTGGTCATCGTGGTTACCCATTCTCGACTAAAGACCGAGATAACGACAGTTCATCCGGAAATTGTGCTGTAAGCTATAAGGGAGCCTGGTGGTATGAAAGCTGTCATGCCTCTAACCTGAATGGCCTCTACCATCATGGCAAGCACAAGTCAGGCGCCGATGGTGTCAACTGGTATGCATGGAAAGGATACCACTACTCCGCAAAGACAGCTGAGATGAAAATAAGACCAGTTGACTTTGAAAACATCTTCTGATGTCTGTTAGTCCGACAGCTGTAAATGTTTATCCAATACTAAGAGCATAAAGTACATGGGATAAAATAAAGTCACGTTAAAACTCAGTACAACTCTATGATCAGTATTTTTTCACTTAGTTAGACATCAAGTTATCGGCCGAAGGGCAAGTACAATACGGCATCAAGGACGACAGGCCACACGGTTAAGCTATTATTCATGACGCTGACTTTTTTCCTGCCGCAAAACTTACATGTCATAAAGACACATCACGGTTGTCCAAATCCTTTTTATTTCTCACGTAACATGTACAAAGTTGCCTTTGTGGGTGGATGGAGCATAAAAGCAACGCAGAGTTATCTTAGGGATAAGGAACAACATTAACAACAAATTAAAAATGGCAAGGCTTCCAAAATTTCCATTACTTCTGAGGTGATATGAGCCTCAAAGCCTTTCTGATATACACCAACCAAAAGCAACTAATTGTCTCGGTGTGGATTGAAGTCTCCTGTTCGTTTTTTTTTTTTTCTTTATAGTTTTTTTTTTTTTTCTTTTAACTTTGTTGCAGAGAGGCACAGTACATTTTTTAGTGGACAGCTGAAATATTGAAGTGTTTATCGATACATTAAATATAGCGAAAATCTGGAACAGCTGTATGTAAATATCTGAACGCAGCTGTTACCTTGAGTAAAACTGAAACACGTCAGCCCGCGTGTTTGAAGTTTGACCCTTTCCAGAAGCTTGTCATAAAATGTGACATCATCAACGAAACTTTCATTAACTATCAGCATTATCAGACATAAACTCTCCAGAACTTTATTGCCCCCAGCCCTGGCCCCTAACTGCGGATCCAATGTAGTTCAGGAAGTTTGTTCGATTCCCTCATAGAGCGGTTTTCACTTGACTTTCGTAAAACCAAAACCAAAGTAAATACACTAGCCAACCAAAGGACGTAGTAAAACCAAAACCAATCCCTCTCGACAGTCAACTGAAAACCGCTCTAATGTAAAATGCTATGCTTCACAAAGTATTTTCACTTAGTACGTTATTCACCATGAGGTTATTAGTGCGTTCACCACCCAACCTGATTTGTCCACCGCGGAATCAGTTCCTCGGCCATTCTTGGAGATATAGCCAACTATGTCTCCTACCGAGGTAAGAGGAGTTGGATATATTTACATCAACGAAATTTTGGTTCTGACAAAATACCGCCAACCCTTCATGTAAGCTGAGGTGAAATTTCGCATTTCAAGAAATAGAACGAGAGGATCCTAAAAAAACGATCTTCACAGCTTTAAATGAAAATATCGAACAAAAGAAGCAAGTCGGTAGTATATATTTTTTGTTACTAATATTTCGGAACGCACGGCCTTCCTTCTTCGGGGTCTAACATACAATGACTAGGTAAAGCTAAGACGTTACAATTTGAAATAAAGGATAGCGTGCAAATCAATACGATACTATGATAACATGTTAACATTAAATAAGAATAGGAGAACAAAAACTCGTTGAAGCAGTTATATGAAAGAAATTGGAAATGTAAAAAAGTATAAATAAATGCAAATCATTTAATCCTTCTTATTCATACCTAAAGGCTCAAGAGTTTTGCCTCTCTCGATTGAGATATACTTCTGTAGCTTTTCGCACACTGTCTCTATTAGACTTAAATGATGAGTTCTAGCAAGAGCTATAATATAATGGTCTCATTATGGCTCTTGGTTCTAGCGGAATAAGTGTGATACGGTTAGTGGAGTGATCATAGGTAAGAAAATGTTCTTAGACTGTGGTGAGTTGAACTTTGGGTCTTTAATAACCGTTTCAACGTACACCGCAGTCCAGTTGACAACCCATCAAATATCTTCAACCCACCACAGTCTCAGAACATTTCCTTACTAATGATCACTCCGCTAACGACCTCACAAGCACCCATTCCACTAGAAATCATTCATAAAACATATTGGTAAAAAATATATATGTACATATATATATATTTAGTATTGACCAAATCAGTGAATAGCAACTTTTGCGCTTTCTGATTGGCACCCGTAACTTGGAATGATTAGAAGAACTTAATTTTATCCAACTGATTTGCTGTTTTGGGACTGATTCAAAATGGCTTCTTGTTTCGAGACAGATTGGAAGAAAAAATTTAGCGGTAAAATGAAGCAACCGCACCAGCAAATACCAAGAAAGAGACAAAATTTGGCTTAACGGTGTTAACTGGTCGGTAGAAAAAAAGTTTCTTACTGAATTTGTAACAAAATCACAAAAAATGATCCCCCTAAACACTGTCAATTGAAACGTAAACAAACCCTAACTAAGTCACGTCTTTTATTTACAAAAAGTTCCTTTTCGATTTTTATCCAACTGATTTGGCAAATCAGACTAAAACAACTATCCCCCTCAGGGTCGGTCGCTTCGAGTCGAGGTATACAGGGTGTTTCAAAAGTTCGTTCCGATTTTTTCTTCGCTTAAATTTCACTGATCATTAAAACTACCTTTTGTAAAACTATGGTATTAATTATTCATTTAACATCGAATAACTGCAATATAAGCAACCAAAATGTCTTCCTTTATGCTACCTGACTTTTTATAAGTGGTGAGGTATAGAATGCATGTGCTGCCAAAGCTTGTCTGAAGGCTGACTCGTCCCCAGTCGTCTCTCTTGGGAAAGGAGAGAAGCGCTTCTCTCCTTTCTCAAGAGAGACGACTGGGGACGAGTCAGGTCTGAAGGCATATTTTTCCAGGCAAAGCGTAGTCACTGTCTTAGCTCGTCCGGTGTTTTTGGGCTGGATCTTTGTATGTTGTCTCGTCAAAGATAATCCAGATGGTCTCTAGGGGTTTCACATCACCTGAGTTTGCCGGCTGGTTGTCTTTAGCCTGTTCCAGGCTCCAAGATAGTGGGGCCTGCGGAATTGAGAAAGCGGGAACACGAAAAAAATACGGGAGGAAACTTTTTCCTTTTTCCCGCCCCGCCCCCATCTTCGCGCGCCCTAAACTTTCGCGTCTTCCCCACTATCTGAGAGCCTGGAACAGGCTAGGCCGTCTTTTGCTATAATTAAAGTTTCCAAATCCTTCAGCATGTGCGCCAACCTCATTCCCAGGGTTCTAGGCCAGGTAGGAGAGAACCCAGTGAACGAGGTTGCATGTGCGCCGCCTTTTTCTCTTCAACGCTTTCCAACCTTTGTTAGTCATATATCTTCATACCGTTGCGCTCGAAACTTTGAAATTGTGAAGTTGAATTTTTTTTACCTTTCTGTATTGTAGAATTGTTACGCATATACTTCCACCTTTTTCGATAATATTTCTTACACATTTAACCAAAAAAACGGCCATCCACTCCTTGGTTTGTCTTCTAAAGTCTTTACTTTTGACCACTTGTTCACTTATATCGTTCAGGCTTGTTCAACAGTTTAGCAATTTCTGTGACTGAATGGCCAGAAGACCGTAAAAATAGATGCCTGAGCGTTAGCGCAAACAGTGCAGGCCTTCATTTTCGTGAAAGAGTACAGAAAATAAAAGAAAACGGCAAAAAAACGAAAATAGAAAATGTAAAAAATGGGCAGGAAAAGCACAGCGGGTAAAAACTCGCGATCATGCACATTTGGAGCAAAACTTCAAAAATGTTATAATTTCTTCAAATTTTAGTTTGAGATTTCTTCGAAAGGTTATTAAGATAAATTTCTTACCTGAATTAGTTTACATTTGCCTAAAGAAGCATTACATTCTTTTCGCAAAATACAATTTACAATCGGAAAGAGTCGTTTTGAAACACCCTGTGTTTCTACCACTATTGCAAAAAGATCCTTCTATTATTATGGTTGCACTCTTTTTAACGAATTATCTGATTGATATTCCGTGTTTTACATCTTTTAATCTTTTAATTGAAAATAGTTTTCTATTTATATTATTACCTGTATTAGTGTAATGTTTATATGTTCAGTGTGGCTTTTGTGCGTTGTTGCTCAGGGCTCCCATTGATAACAGACAGCTTTTTGCGTCTGAAGGGGCTACCCTGAGCGGTATAAATTAATAAAGGTTCTTCTTCTTCTTCTTCTTCTTCTTCTTCTATTCACCTCCCCTTCGGGGGATAGTTGTATAATATCTTCCCGACTATAAAATGAGCCTTGCTTCTTTTGTTCGCATTTCAAGCACTTGCGCGTTTAATTGTGGCGGTAAATCTATATCGCAAAACCACTTGGACTTATCGAGGGAAAAATCATCAACAGAGCTGAGTCTTCTTTCCGACCAAATTTTAATGTCTACACTGACGTGGATAATAGAGAAAGAGCGTGTGTGAGAGAGAGAGATAAAAACAAAGGGGACAAATTTCGATGAAAGAAAAACATCAGAAAGTGAGACTGAATGCTAGCGGCTACAAAGTGAAAATGAGCGGCAGTTAAAAAAATTCAATTGTAGCGAAGAGAAACATATACAGCGTTTCCTCCAAAATTCGTGTAACTAGGAAGTTTCACGTTTTAGTCGAAACGTATGCGGTTTTAAGCATTTTGATGAGAACTGATCACTATTTTCGCGTTAACGAGCAAGTTAGTTTGGCATTTTTATTCTAATCATGATCAACAAATTGTTTGAAATAGATTTAATTCATGAAATAAAATAGCCGAGAGAAAAAACGTTTCGACTTTTTTAACGGTCAAGATAGCCATTTTCGAGCTCGGGGGGAATGTAAAATCCTGTAAAGTCACAAGCTCAAAAAATCAGAGCATCGGTATTGTAACGTAGCGTTTGAAATAAGGGTTTGTATGGGATTAAAAACGGTTGTCTCTGTAACCTACTAATTTAATCGAATGAAATAAAAATCGGCAGACTAGACTTAGTTAAGTTGTGTTTCTTCTTTCACATGAGGTCCTCGAGTCGAATTATCAATTACAGCCCATGAGCAAACCGGTCACAATAAAACTCACGCAGGTTAATAATAGAAACAGGCTTGAAAACCAGGGGGATAGTCCCTATAATGGCCTATACGGGGGGGTATTTTTTTTATGGCTTCAGGTCAGTATGAAAGGGTAGGGATTTTACTCGTTGAAGTATATGAAAGAGTAGCGAAATCTGTCATTTGGGTCTGTAAAAGGGCCCGAAAGGGCCAACAGATTAATTTTATAGCTGTGAAAGAGTCTAGTTTGTGATTAATCCATCTTTAAAAGTGCTTAAATAGGTATATGAAAGGGGTACCAATGGTCAATAGAAGGCATGCGAAGGGGATACCTTTTCTGTGAAAAATGGTAAATAAAAGGGTAACAGCTTGGACCTCCCTGCGGAGCCTCCCCGTCAACTTTCTTTTCCCCCGGGGTTGAAGATCACACATGAATTTAGACGTTACACAACGGTGCCGACGGACATATTTCGAGCTTGGGCTACCATGCGCATCTTCTTCTTACATTTTCAAAAGATCTTGATATTTTACAGTTCACTAGCGGTCCGACGGACAGTTTAACTTTTGTGGGTGGGAGAGGTGTAGATTATTTTGAAAAACAAAATCCTGTAAACAGATAGAAGGAAAAAAATCCTGCCACGAATTAATAGTCCTAAATTTACATCAAAAAACTTAGGAACTAGGCTTAAACCTCATTTACACGCGCTCAAAAAATCGGCAACGGCACGCCAAATTTTTGGCACCGTGCCTCGTTTAACCGTGCCGAGACAACTTCCGCGAGGTAGTCTCGGCACCCCTAAAATTTTGAGCACTGGTGCCACATTACATTTGGGACCGGTACGTTTACTCGCCGAAAATTGGAAGTGCCGTGCCTTAAAATCGTCAGCACGGTGCCAAAAATTTGCTGTGCTGTGCCGATTTTTTCAACGCGTGTAAATGAGGTTTTTTGAAAACAATTCGAGATCACCAATACTAAATCCCCCAGCGCCAGCCCCCCTACCCCACCCCCTCCTAAAAAGTAAATAAAGACGCTAAAGTTTTACATAGAAACAATGGAATTAATACTAAAATGAACAATGATTTAAGTGTTGATGCATGCACTAAAACAAAACGAAATGCTAATGCACGGTTCTAAAACATTCACTCTCCTTGAACACTTGAAGCACAAGGACAGCAACAACCTTGTAGACTTATTTGGGTGTTTGAATGGTATTCATCAAATATTGACAGAACAGAAATGAGTCAGTTAAAGCGTGCTCTTGTTTAACATTGACACGTGCATATGGTAAAAAAAAACACAAAAGACTACTCAGGACACGAAAAAATGTCATGTAAGCTCTAGGCCACACAGACGATTACGAGACTGAAGCCACATCACTAGTCAAGATCACTTCGCGTAAGACGTGTTACACCTGATCCTTCATCAACCAACCGTCGACGTGAAAAAAGAAGCCAAACATCCTATCTGAGTTGAAATTTTTGCAATGTCTTATTTTCCTTTCCGTTTTCACTTTAGCCTTTTGGTCCTGGCGTTGTTTGTGGCGAGCCAGTCTTTGGCGAAGCAAGCAAAGAGCGCCCAAGTAACTACAGTCCCCACAAAACAGTGCACCAACGTCTACAACAGTTTCTACGCTGGTCCAAACAAGAAGATTGAGAATATCCTACAGCAAATGAAGAAGCAACTTGGCGAACTTCAAGAAGATATGAAAATTTTGAAAAATAACAAAACTTCTTCCAAAGGTCAACGAAATAATATTTCTAGAATTCAATTAACCAATGCGTACATATTCAGTAAATAACTCGCATTAAATTATATTAATTTAACGAATACTTCCTCTTTTTTTGCCCAACAGCCATGGTAAACTGTGCTGAGTTGTACAAATCGGGCGAGAAAATCAGCGGCGTTTATACAATCGATCCTGATGGCACAGGTGCCTTCGATGTGTTTTGTGACCAAAAAACGGCCGGTGGAGGGTGGACAGTGTTCCAAAAGAGACTGGACGGCTCGGTTGATTTCTACCGCGGTTGGGCTGACTACAAACGAGGTTTTGGTAACCTAAACGGTGAGTTTTGGCTTGGGTTGGACAAGATTCACCGCTTGACCAAAACAAAAAGCAAGCTACGAGTTGACCTGGAGGACACTACGGGTAAAACTGCCTACGCTGAATACGACATGTTTGCAGTTACGAGCGTGAAGGCTAATTATCAGCTTAGCCTGGGAACATACTCAGGTACAGTAAATAAAAATGCACTTGCACGGCTTTACATGCTTTTCGAACTCCCCTTTATTACTTCCCTATCTAGTGTTCAGTTCCTTATACGACAAATATCAATGAAAGAATCTAAAACGGTACTTGATTTTCTTGCTCATGCACTATGTACATGCCGGATGGTTAATTTTTCCATGCTTGACAAAAAGCTCTTTTTTTCTTTTGACCGTTAGATCCCTCGAGTAAGTCTTTTCTTTTCTTTTTTCTTCTCTTTTTTTTTGGAAACAGCAGATTAGCATGACTTCACTTTTTAGAAAACAAGCTCTATCATTTTCCCCCAGGAACTGCAGGCGATTCTCTTTCTGGTCATCGTGGTTACCCATTCTCGACTAAAGACCGAGATAACGATAGCTGGTCCAGCAACTGTGCTGTAAGCAATAAGGGAGCCTGGTGGTATACGTCCTGTCATGCCTCTAACCTGAATGGCCTCTACCATCATGGCAAGCACAAGTCATACGCCGATGGTGTCAACTGGTATGCATGGAAAGGACACCACTACTCCGCAAAGACAGCTGAGATGAAAATAAGACCAGTTGACTTTTGAAACATCTAGTCTGCAGTCTCAGTGTTAGTCCGTCAGCTGCAAATGAGTTATCCAGCATGTAGAGCATAAAGAGCATGAGATGAAAGAAAATAAAAATCACGTCAAATACTTTAATTCTTTGTCATGTCAGTTTTTTCACTTTGGCTTTAAAGTGATCTACCGAAGGGCAGGTGTAATAGCATCAAGCCATACAGTTAAGCCGGCATTGTTCATAACATTCATCGGCCTTTCTGCTGCACTGTAAGTCATTGAGACACATCACGGTTGTCCAAGTTCTTGTCCTTAGTTTTCACTGAAAAAAGTTCCTTCGTGGGTGGGTGAAGCATAAAAGCAGCGCAAAGGTATTTAAGGGATAAGGAAAAACATATTTTTCATTAAATTGTTATCAGTCTTGCATGAAACAGTGATAAGGCCCTCAGTTTCTTTGCCTTCTAAATCAACAGAAGCCACTTTCTGTACTGCACAAACCTGAAAAACGCCTGGTCTCGGCGTGGATTAATGTCTCGTGTTTTTTTTGTTTTTGTTTCTTTTTTTTGCTGTTCTTTAATGGCCTTTGTTTGTTTTTTCTTTTTCCAATAATCGTGGAACTTTGTGGCAGGTGCACAGCTGAAATATTGAAGTGTTTATCGATACATTACACATCACGATCGCGAAAGATTTGGAACAGCATGTAAAAAGCTGAACAAAGCTGTGAGGCTACGGTAAAAAAGATACTTGTTCGAATTTTGGCCTGTTTCAAAAGCGGCTTGTCATAAAATGTAACATCTCAACGAAAAACTTTGTTTTATTTTCATAAACAATCAGACATAAACTCTTGAGAATTTTATTGCCTCCAGACACCCCTGGCCACAAAACAAAAGACTATATGACCAGCTGCTTTGTTTTGGATAACACAATTCAGTACAAAAATTTTGTGCGATTCCTTTATAAAATCACACTGAAGTTGCGCTTCAACAAGTACATTTACGTTCTCTGGACCTCAACCATGAAGTTGTCAGTTTTCCTTGGGATCATAACTACCTTAATAGCTGAGAGTACTGGTAAGGGGAAACTGACACAATGTAGGTTGCGGGTATTTCAGTTTTGTGAAAAAGGTGCAGCGAAAAACAGTTTGAATTCAGAAAATCAGCACATTTCAGCGGTGTTTTAATCTCTATATTCGCTGTATGTACCGCACTACGCAGACTCTACTCGGAGAATGAAAAGAACTTTTGGTGACGATATGAATTTGTACGTATAATCATCTACCATAAAATTTCAAATAAGGAATTCTCTTGTAAAATCACATGTAGATGTGTTCTATGAAGGGAATCCCTGGGTCACGATTCTCGTAAGCGACAACCTTCCAAACGACCACTAAATCTTTGTGTTTGGGAGGTTCGACTTCAAGAGTCCGAAATTTACCCTTTCCAAAGCTCTACTCTTTGCCTCAGCCGATTGTTCAGATAAAGCGGTTCTACAGGGCGTAAGCCGGAAATATGTGGCCTAATAAGGGCCAGAGTAGGCGTACAAATACTTCGCTTAGGAAAAGTTTTAATACTAAAATCTTGTCCTAAGTGACTTTAAAAACATAACTACAACTAAATGATCTTATTTTCCAGCTCTATGCTACGACAAATGGCCATACTGTCAAAACTACGTGAATAAACCAGAGAAGCTCTGCGAAACAAATGATTTCATCAAATACAGATGTCAAAAGAGTTGCAGACTATGTGGAGGTAACTAACTCACATAACTGTATTTAACATTCAAGGTCAAGTGCGAGCGGTTCTGGGGCTACAGGTCTTACTTTTGACAACCCACCTCGACTAGCTAAACCCAAGAGAGAATGATTCTCTCTTGCTAAGCCATGCCAACTGCGGGTTAGTGACGTAAGGAACTTCGTTCTGAAATTAAAACATTGGTTTCAATTGAGCGTCGGAGGAAATTTGTCTATACTTTCCTTGGTTGTGCATTTAGACGCTTTGTGATTGGCTCAAAAATCTCATGCCATTTCGTCAACATGCAGCCAATAAGAAGTAACACCAAAACCAGTCTGTCTCATGACGTGCTGTTTCCTGCGACTGGCGCACACTACGCAAACGTCAACATATGAATGGTTAATTTGATTGCCAGAAATTGATTGGCTGGATTAGTTACTGTTTTTTGTGCCTTTGTTATGTACGGTACTCTATCATTGCGTTCGACGTCAGGAGAACGCACGCAATGTAAACTCAACACGGGTAAAGCCTGGGTGTTAATGGGTCAAGTACCGGATACGGAAAGGTCGCGTACACAGGCTCCCCAGTCCATCAGGAGAGCTGTGAGTCCTTAACCTTGTTTCCAGGCCTTTTCAGTTTGAACTGGGAGTCCTGTCTGAGTATAGCAATTCTGACCACTTCCCTAATAAATTACGCCTTAGGACTGACTTACGCTCCATGCACCTTTTTCGGGCGCAATTCTCTGCTTAGATTAGTTATCAGAATGCAAACGATCATTCAGAATACGTTAATGTCAATTTGATGTTTAGGTCCCAAGCCACCAGCGACGACTAAGCCACCGCCTGAACCGCCTCTCCCTACTAACGGACCACCCCTTCCCCCAGGTAAGATGGTTAGTTACCATGACCATTGACCATCCTTCAAGAAAGACAGTTGAACCACAATGGCCAACTTTTGCTTTAAGTCTTCACTACTATAACCACATAGTTTATCGGCTGGTAATTTAAGCTTGTTTGATATCATACATATTATACAAGGGCGGATTTCTGGGTGGAGGAGGGGGGGCGAGGGGGGCGCGGACACCCATTTTTCTTCGAAATTTTGTTCTATATTTATAGAATTCTCAGAAAGATAAATAGTATCTGTGTAGCTGACAATTAGGCAAGTGTCCTGGCCACCCCTTTCAAGATTTTCTGGATCCAATGCTGTTTTATTTCATCAATAACAGCTTTAAAAAAGAGACCTCAAATTGTACCCCTGTTTCTCACCAGGTAATTGTATGAATAACTCTTTGTCATTCTACTACAAAACAGGTTTAAGCTCCTGACTAGTTGGGTGTCCTGATTTGTACCTTGTACTTCGTTATAGGTGCATGTGGCATGAAACCAGAGACACGTATTGTCGGAGGCACAAAGGCTCGTCCTGGTGACTGGCCATGGCAGGCCATGCTACGAAGTCCCCGCGGTTAGAGTTTCTGCGGAGGGACCCTGATAGCGCCTCAATGGGTCCTTACTGCCTCTGACTGTTTATGGAGAAAGAGACCCCAGGATCTTCGGGTTCGGTATGTTGCAATTGGATCAGACCCTGTAAACCCACTAATGCTTTGACGAAAACCTCTGTTTTTTCGTGTTAACAAAACTACAAAAGCTCTGCGTTTACTCATAACCGTTTTCGCATTCTGTTTGTCCGTCCACACTTAGCAGTCAAAAACGCATTTCGGGCGATATATGTTCGTCCCTAGGCTCTTTCTGGACGTGTTCCTAAGTGCATCAGTGTGCCTCTACACCTGCCATACTCGAGAAGCCAGGCAATCTGCGTTTTCGAGCACCTTCAATTCGTTTTACCTGTCCACACCAAAAGGATCGTCGCCAGTTTTTGATACCCTTTTCAAAATCCTCCGCTTTTATTGTTTTAGTGCGGACGCCAAATAAACGCATAGAATCTATGCCTTTTTCAAAAGAAACAACAGTTTTAACAGGGTCTGAAGTCATTACTCATGTTGCCTCATTTGTTATGGCGCATTTCTAAAGGCTTGGGCTCCAATATCATTCCCAGAGGCCGCGTTTCCCTTGACCATAGGATGGGGCGATATTGCTTGGGTTTTCTTCATACCACGCGAGTTGAAAACCGATTTTTTGGGGACTTCACATGGTAGCGCCGTCGAAGGGAGAAATTTTCGAGGACGCGCGCACGCACGAGGTGTTCCCCTGGTGCGCTCTATATAAACTAAGCAAAACAAAAAAAGAACTGGTGCCTGCTTTGCAGGCTCGACTTCACGCTAAAATTGGTCTTCTCATGCGGAAGAATAACTGCTGGTGTGTTCTTAGAAGGCCAGGCGCATACCTTCGCCTATGTCCACCCTTTAGACTGCACAAGAATCTAAGTAAACTTAAGGAGAACTTAAATAATGACTGGAACTGAATGAAGGAACTACGGGCAAAAAGTGCAGTGATAATGAATTCCTATACGTGTGGGTTATGCAAGGCATATCCAGCCTAATTGAGCCAAAGAAGGAGCAGTTTCTCAAATTTCTTTCATGTTTATTATGCAGCATGGGAGCTCACTACAGAAAAGGAAATGATCCAACAACACAGCAAGACTTCGAGATTAAACGCATCATAATGCACGAACACTACAAGAAACCATTTGGCATGAGCAACGACATCGCTTTGTTAAAACTTAGCACACCAGCTAAGCTTAACAAACGCGTCGGCCTGGCGTGTTTACCAGACAAATCCGTGGATTTGCCAATTAACGACATAAACAAGAAATGCTGGATAACAGGTATGAAATGTTTTTTCAACCCCGTGCAACGTGATGTTTCTGGATATCGTATTAAAAAACTCCCCGTTTTACATCCGAAATCATCTATGCGCTTAAATGTTACTGATCCAGTTCAAGAAACATTGAAACTGCTTCAAAGTGGCTGTCCAGTACTTTTTGTAAACATTGCCGAGGGTGATTACGCACTTAAATATTTCGTCCCACCAGAAACTCATAAGTCCCACTTAGCTCATGACTTAGCTGGCCTTGGGTCTCGGAGATGCATAATGCATCGTATTCGTATTTTCAACTTTCCTCTTAACAATATATGTGAAGCTTTGCGTCTCGTGTTTGATTAGTTACACATGAAGTTAACGCTTAGCAACTGTCTTTCGCTGAAGAAATAGCGGGTACTCTATCTGGAACATACATTTCTCCAAGAAACAACGGGTTTCTTCTATAAACACAGCCATGACATTTTTGTGGTAACTTCGTTTTCGATTTTTCGAAAGTTTTTGTGGTAACTTCGTTTTCGATTTTTCGAAAGTCAGTTTTTATTCTGTAGAATACTGAGAAGCAAACGGTACCATGCAAACTTAACTCTAAAGATCTTTCAATTAAATGCAAAAAGCACAGGATTTGCCAATTATTATGGGACTGAAATGGTAAAAGCAGAATTTTTGCAATACCAAAATAAGACAATTTTGATTTCATTTGGCCCAACACGTTGTTTGGAAATCTTAAATAATAATAATAACATTTATTTATACCGCGCAAATTCAACTATACAGTTTTCAAATGCGCCTTACAATTAAAGATCTAAAAATATACCGTAAAAAAAAATTACAACATTAAATTACAACATTATATCAGAAAAGGCTTTTTTAAAAAGGTGAGTCTTCAAATCACGTTTAAAAACTTGAAAATCGGAGGTGCATCTAAGATCTAACGGAAGATTATTCCACAGTTTTGGTGCGGCGGCTACAAAGGCTCGGTCACCCAGAGTAGGGAGGGTCCTAAAGTTAGGATTTGAAAGCAGATATTTGTTATTTGATCTGAGGCTGTAGGAAGAATTAGGTTTAAAATTAACGAGAGATGATAAATAATTAGGAGCTGTTCCATAGATTGCTTTGTGAGTGATTATAATAACCTTAAATTCTATTCTAACGTCACAGGCAGCCAGTGTAATTCGTATAATATTGGTGTGATATGGCAAAACCGTGGTGCTAGATATAGAACTCTTGCAGCTGCGTTTTGAACACGCACGCTGCAGTTTAGTGTGGGCGCAGTGGGGTAGTCCGTATAAAAGTGAGTTACAATAGTCTAATCTGCTTGTGATGAAAGCGTGCACTAATTTCTCGACAGATTCTATGCTTAGATATTTTCTAACGCGTCTAATATTGTGTAGATGAAAAAAAGCACTCCTACAAGTTTTGGTTATGTTAAAATTCAGGTTGAAATTACAGTCAAACCAGGCCCCTAAGTTTCTAAGGGGTTCCGTGCTAGGAGAGATGATAGATTCGCCAATAGTTAGAGTGGAGCTTTTAGTTTTCTGTAGCTGCGCTTTCGTCCCAGTGAGCATAAACTCAGTCTTGGAATCATTAATCATGGATGTCACAGAGGCACGGAATCATTGATCATGGATGTCACAGAGGCACGCTTCCATTGCTGCAATGGCGGCGTCTTGATCGGAATCATCGTTTGGATTGAATGCCAAATAGATACCAGATCCAGTCTCAGATCAAGAGTTCAATCTTGAACTCTACCCAAGGCTAAACGTTCTTTGCTTAGTGTAAACTGTACTATACATTTCAAGGTTGGGGAACACTGGCCTCGGGAGGCTCTTCAGCCAAGGAACTCATGCAGGCCAAAGTACCGCTGGTATCCAAAGAGCGCTGTCTCAAAAGCTATCCCCGAAGGATCCATGATTCCATGCTGTGCGCAGGTCACGACGAGGGAGGAGTAGACACATGTCAGGGTGACAGTGGGGGTCCCCTGGTGTGTAAGTATGGAGGCAAATGGCATGTTGAAGGAGCCACAAGCTGGGGATACAGATGCGCTGCTAAAGGATACTTTGGTGTCTACGCAAACGTCAGATACTTGCTAGACTGGATCAATGAAAATATGGCCAAGTACTAACAAGTGCTATAGGCAACTAGATGATCATCTCTTGGTGTAATGTGATTTAAGCATGCATGATAAAACAATGCTTAATCAATAAGTTCAGTCTATTTTATTAGAAATGACACAGGGGCACGCTTCCAATTAGTGGGACAGGAACGCGTGACAAACCCTTAAGAACATTTGAGTGAGAGGCTGGCTTCCAATAATCCCTCTTCCGTCCCAGTGGGCGCGATATTTACGGGTAATTTAGCCAAACGATGTAGACTCTGTTAAGAGCCTTCGTTGACTGACCGTCTGTATCACACCATATAAGCATCAATATTGTGTCCCCTTTTTTCTTTCTCCTTTCGTAAAACCCCTTTCCTCTCATGTGACATCTGCAACTTGGCAAGTAATCGAGTCAGTCATTTCACTTTCATAGTCTTTCAAAGCGTTCGCCGCGCACTCTTCTACTTCACTGTGTCCGACACCTTTGGATAACTCCTGTAATTGATCCTACAGTAAATTAAAAGTAGAAGAGCAACTGTGAATGGTTTGAACCCAAACGTCATATTTTAAGTAGGTGAAATATGATCAGGCGAGTGTAATTCTGCACAGGATTGTTGTTGACAGTGACTGATGTTTCGACAACCTCTGCTTTAGTCATTTAGATGAGAGATTCTGAAGATGACTCGAGGTGATGAATAGCCTGTTCCAGGCATTCAGGTATTAGAGCGCAGCGGTCAGGTCAGATTGTGGGGAGCGAGTTAAATTGTGAATTTTCTTTCTTCGTTAATTTTCTCCCGCGCTCTACTATCTGAACGCCTGGAACAGGTTATTCAGTAACGCTTTCAACTTTCCCGCAACAAAACAAGAAACACGAAAGTAAAACCTGAAGTCAGGTTAAAAGTTAAGAACTGTGAGCCCAAGACATAACTGCTTAGAGAAAATCTAACAATAAAGAACCACCACCAACACCATCACATCATAAACAACACTCAAGAATAACAACTAAAAAGCGGATAACTCAAAAAATAATAAGGTGTAGTATTCGTCACACATTTACAATCTGTCACTCAACATGGCGAGGATATCTTTCTAGGGATTTTATAGTTTATACATTTCGTTCTCTCCAATAAAAAAGACTGGTGTTCATTGTTTAAAACGGGAAACACGCTACATTCGAGGTGGACTTTGAAGATCACAAGAAGAAAAACTAAGAAGCCATGGCAAAAGCTAAAGCTTAAGACACTTCTAGAGCACGACAAACACTCAAACTCAAAGTAGTGTAGTCGTGACGTAAAAACAAAAACGCGGCCTATTTTTCTTGACGCTTGAAATAATTACAGTTTTAATTTATTCAGCAAACTGTGTCAACGTTGAAAAAACGAACAATGGGCAACGCTCGAACGCTGAACCTGCCTTCCTTTAAATTTTGTTAGGTAAATTATGTCCGCGGTTAGAGTGAAGAAAATTATTGAACAGGGTTGATATACAGATTCTACATACAGAACGTCTACCGCGATTTTTTTTGGAAGGGCTGGAATTTAAACGAACAACCAAGTTAAGTTCCTCAATTGTACCGTTAAAGGGGAACGTATGAGAATTTTTTCCAGTAGGTGGACACTGTTTCTTTGCTTGCTTATTTTGTCATGATTAGCATACCTTGAATGGTTTTCCACAACATCTCACAAGGAGAAGGAAGCACTCCGCAGTTTTTTCTTTCAATTGCTGATACGCTGAAATGGGAAGTCGAAAAATACAATGACAAATCAACATCTGGAACTTTTTAACGAGCTTGGGGGGTTCACATGTAGTTACCTTGCAAGCACTGGGTGGTTTCTCTCGTGCATCGCCTTTAGCGTTTATGAAGTCATTTGCGTCGCATGTCACTCGCCGTAGTTGGTTTGTTTATCACACCACCTACGCGACTTTGTGACATGCAACCCGAACAACAACGGTCACCTGGTTAGCTCAGTTGGGAGAGTCTCGGTCTGCTAAAAGGGAGGTCGCGGGTTCAAACCCCGGCCGGACCAACACTCAGGGTCTTCAAATAACTGAGGGGAAAGTGCTGCCTTTGCAATGACATCTGCAAACGGTTAGATTTTCTAGTCTTCTCGGATAAGGACGAAAACCCGTAGGTCCCGTTCCACAGCACTTTCACTTATCTAGTTCTTGCGGGACGTAAAAGAACCCACACCACTGTTCGAACAGAGTAGGGGACGTAGACCCCTGTGGTGTGGCCAACCTCTCCTGGGCTGGGTGGGTTATCTGCAAGGAGCCTTGCTCTGCTGTGTGTTCCGCACCATATGGTGGAAGTGATTAAATAAATAGTCTTCTTAAACGCTAAAAGCCATACAGGAGAAGGATCTGCTCGCAGGGTAAGATATACAGTCAACTCTCTGGTGAGCGACCACCCTTGGTGTACGACAAGGTGGTCGCTTACAGGAGGTGGGCCCCTGCGGGAGATCAAGAAAATAGGCTGAAACTGAACTGATTAATGTGCTTGCATAAAGTTATTACCTAACAAGCAAAACCTTCGGCGAAAAACAAGCAACTGGCAATCATGTTTCACATCGAAGAGCGCTTGGAACTGTTGAAACTTTGTACATAACATTTTGCATCAATGTTACAATACACCCTTTTACCTAGAGATCGTATTACAACCATCTTTTTTTGTAAGTCAAATGCTATTAATCTGTTGCCACGCTTGGTCAACACTTTTAAAAACGGAACTTTTGTAACATTCGAGCAGTGGTTTTCTTTCAATCATACGTGATCATGCCGGCTGGTCGCTTACGGGAAACAGAAAACAAAAGAATATGCCAAATTTTTGCTTTAAAAAGTGGTCGCGGTCATTAAGAAATTTATTTAGTGGCTGCTTACGAGAACGTTTTGAAACAGTATTTCACTGAGAAACAAAACGGTTATTTTCAAAGTGGTTGCTTTCAGTAAGTGGTCGCTATGAGAGAGTTGACTGTCGTTAAAATAAAACAGAGCTTTTACTTGTACATTAAAACTTTTTGCATGCGTTTCGCCCTAAAAAGTAAGATAAAAACGCGGCGTAACTTGCAGTGGTCCTCGATGCTTCTCCAACGTCTAATCGTATACTGGGCAAAAATCGGCGAAGTCGCCATGATTCATAGCTATTGGCGAAACGATGCCCAAATTTAAAATGACGATTTGCAAATGATCAGAATTCATTACATTCAAACAACGTATTGACCAGTATTTTCAGTATTTTAAAAACGTTTACTTAATATTCTGACCCACCATACAAACGTCTGTAAAATTTCTCGAACTTTGAGGAGCTAAGAAAACAGTGGAAAGGTCTGTTCGTGAATAATAAATCAGATCATTCAACCAAAATAAGCTGCACAGGAGAAAATGAAAGTATACAACCAAAATTTTCCACCTTCCCTTCTTGGTAGATGTCCTGGTAAATAAACAGCGTATAAAGTAATAAGCTAACCTTGGGTTGTTAAATAAGGAGCTGAATCTGTCGTATCAACAAGTAATTTAAGAAGCGATTTCAGGATCATGGAGCTGTGTTGTGGAATCCTACAAAGAAAACGGCACCTTAGTAATCAGCCAAGTTTGCAATTGCGTGCACGTTTCAGTTCAGTAACCATGCGTTGTAAGACACGAAACTGCCCTTTACTAATAAATTGTGTCCAAAACAAAATGCAGAACTTAGTAAAACAAAAGTTTACAGTTCAATTTGTTGTAAACGTCCGGAAATGTATCGTAAATCTAAATCATTAATGTCCGACAAGAAAACATACCTAAACAGAAATCATTGGACCAGTCAATTTAATTCATTGTTGATTTGAGGCTTATGTTGGGCAACATGGCGTAGGTATATATTTCATTAGTAAAATCCAACTTGTGGTCTATTATCAATGCTGCGCTGTGATTGGTTGACCTACTACTAGGCTCGAAAAGCGCCGGCTTTTTGGCGGCAAAAAAGGATTAAAGTCTAGCTTTAACTAGCTAAAACTTTTTTATTCTCGATATTTTTGACCAACTAGTAGGATTTTACTAAAACAATTATTACTCTCGCCCTCATGGCCTCAGAGTCAATAGGCCATGAGGCCGAAGACCGAATGGGCTATTTACTCAGAGCCAATTCGGCAGTGGTTTTGCCCAAAATTTTAAACAAATCGTCTGTATGAGAGAATCACACTCGGCATTTCAAACTTGGCAGCGCCAAAGCATGTTAGAGAGAAAACGTCTCACTTCCTGTTGACGTGAGTCGCTCAAAACGCCTTTGCTTAAGCTCCGTTTGGCCAGTTTTTTTTCCTTTCCCTAGTGTCAGTCCCAGAAGTCTTCGCGAAAGTAAACTCGGCCCAGTTTCCTCGCCGTTGTTAAAGTGGCGAATTGTGAGTGAAAAGGTAACGACGTCATATGTCATACCTTGGCCATGCGTAAAGTATTGCGGTGTTTAAAGCGTCTAAAATGGCTAGCCTGGCTTCTTCCTCGGGATAATCGCTTACTTCCAAGTACGATACGATAACTCTCAAAAGTCGCTAAAAAAGAGAAACCAAAAGAAACAACTATTACATCTACGTCCGTAAAAGAATTATTCCTTTACGTCTAAGCCCTCTGTCCACTCCAACTTTGCGTAACGTTTTCTCGCGCGGCACTTATAACGGCAAATCTGTCTGTGTTTTTACCCGAAATGTTTTCTTCTTTCTACTTTCCAGAAAGGTGTTTAACGGTTTTGATTGTTTAGTCCTACTATCACGAGAAACCAGGAGGCGACATGTACTTTCTGCAACATGAAAAACTCTCAAGCAAGTGGGGCGGATCATGCAAATTGCAGCATGGTGGCGCGGCAAGTTGCAAGTTATGGAGATGTCACAAGCATTATTCCGCTTTAGGCCTTTATCAAATTCTTCCTTTAACTCAAATCTCAAATTGGAATTTTTGATACCGTAACCATTCTAAATCTAACCCTAAACCTGTTTGAGCCTGGGGTAAGTTCCATCAATCTTCACGTTATTTAAAATAACAGCTAACGCACTCTGTCCAGTCAAACTCTTTATCACTCTAATACCAGATGTTAGCTCTAAAGTGTGTCGTTAGGTTTTATTGGCCCCTTAGACTTAGTAATCCTCAAATGATTAATAATAAAAAAAAAAAAAAGCCCTACCTTAAAGTGACGCAGTATGGTTATTCCCATGTGCTCAATATAATCTCTCAATTGACTTGCACACGCCTGGTGGAAACACAGTCACAGTCAAACCTTTTCACTTGATTAGTTGTAAATGTAATAAGGCTCTAGTCAGTACAGTTTGAGAAATATGCCTGGGAGCGAGCGATCACAGTTCAATTTATGGGGTGATAAAGACAAATCCTTGTAAGTACGACACTAAAACTATGTTAACACTATGTCGGATAGCTTTGGCACCGCCACGAAAATCATACCGGCAATACAACGTGAAACCATCACGAACGCCGACAGAATAATTCAGTCGAAAATGTCTTTCAAAGATTTGCGTTAAGGTTTGTTTCTTTCATACGAAGAAAACATGATTTCAGACGAAGAATTTCTACTTTTCTATAACGAATACTCTTCGAAGAACCCAGAATTTGAACCTCTGGTTTCAACTAGAGAACTCGCGTTTTGAAGTCCGTGAGCGCAGCTCAAGAACGTCTTGACATGCGCAGTGGCTGTCATGCGGCAAAAATACTTCCGGCTGGCGTCCGTGGTACCAAGAACGTCAGGTGTTTAATTTCCCTAATATCATTGTACACGAGTTGAAGGTCGATGATAAGAAAATTAATTCCTTGGTAAAATAGCTAGAGCTTTCAAGACGTATTTTTTCCACCATTGGCCCTAATTTGACGTAATGTTTAAATGGTGAGTAGAATACACATTGAGGATCGATTGAGCGACCATTACCACCACGAAGACTGCATGAAAAGTATTTTGCCTGAAATAGGCGTCTCGCTTACCCGCCTCATCGCTATCTTGCCTTCAAACTCCATAGATGTCAGCATTATTTGAAACACTGAGTCGCATTTGGTTGTCTGTGAGGAGATATAAAATGACCTAATGATAAGTGCTTGCAATATAAAAACAGTGAGTTTCGAGACCAGAAAGTTATTTTAACAACGAACAAAAATTTACATCTTTTTATGTAAATTTTTGTTCGTTGTCACCTTAGCTACAAACATTACCTAGGAATAATATGTTTAAAATAAAAGGCATTGTAACTTCGGGACCACAGAATGCGAAATTTAAACTAAGCAAGGAATCCCCCAATTATGCCATAGAGTTCGATTCATGTTTACAGCAAGCGGCAAACGTGAATTTGTACCACGTGACCAAGCTTTCCCTTTACTTGTCTTTAACTTTTGTTTAGTTCGACGAACAAAATTATTAGTTTCACATTATTTTCATCCATAAAAATTGATTTTGGCTCATCCTCGGTGTAAAAACCTGTGAAACTCACGAGTGACGTCAAACAGTGAATACAAAGAAGCCACTGAGAAGTCAACACAATAGAGCCAAGGAAAAAAATGGCTAGAAAACAAAGAAAAACTTCACAGGTTTTTACCCCGAGGTAAACCTTGTTTTCGACTGTTTTTATCAGCTTAAATTCTTTTTTGAGAAATTCTTATCTTAAATTTGCCGTTTATCGTTTGCCGAATTAACGAATCTGCCAACTGATCTTCGCCGGTTAACGACTCTCTGATCTCTCTTAAGTGATTTAAGACAGTGAAAATTCATGGGTAGTACGGACTCTCCCAGCAGAAGGAAACCCTAGTACAATCTGAAGAGGGGAGGGTAAATTATCACGGGCAGCCTCCGTACTTTAAGTCATAGATACGAGACTGAGCCCAAAGATTTTTGAAGTAAGCAATCTATCTATATTACCCATCAGCTTATTTCTCATTTCATGTATTAACCACCCAAATAGTGGTAGTGTTATTGGTAATAATATTAGGAATATTAAAATTAATCCAACCTACTTTTCTTCCAAACTTGGGTTTCGTTGGAGGTGGTTCCAGCACCTTGAGGATGCTTAATAAGCAAGGGTGAAGAACTCGAACCAAGCAAGCCTCGCTAGTGTACAGGTGACGCTGAGTGGCCTAGTAAAATGTGATAATAATTTTTATGGCCGTCTCAATTTAAAGAACGGTCTTTAAATGCTCTACAGTGAAAAAGTAATTGGTAGAACATTTTTCTGTGAAGGAATACTAACTGCCGGCCCTACGTCAATGTTGGTGTGAATGCTTTCATCTTTACATCTTAACGTGTAGTTGTGGCACACGTTTGAAGAAGGGAAAGGATAAAGTAAGAAGCACGAGGAGGAAAGCAAACGCCTGCAAGGACGTTATCGTTTTCACCATTCTACCTCTCAAAATTCGCAAATCCGATCCATCTCTCTTCCTCTATTCACACAGGACTATTCGATCTTTCAGAAAAGATATAGCCATAACGCGAGTCTTTTCGAAACATTTTATCAATTAATGGCCCTTTTAAATACTTAAATACAACATTTTCCTACCCTTTCATATACCACAACTCTTGAATTCCCAACCTTTTCATATACCTGAAGCTGAAAAAGGTACCACTGTCCCCCTATAGGCCGTTATAGGGAATACCCCCCTTTAGGAGTCTGCATACAATATAGGAATAGAACTGATCTTCGAGTAAGTGACTACTGCACTTCAAAAATATAATTGCAGCATACTAACTGATTTCTAAAAAAATTCTAGTGCGTCAGTTTACCTCAAAAAGAACATCAGCCCTTCCATACCACTGCAGTTCTGCTGAATTCTACAATCGAAAATAACCCAAGAATAGTTTCTGATATACTGATCCAAAAAAGGTTTTATTTTTTCAGTCACTTATAAACGATCTACATACCATGTTATCAACGACGTGCTTCAAACATTTTAAACCCAAGACTTTGTTTTCTACCTGTTTGTGAAAGGGAAAAAGGACATTAAAATTGAAAACGCAAAAGCTTCTTATTACCATGTAGCTACCAACTCTCTAAAGCTGTGTCACGAAATTTATCAAAATTCAAACAGTGGGAGTTGCCACCAAATTGAGTGAAACATAAAAATAAACTAAATAACAGCTCAAAACATTAAAAGAAGGTACAAATCAATAACAAGAAAAGGCAAGGACGGACAAACTTGAAAAGACTGAAACGGATTGCAATTGAGGTTTTGTCAGCCAAACAGTTTCATAAAGTTCATTTTTGTTGTTTTCAACGTTTGATATAATGCATGAGAGACATATTTGTTTGACAGGAAATTGTCATTTACTTGTAATTGACAATTGTAATTGTAATTGTAATTGTAATTGTAATTGTAATTTACTTGTCCATAGAGATCAAAGACACGTTGTTGGCATTATCAACAAGGCGAACTAGACTTCCGTGACATAGCTCCTTTAAGCCTGATGAAACATAAAATAATTATTAATCAATTGATTTCTGACACTTAATTTTCATCATTGCGGGGATAACTTTAAGAAGTGTATTTTACACGTGTAGCCATTACCTTAGAGCCTGAAAACAAAAGCTACACTTGTAAATTATACTTTTTGTAAAGGTTTTATCAAATCGACCCTTGGTTGGGTGAATGGATTGTGTTCGTCTATTGGTGCATGTTGTACGATGCGAAAAAATTCAAATCATGGAAGTCTTGTACCTCATAATCATCTATAAACAGCAAGAGTGGAGACATCAGTTTAGGGAAATGATCACCAACAAAAGGATGCTGTCAAACAACAAAAATGAATGTTATCTAAAACGCACTATTTTCTTTCCCAGTCACTGATAAAGGCATGTCAGACATGCATCTAGAAATAAAAATAAAAAATAAAAACTTTCACTTAGTTTGGGAAGAAAAAGTTCAAGAATTCTCTCACAGAAAGTAATCTTCTCTGTCCCGTATAAGGGTAAACTTCAAAAGATATTATGTACATTACACATCACCCTGTTAGCTTGGTTGGAAGAGCACCACTCCGGCGAGCCATAGCTAGTGGATTTCAGCCCTAGCCGGGTCTGTTATAATCTGGTGACATGGGATTGGCTGTGATTTAAGATCTTATCTCAGATGTCTCAGATCAAATGATCGTGTCAAAGGGCACCTGTTTGTGTCATGCCGTGATCATGAGACCTATATCTTCAAAAGCGCTTTTCAATTCAAATATGACATCAAAGCACCCACACTGACAATGTCTGAAAAGAGTATAGGACATGTTGACCCCAGTTACAGCTGTACATGTTCTGTCTCACAGTGAGGGAGGGACTTTTACAAGTGCGCAGCAATTGTGATTACCAAGCAAAGATTGGAAAAAGGTGATGAGCCGTTTGTATGAGACACAATAGCATCATTTACAGGAGGAAAAATAAGACGCGTTTTACACAAGACACATCCTAAATAACATGCAAACTGTCACATTTATATGAGCATGTCTTTACGTAGAAAATAGTTATTGGTCAATCCCTCCAAAAATTAACGCATGCAGCGTACGATGCGTTCGCATCTTACAGGTAAATAAGACGGGAAGGTCATTCATTGCAAAGCTTTTCACGTCTTAGCTCGTCTTAGGTAAGATACGTCTTATCTCAGAACAGGTGTTCACGGCTGTACTTAGATAAGACGCGAGAGGACGACTGGACATCGCTGACAATTTGACTAACAATAAACGACTGTTTAACTCTGACAATAGACGCATCAAAACGCACCAACGACATTACCAGTCTTCATAGCCAATAACATCACGGCTTAACAGACAGACGACCAATAATATTGCGACTTAATTGACCAATCAGGTCAATAACCAGAGTTTAATACCATCAACGGACGTGATACAACTCACTTTGACTCAAAAGATGACTACCGCACAGGTTGTTGAAACGTCAGTCACTGTCAACAACAACAGTCCTATTCAGCCACTCAGGACTACGCTCACTCCGACGATCATCCTAAACCTACTTATGAAATGACTCCTGGGTTCAACCCTTGTACAGTTTTACATCTATTTATTATTAATTAAAGTGTTTTTACATTTAACCTTTGTGTTTGTTAATTTCCTCATACCTTCAAGCCTAGAGTACACCACACCAAGACATGACGAGCCAGTGGAGATTTTTTCCAAGTGTCTTTGAGGAGATACGGTTTAAGATAATCTAGAATATGTTTGAACAGTCCTGATGGAAACAGTGTGTTAAACGTCTGTCGACTGTCTTCTGGATTATCCTTGGCAGATGTTTCACTTAAATTCACCTCAACGCAGCCACAGAGGAGATCAGAAATAGATGAACAGTGACAATAGGAGCAAATAAGAGCCAGTAATTCTGAAATAAAAGCAATATGAAAAAAAAGCCTTCTACAGCATACACCAGTCTCCTGTACTCCTGTTGCACTGTCATCAATACACCCCATTTCACAAGAAGTGTGAAAACACAGGCAAAATTCTGAAAACTTCAGGTGTAAGATGTCATTTTGTGAAATTTGACATTTATTTTCTCAGGTTCGTCCTCGGGTTCTCATAAGAAGTTGTCTTTAGTGTTATTACAAATAACTTATTAAATCTATAGCCCTTGAAAAATGTAAAAAAAAAAAAAGAATACGATATTGTTTAAATTATTCTGGTACAAGGTTTTTGTCCACTGAGAATTAAAATTACTCAATTTCCTAATGTATTCTGTCTTAATATGAATGTATCATTCCTCAGAAACCTGACAAAATTAATATGGAATGCGTGTTGCCACAGACTTTGATGGTCCTCATGGAAGTGTTGCCACCGAAACAGTGAACTCGGTGCAGCTGCTAAGATGGGACTTGAAACATCATCAAAACGTTTCGCGACAACACGAATTTCGTGCATGAGTTGTATGACCCTTAATGTGGAGAACAATCAGCATGTTTATGTCCATCACAAGTGCCAGGTCAGCACAGTGTTGCAATGTACTCTAGAGAATATACTCGAAAACGGTTATAAAATAAAAGAGGGGCTAAAACGAACAACTTCCTGGGGTTGGAAAGTCTTATGTAAGGATTTCTGAATAAACCTGGGCATAGATACTGATTCCAGGCATAACTGTTTGTGATTTCTTGTTTGGTGTGACTGAGGGCCTTTGTCATGGTCCATGCGCTGTTCTCCGCTGAAGAAAACTTTTGTTTGATTGACTAAAACTTACCCAAAAGAGGAAAAATTTAACAAACTAAACTGACTGCCGCAGTCTTATTGTGAGCAAAGACCGAATTGTAGTGCTAACCCTAACCCGCAAAAATCGTGTCCAACCGGAAAAAAAATGCGTCTGTCGCGAAAGAAAAGAATTTTGGTAGCGGGATCGGGATGACACGTCCGAAGCAAAAACGGGATGGCGGGAAGAAAGAAGAAATAGTGGCGGGAAGCGGGATTTGGAAACCCTATTATATACCGTCTTAAATCTATTTTTAAGATACTGACCATGAGCAGTAGTCTTTGATTGTTCATCTGTCCAGGGATGCCCTTCTACATTTGCTGCGCATAATGACACCAAACAACAGGCTGATTTTCTCAAGACATACTTCTTGTCAGTCTGTGGAATGGACACACCTTTTAGCAAGCAGCTGATCAGAAGGAGCTGAATCATGTAATACTCCATCACATGCAAGAATCATTATATATTGCAGGGTACAAAGTTGAGCTTGATGGTTCAAACTCTATCCCAGCTCATTATAGATTATTTCCATCCTTCCTGGCCAAATGTTACACATAATTTTCTAGAATTAACTACATCCTTATATGAAATACTGCAGACAAAAGTTTATTTTTAAAGTAAAATCAAAAATATTTAAAACTTTTCTAGTCTGACAGGTGCATTCAAAGGGGGTCGGATCTGCTCTCCACTGCTGCACAGAGAAAGTTGCAGCCCCGTGATTTTTGTCTCAAAAATGACTGGTTTATGGAAGCTACATGTAAACGTAACAGAGATATTATTGGACAAAAAGATCATAAAAACATCATTAACCAGTATCAAGAACACTAAAAAAAACAGAAACACATTCTAAACTTACTTCACAAAGCTGAAGTACTAAGTGTGCCAAATTTTCCTTTGGACCTGCATTTCACTTTCAAAAACGGAATTACATGTATACGCATCTCAAATAAAAAATTAGTCAGGATATTGTCTCATGTCTCCTCCAGTCATGAACCCCTTGCCATTCTTTACTTAGCTCCTCCTTTCTCAGATTATTCCACACTTTCACACCTCAGAGAACTATAGAACTAAGTACATTGTAAAGAATGATAACAAGTTCATGACTGGAGAAAAGTACGACTACATGTATATCCTGAATTTGTCAGTCTATTCCACACTTCCAGACCTCAAGGAAGTGTGAGTGAGTAAAGAATGACAAGGGGTTAATGACTGGAGGAAAAGTGTGACTATATCCTGTTTACATCAGACTATTCATCCACAGCTCTACACATCTGAGAAGTGTGGAACTAAGTAAAGCTGGAATGATGACGGGTTCATTACCAAGGGAAAGAGTGTGACAATATCTCGACTGTCAGACTATTCCATACGTCCATACCTCTGAGAAGTGCGGAACAACAAGTACATGTAAGTAAAGAATGACAAGGGGAAAAAGTGCAACTTTAACCTGACCTTGTCAGACCTTTCGATCCACACTTCCACACCTCTCAGAAGTGTCGAACTAAGTAAGAAATAAAGAAACTCTGGTTGTCATGGTCCGGGCTGGACATGGCTCACTTGGGCTTGAACATTTAAACCAATAAGCCTTAAGATGACAGCAGCAGCTGCTGTCTTTGCATCCTTCATATTATGATAGAAGTAATAAGTATGGGTAATAGTAGTGATATTTGGCATAAATTAACCACGGTTGATATCTTAAAATATTATTGTTATTTGTAATTAATTTTCATGAGCTGTTAGGTGAGTGAAATTTGAGACAATCTTGAAATATAACGAGTGGTATTTATGCCAAATATCATGTACAAATCATGCTATTATTTGTTTATACTACTACCCGCAAAGGTTTTGTAATTTTCACACGTACTTCAAACTGAAATACTATTCAAATCAATACTCAAGCTGAAATACTACTGCTCAAAGCCAATCAAATGCAGAAATTTCTCATGTAGTAGTATAATTGAAACATGTTGGTACCTGAGTTAATCTACTCTGTGGCTCCATTTGTTTAGCATCCTTGAACACAGTGCACAACAACTGACAAATTTTCATGACAGTAAAAGCTTGTGCATGATACGTCATCATTTCTTCTTTATCCCATCCTAAAATGGCAAACACATTTTTGTTCTCAATGTCTAATTGAATATCCTAAATTATACATTGACTATTCAAAAAACTGACTGGCCACCAATTTCAAAATCAATTTTTTTTCATTTATTTGACAGACTGATAAATGATGCAGGATAAAAAGGCCGGCAGTTAACAATTGAGTGACTCCTAGAACACATTGCAGGCATAATTTTTACTGACAAATTGAGAGCCTGTTAAAATAGTAAATCTGCTGACTCCAAATGTATTGATAAATTAATATTGGGAGCACTTGAAAAGATAAAGCATTCAGTCTTAGAGGACAATCAACAAAAAATATTCCTTGCTCTATACTCTTTTAAACAATGATGTAAATTATGCAACGCCCACTGTGATTGGTTGTTGCCCATGATCTACTAGAGTACAGACCCAGGGGAGGGGGGTACTGCCATATATGGGCTATATAGGTATGTGCTGCTTTGAAGGGTATGGTTTTCAAGCAGTTTAGTCTGGGATAGGGTATATAAATCAGAGAGTCTGGGTCTAGAACAGGGTATCCTTTTCCAGGAAACTGATCAATTGGTTAAAGATAATTTTCAGTCTAGACTAGGGAAACCGGGAATCGTCACTCAAAAATATAAACAAAATCAAATCAGTTTTGTTTTGGCTGGACTGTGCTAGTGTCCTCAGTACTTTCCGGAAAACAACTACTCTAGGATAGCAAAGTAAGAGAAAAAGTTTCCCATCCACTTCCCATCCAAAACTCGAAACTCAAAAACAATCAGGCATTTAATGCTTTTAATCGCCTATCACCCTTGTAAATTGTTTTTGACTAAAAGCTAAAATGGAGCTGGTAAAAATAAAATAATGAATGACTGTGGAATGGCAAAGTTAAAAGGAATATGTAAACTTATTTTGTCAAGTATGAGGTTTGCTTTTATGACTTTTAAGATGAATTCTACCATAATTTGAAGACAATTTTCAACTGTTTCTTTATTTTTTCTAATTAAAAATGTGCTTGTCCCACAGACAATTCATGCCAAAGGTTGACATGTCCAAACTAAATTTCTACCTGTCCTAGACAATCGGACATAGGTTTCGGTGTACCCTGGATAGTAGCCTGTTCCAAGCGTTCAGATAGTGGAGAGCGGTGTGGAGTAGAGAAAGCGATGAAAAGTAGAGGGGGACTGGGGAGAGAGGTGCGGGAACGCTTGTAAGAATTCTTAACAAAAGTGCGTTCCGGTATACCAGATCCTGGTATACCCTCTGATTGGTTGATTTTGACAGTTTTTGTCAACAGTGGAGCGTCTTCGATCACAGTGAGAAATGCGATATGGCCGTTATGACAGACTCTACGTGCCGTCACGCAGAATTCAAACTCGCAACAAACACAGCGCTGAGTGACTTTCCAAACGTGGAGGCTAAAAGCGAAGAGCAACGAAACTGTTTAAAACACGTAGTCGGTAGGATAGATGTTCGCAATTTCTCACCGACTGGCTTTGGAAAAATTCTTATTTTCCAGTTTTTTCCTCGAATAAAGCGTGCGTTGGAATGAAGGCAGGATAGAATGCCATTTACGACTGTTGTGGTAACTCCGTTGATTACCATCATGGACCAAGTGGAATATTTGAACAAGTCAGATCGGAGTAGCGGCGGCAATGATGGGAGAAGATATGGATGAAGCCGTTAAAAGTGGAAGCTGTGAAATTGTTTACTGAAGTGCCAAATCGTGGTTGTCTAATGAATGGACAAAAGGACTTCAAAAAGAAAAGCTTGGAAAGCAAGTTGCCGCTATCGCTATTGACGAGGTCCACTCAATCACCGAATAGTAAATTTTCCCTTCAATTGTTGTGCATTTTCATTGCTTGAGTTAACGATCTGTATTGAAACGGCTTTCTATCGAAATGAGCGATATTTGTTTGTCACTTGATTCATAATTTTTTGTCACGTACACGCTGAAATCATGTTTTTAAAGCCGTAAATAAATTCATTATACATGAATACTTCTCCCGCCTTCTATTGTCTGAAAGTCTTACATTGGGTTTTTAGTAAGATTATGTATACATAATATTAATTTTTGATCTGACAAACTTCGATTTATTCGCAAGAAAAATAATAAATGCATCGGGCTGTAACACCAGTCTTGATTGACAAGTGAAGACCACCTACAGCTGATGCGGTCTGACTGGGCGGAAGAGTCTATTTAAAACAAATCTAACAGGCGTTCCCTCTCTCACCTCTCCTCCTCCCTCGCTTTTACTTTTTCGCGCTCCCTTTTACTTTGCACCGCTCCCCACTATCTGAAGGCCTGGAACAGGCTACCTGGATAGGGGAGGCGGGATTTGGGAAGTTTAGTCTAGTACCTATAGAGTTGCTTCAGCTAAACTAGCTCTGGTATAGGCTAAGGGTTCCTGGGTCCCAGCGGCATATCCCCACCCAAAAATTCCTAAAGTAATCCCCCCACCCCCTCAGGCATTGAAAAACGTTTCGGAGAAACTGAACACAAGTAAGACAAAGAAGAAAAGAAGAAGCAGAAAAAGGAAAAGAAGCGTGTATGACTTAAGAAATGGCTAAACTGGCACAAACCATTGAACAGTCAAGTGGTGCAAGGCAAGTTTGTCTGTTTTTTCCTTTCTGTTCATTGTATAAAACAAATAGATTCCATGTTGCCGTGGGTCTGTTCAGTAGATCACAGAAGCCATCAAAATTTGATAAAAACATCACTGACACTGAAAAAAAAAAGAGCCCTGTAAATGTTTGCCTGTGGCTCATGTGCCACTTTTTTGTTTTTAACACATTTTGACATCATCTGGGATATATTTCTGAACAGGCGCAAGGCAACATAGAATCTATTTGTTAAATAGACCATGAAATGACGCCATTTTGTTCCAAACAAGCTGCATGCAAGTGGTTTCGTTGCCAGGATTTGAACATTTTGACATCATTTCTATGCTCTCAGGGCTGCAAATAACGGCCGGTCAACGGACAATGTCCGGCCTGATCGCGGACTTGACCGGTCAAACTCCGGTCTTGCCGGTCATTTTGATCGGTCATTTTTGGATACAAACACTTTATTTTCCATACAGTTGTCGCTTAATGCTCTATAACGCTGGAATGATTTCTTTTTTCTTTGGCGTTTTTTTGCTGCTTTGCACTAAACCCTCCTAAGAAAAAGAACGCCGCAATAAATTAATTTCATGTCATCATGTCGTAATCTAACGCAACAAAGTGAATAACAAACTGAGTTGGAAAGTAACGCAACGTTGCAAGTCGTACTGTACTTTCGGCTTTGCTGTAATCAGCAATGTGACCTTTGGGAATTCGAAGGAATTCAGGCAAATCGATCGCAATTCTCAACAGGTCGTCCTGTGTTTCTCCGGGAATAAATGTTAGCACATCGATTAATAATAATTTCTTTTACGTCGAACATGAATCTCGTTTGCAGACACGATTCCAGAATGGTCTGATAAAAATTTAAGCCACTCAAGAGGGAAGGTCGTCGTCTATCGCGGCGCTAGATTCTCGTTCTTGTAAACAACTTTATGTAAATTTCTGTTGACATTTGAGCCCTTCGCGATAAAATGTTGCGCGATGACCCAAATTTATTTATTGACTTCTGATCATCAACACGCTGTTTGTGGAACAAACTTCTCGCCAATGCAAATCAACTTCTTTGCCGAAAATATCAGTGACAATTCTTCTTTGAGGAAGTGACTTTCGATCACGTCCCAGGCAGGAAAAAGATCAAGTTTCACCGATGTTCATTTCGGAACATCAACGTAAAACAAACGTGTGCAGATTTTGTAAAATAAACCAATTTTTTTTTTTTTTCGTAATTTCTAAAGTTTGCTGAACTGTATGTGTATTCCGTTTCCTGAACCTTGGGAGTTTGAAAAGGATTTACGCTTCACTTTTTACCTCTAGAGACTTCAGACGCCGCCGTGCAATGATACTCAAGGTAGAACGTAACATTAAAACGCACGAAAACCGCGGAAAGGAACTCTACAACGTGCGAATGCATTTTTCACCAATTTGCTGTCAAAAATGTGAACGTCAGTGTAGTAATAATGATCTATTGCCAGCATAATTGGATATTCCTTAGGCAAAAAAAAATTATTAGTATTCATTATTTGACCGGCCAGAATCGGGGTTTGTCCGGGCTAAAAAATATTTGGCCGGTCATCATGACCGGCAACCTGCTGTCCGTTATTTGCAGCCCTGTGCTCAATTGTATAATTAAGACTACAGAAAGAGGATTTTGTTGTGTAATTTTTCAATGACATTGAGTTTTAAATGTGCATTTCCAGTAAAGTTTCTTTAAAAATTGTCCAGGAAAGATGGAGAAAAACAGATAACCCACCATGTTCATCCAAAATAACTGGCTCAGCAAACTCTAGTAACTTCTCAAAAATTGCAGCGATTTTCTCCTTGTAATGAGATTCTTCATCTTGATCACCATCACATGGCTCTGTTCGAAAGTCCTGTTTTTTTATCCAGTCTCTGTATTTTACATCCAACTTCTCCTCCACATCATTCTGTGATACATATTAAATAGATGTTAGAAGTTCTGGAGGAAAACCCAATGGCATGCGCAGTTCTATGGGCGACCAAGTCTACCATATGGACCAATCTGCTGTACTGGTTGTAACGTGGACTCTGTAAGTAAGTTCAGGGGCATTCCATTGTCAAAGATGCCCACACAATATTCACTATTCGGATCTCGATTTTCAAAATGAATCGCGAAACAAAAACTTGAGGGTTCGGATTTCAAGTCATTTTATAAATAAGGGATGGGGGGGAGGGGATGTACGGATAAAAAACATGTAACCTTGGCTGTGAAATGAAGTCGAGAGACATAAGCGCCAATAAACACAACACATGTTGATTAATTTACCTTTCGAAGAAGTGATTTCACTTCTTTGAGCTCCTCATCTGATAAAAATTTGCTCAGTGTTCGATAAAACTCCTTTCCTCTCGCTTCGTCCGCCATGTTGAAGACGATAAGGCTTGGTTGCCAAGAGGCGGAAAAGCAAAATGAATCTCTGTAGGGTAGGGTTATGCTACAGACTACAAAGTATATACGTTTTTCTTGCAGGAATTTTAAAAACCCGCATAAGCTATAACTGATAATAACAAAATCAAATTTTGATTTATGCTTTTTCATTCAGAAGGTTTTGATGGCTTTCTGGGTTAACTACGTTATTGTATAAATGTTACTGCTGTCAAGATCCCCACCCCTCCCTTGTTGAATCTCAATTCAGCAACATGGCGGTATCGCTGGTGAAAGTGGCGGGCAAGTTGACCGTCGGGGGTTTTGCATTATATGGCTTATCAGAAGTCTTGAGTTCACAAGAAAACACCATCAAGCAATTATCCGTGTTGGACAGTAAAACTCGCGAAAATATTCCTTTTTCTTTGCCAGAGGTAATGAAGAAGCTTAGGCCTGGTTCAGACGCCGAACTTTTCATGAGCCGAACCTAATATATTGAATTAAGTACATGAAAAGTTCAGCGTCTGAATCAATTAGGAACGCCTTTTTCAATTTGGAACGGCTCAGCCGTTCTTTTTCGCCTTTGGAGCGACTTTGGACCGAACCAAATGCATAAATTATTATAACGTATTTTGTGAGCAGTTTGACCATACTGATTTTTTATTGCCCCTTTGAACTTAGTTTAGCTGCAATTAAGATTGGCTTCTGAATAAATTCAGCCAGTCTTAATAATTTGGGTCGGCCTTAATTCGAATTTGGTTGAATTTGAGTGAGAAGGTTCACTCTGAGGAAACAAACTGGCATTTCTAGAACTGTGGTGTAAAACTCATAATAGTAAACTCTACTACAGGTGACTAAAAATATGACTCACCTGGTATGGATTTGCATAATATTTAGTGATAGTAAAATGCCCTTAAGGCTGGTTTTCACTAGCGACGGAGGCGGCGTCGTAATGAGAAGCGTAGAGCTTATGATCTAGTGAGTCGGAAGCAGAAGCAGAAGAACCAAACCAATCACAAAGCATGGGAACATGCATTGTGATTGGTTTATCCTTCCATTTATTGACTGGTTTCAAAAAGTGTGCTTTTTGAATTTCAGATGCCAACCCAAACAAAACTAAGACATTCCTGGAACAGTGGAGTACAGAAGGCATTCAGTGAACTGGATCAAGCACCTCAGGCTATGTGGGATCTGGGAGCAAGAGGAGCTAACAGTGCTAAAGACTTTATCAAAGAACAAATGAAATGAATCCTAATCTCAGGGAAATTGTTTCTTTGCAGCAAACAAATGGAAAGCCTATCAACAACAGACTTAATTTTGAAGAGACAATAATGACATTATTCCTTGCTATCATTTTTAACATGACTGGAGAACATTATATTTCCTTTATTTTTATCTCATCACCCTAACATGCTAATTTATTGATGAGAAGGTACATTGTATGGAAATATTTTATGAAATGCCCTTTTCAGTCTTTTCCTTCACTTACTCCTTCGACATTGAAAAAATGAGCAGAAGTGAGCCTGAAATTTAAAACTTGATAGAACAACGTGAACTGCAAGTCTATTGAATGGCATGAAAATGGTCTGTTGTGGATCTATTAATTTGTTTTATTACTTCATTTTTGTATTATTATTATCTTTCCTGAAAAAATTAGAAAATCTGAGAAAAAGAACCACTCATAAATAGACACTCATTTAACATCAATTTCCTTTGCATTTTTGTCATGAATTATTGATGAGTAGTAAATAAAAGGAGAACAATTATGTGTCAATACAACCAGACCACGAGTAATCCCTGTTTTTCTTCAGGGACAGTAGAGCAAATGAAATACTCTAAACTTTCGCTTGTAAGCCCTGGCCTGGGCTGACACGTCTTCTTAAGTGGTTCTAAGAGTGCTGATAAATGGAAGGGCTCTTATCTGGGGGGCTTTTAAATAAACAGGAAAGAAGAAGCACTTCAAAACAAGCTATTATTAGTGCTGATCAAAATACTGTTTGCATTTACTGGTTTTTAATTAAGCTTCAAAACTTCATAAGGACAATTTTCAAAGCTTATCCAATAAATTCCCTACGATTTTCTGAAGTTTAATTTTTCATAATTTACGACCCTGATTGCACTGTTTTTCTTAGGGAAAAAACGTAAAATTTTTGGATATTCTGAAAGGTGATGGAGAGAGGAATCAGAAAAATTCTCTTTGTGGTAAAACGTTAAATTGCACCTAACATTTTAAGAAAAATAATACTGAGGCCCTTGTAATTTCGAAAAGACTTAAGTTCCCCTAGGATGACCAAACAGTTAAACTTTTGTAGTGCTGCTTAGAATACATTTCTAGAGATCTAAAAGTACTCTGGATAGCCTAAAAAGTGTTTTCAACGTATTTTGAAGGAAACTGTCGTTGGGTGCCCCTGTTTGTTTGTTTACAGGTAGATGGACCTATAACTGGAGGGATGTAGAAGTCGGGGGGTGGGGGGGGCTTTAAAGTAACAGTTTACTGCATGTGAGCATCCTTGAAAATTGCCACCCATGTGAAAACATGTGTTACCCCTCTCATGAGTCACAATTTCACGTGCCCTTGTGTATTCCTACAATTTCGTGAGAGCTTGTGTATTCCTACTGTACCCAAATAAACCATAGGCTCTAAATTTACATTTGATGAGTTTAAGGGCAGTGATTGTGCATCAAGGTGAATGAGTGTTAAGAAAGTTATTTATTAAGTTCAAGGGATTAGCAATGTTTTTCACAGAAATAACCAGCAAGCTAATGTTCTTTTTTAACATGTAGCCATTTGTGTCTTCCACTGTTCCACAAAGAGGATTGTGAAGAGATTTCTACTATTGTGTAGGTTGATATTTCCTGGGAGACAATTTTTTTTTCTATTAAATCACAGTAGTTACTGATAAGACATTATGCAAATTGCGAACTTGAGCAAAGCTTGAACTCAACTTACGGTATTGTAACGACTAAGTCCCTGTTCCAATAATTTTGAGTGCGTCAAAGTAGAATAAAACACAAAGGCAAAAAAGTTGCATTGTTAACTTGAATTTAGTCTTTCTTTATTGTTAGCTCGTGACACGTTGCGTTTTCGTTTGACCCGTTAATTATATTACCACCTACAGTGATTGTTAAATATGACAGCCCAATGAACTCCCTGGCATCTAGCTGCGTAATGGTAAAATTTACTAAAAGCGCAATTGTGTACCCAATTAGTGAATTTTTGTACCGTGAGAATTAAGTACTTTCTGATTTCGGACCTCGGAGCTATTTGACAAAAGGAGACATGAGCAACTGAGGAAACAGTCACATTCGAATTAAAACTGAAATCTAGCACTGTAAATAAAGGATACAATGTATAAAAAAAAATGAGGTAGTTTTTCAACGTCAAAGCTAATCAAATCGAAAATCCGTTTTTTCAAAACTAGTTTCGTACAGTAAATCCCAAGTTATGAAATAAACTTTTGCATTTTATAAGTATTCAGAAAACTCAGTAACCAACATTTCAACAGTGTACTGATACGCTTTAAGGCGGTTTTTCCTATAACGCTGCTATAAGCTTTAACAAGTTGAATTGAAACTGAATTAACAACAGGCTAAGGCCAATATCTTGAGCTGGACTTGAATGGACTAATTATGGGGCTTAACAGTTAAAATATAATGTGGTAGACATAACGACAGGAAAGCTTGCGTTAAACATGTTGCATTAATTGTGCAAGCACATCATATATCGTGTGGCCTCAGTTTATCTAATTAGTTCCGCTCGTCTCATATCAGGATTAGTGTTTAATACGTTGAACCAACAAAACTGACGTTGTTTAGGGCCAACATTTAGCGATCGTATGTAAGCATTTCTGCTATTTGCATTAGGAGCTAAATCAATGTTCCTTGTTAGTTCCTATAGTACATAAATTTTTACGTACTCAAAACCCCCCTCTCGAATTAACCAAGCTGGAGATCTCATGGGTGAAAAAAAAAACACTCCTGTGAGTTTTAGAATAATTTCAATGAAATGATTCTGATTGTATTAAAAAAACGACAAAGACAGTCAAATGCCTTACTGATAAGTTTTGAGTTGCCTTTACTTTGAAAGTTCGAAACTTCGGGACTTTGTCGGCAGAGCGCGATCGTCCCAAAGGCAACCGCGGGAGAAAAAGCAAAAAAAAGTGTTGGAAAAGCTCAAACAAATGAAAAATAATTCTCTCATTTCAAGTTCTAAAACTATCGGTATAATAAGCTAAATATTAGCCAATTGAAATGGCATACGTATACACTGAGTCAATCCAGCAAAAATTTTAGTATTTTTTTTCCTTAAAATTCATAAGACTGAGTGTTTAGAACTTCAGTTGTTAACACGATATACTGGTGCGGCTCACTGCTGATGTGAGACCATACGGACAACTTTTGTGGCTTCCCGTTGATTCAAAAATGGACCCTAACTCTTTCACTGATAACTCCTATTTACTCTCCACCTGCTTTGGCCAAATACTTTTGATGCAGGTTTGGAGAGACTAAAAAGTTTAAAGCAGCAATATTGTGAGATTTATCACTTTGGCTTAAATTATGCCCTTGCACGCGGTGTAGTTCCCTCTTTCTCAGAATCGCTCCTTTTCTGAAAGAAATTGTCCCCCGCCCAAAAAGAGACAGGACATAGTCAGTTTACTCATTCAGTTCCACAGGATTTTCTTTATCTTTTTATTGTGAAGTTGATGCAGTAACAACATAAAACGTATATACTATGATTACAGTCTAAGAAGCATCGCAGCCTTTTGTTCAGCTAGAAAGGATTTAAAAACGTTATCCTTAAAACTTGCTAGCGAGCCATTATTTCTTATATTGGCATTCATGCAATTCCAGTCCTTCATAGTCCTAATAGTGAAAGTATGACGACCTCCTTCTGTTTTTCGTTCATACTTGGGGCACACCAAATTTATGTTTGAATGTCTAGTGAAATAAATCCCTTATAATAATTTCTTTCACAAGAAGATCAAGGCAGAGAAAAAAAAAGTCTGAGGAAGTATGCTTTGATCACTTAATTATGGCACGTGATTACTCATGAATAAAAAAGTAATTTTAGGGTCACAAAATTTTCTGAGTATCTGCAACCATGTCGCTAGATTTAGCTATCTTCTTTACTTTAATTTAATCTTTACCGTATGTGCCAGAGGATATTTTTTCCGAATTATGTGAAAATCGTCGTGTGGAGAGGTCGTCACAAGACGCAATGCGCTGAACGGGAAACATGCTCTTTCAATGTAGCTTTCTTCACTCGTACATTTCTTATATTTATGTACTTTGCCAATAAAAGCATGCGAGGGAGGAAGTACACTGGCCCTAAGGTAAAAGTAAAGAGCAATAAAAAACTTTAAGTCGAATCCATCAGGGGCACCCAACGTCAATTTTCGGAAAATATCTGTTCGGAAGACGATTTAATATCTAGAATTTTCGGAACATTTGTTGTAAAATTTCTTGCCTGCCTGCTTCTCCCAGGATTTTCGAACATCTAAAAAATTGTATAATTGCCCATTTTTAACGGATTTTTACCCTAAAAAGGTCATCTAGAATTTTCGGGAGCCTCTTTTCTGGCTGAAATTTTCGAAAGGGTAAGTTTTGATCCCTATAAATTTCGGATCACTAGACTTTCAGCTAGGAAATCCGAACAGATGAAGAATTTTTAGGGGATAAAAATATGCCTATATCTACCGTTTAAATACTAAAATACGTTTAACAATGCTATGATTAAGTGGTTTTGAACTATATTCTCGTTGGGTGCCCCCGATTCATTTTTTTCCTTTCCTGAGTAGATTACCATGAGAGACTTTGAGGTGTATTCCGGATTCCAACGTCGAGGATTCTGGACTCACCACGAGCAAGAGTTTTCCTGAATCCGAATTCTGGGGGTGAAAGAAAAAACTAACATGAATTTAAACAGAATTCAATCTTTTTTTCCTCGGTAGAGTCGATCACCATGAAAGCAATAACATTCCTCAGTTTGCTCTTGCTGTTATCACAAATGGCTTCCTCTAAATTCAAAGAAGGTAAGCAAAATTTGGGGTACACACTTAAATCGGCGTGAAGTTGTCATGAAAAGTCCACACAATTTGACTGTTTATGTTAACTTTTTATTGTTTACTTTGTATCTTGTGTTTACAAATATTTTACCTGTAATTTTAATCACACTTTGCAAGCCATTAATAGTAGCTAGGCTAGGAAATAAACTTCTTATTCAAGCCGACGTGATCTTTTAGGGTGTT